TTAAGTTAACATCTTACATTAAAAACCTGACAGTACCAAATTATTGAAGATTATTCACCAAAGCCAGACTAAACGTCTTTCCTTCTGCAGTGCTGGATGGCAGGTTGAGAGGGGTTTCCTACCAGGACAGACTTTGCTCGTGTGCTCAAGACATTGATTCTACAAAACATATTTTGCTGCACTGTGCAAAATACGAGCAAGCCAGGGCTGAACTGATATTACCCTTGCTGGTACCTTTCCCGGGAAAAACAGAGGCTCACTATGTCAGGTTCTATTGGAAGACTGGACAAACGCTAGAACATTAGCAGTGGTGAAGTTTTTATCAGTGGTTGCAAGAACCAATGATCCCCATCTTTAAGTCTGAACGAAATGCTTGTTTAACCTGGAGGTAGGCTGTATGAATTGTGCATTGCTTTGTAATGATTTGTTGGGTCTCTGGACTGTAATAAAGATTGATGATGATGATAAGCTTTGCTTACATTCAGTTCACAGTATGATCCTGAAGGCAGGCTTGAGCTTTTAGTTACAGTTACAGAGAAAGGTATGGCTTCATCCTCTGTGAGGGATGAGCCCATGCGCTGCTGGCTGAGAGCCGGCAGACAGCAGAAGGCAAAATGGAGAGGAGGGATCAAGAGAGAGCAGCATAAGAGGAAGATGGCTGCGTGACCAGCCCCTTTGTAGGGTCTGCCAGGGTCACACCTGTCTACCTGGTCACATGCAGGGGGAGAATGCTCCAGACCAGGTGTGACAGGAAGTCTTCCCGGCTGGAGCAACATTCCCCTGTGTGTCCACTCTGGGCAAATAGGAAACATTGTATTTGACTGCTTTGATGTTACTTCCCACACTGGGAGAGGTCCGCCTTTTCCTCCCTGTGCAGTGATACGGAGGGGGGGGCATGTCTTCTTCACCTTCTTCGCTACAATATATCCATTTATTTCCGAGTCCAATTGTCAATGTCAAAAGGGACTAAAATCTATAAAATTCATAGAAAATCAACGTGCCAATTTGCTCAATTTCTCTAGAACTCCATGACACCTCCCCTGTCCTCCATAATTCCTCAAGCAAGGTGTCAAGACCCTAATCCTGTCAAATCACTCTGCCAAGCCTTTCCTCCGGGCAATGCCAGGTGGCAGACTAGGCATACATGGACCATTGTCTTCTCATCACCTGTACTCAGGATGTGCTTATCTGCGCATATCTCCAGCTCTGCATATTCCCCCTCCCTCCTCCATATGTTAATCCTGTGTAACCCAACCTCTTCTTAATGTATTCATGATGTACCGTATTTTTCGCTCTATAAGACGCACTTTTTCCCCTCCAAAAATGAAGGGGAAATGTGTGTGCGTCCTATGGGGCTAATGCAGGCTTTCGCTGAAGCCTGGAGAGCGAGGGGGGTCGGTGCGCACCGACACCTCTCGCTCTCCAGGCTCCAGGAAGCTATCCGCTAGCCATGGGAGACCCAGCTCTCCCACGGCTAGCGGACTGCTTGCCGGCACCCAGAAGCTTGGGGCGCGCGGAGCTCAGCGCGCCCCAAGCGTCGGGATTAGCGCAGCGCTCCGCTAGCCCTGGGAGAGCCACGCGGCTCTCCCACGGCTAGCGGACTGCTTGCCGGCAACCAGAAGCTTGGGGCGCGCTGAGCTCCGCACGCCCCAAGCTTCGGGATTAGCGCAGCGCACCTGGGGGGGAACTAAAATTTTTTTTCCTTTATTTCCCCCCCCCAAAAAAACTAGGTGCGTCCTATGGGCCGGTGCGTCCTATGGTGCGAAAAATACGGTAATCTGTGTAACCCAACCTCTTCTTAACGTATTCATGATGTAACTGGGATGTGTTTTGCCCTGTATTCTGGGACATGGAGGGAAGTTTCAAAAGTTCATGTCACCCCTTTCTCGCGGTTCAATCTCGCCTTGAACCTGTTGCGCAATAAACTTGGATCTTCTGCAGCTTGCTCCTGTCTCCGGCTGAGCTCATTTTCCTCTGCAGGGACCCGCGGACTTAGTCCGACGAGCTGGGTGGCAGAGCAGCCTCGCACCCAGATTTTACCATAACAGCAGAGATGTGCAACACCAGCTTCACCTGCCTTCCTCTTTCCTCCTGGTCGGGATCCTGGGGCTGGAGTCCCTGGACGTCTGACTCTCCATCCCTTACGGCTGCGTGGACCTCACAGCCTTGCTGGGGAACGTCTCCCTCCTGCTGGTCTCCCCAGCCTCCACCAGCCCATGTTCCTCTTCCTTGCCATCCTGGCCCTGACCCACCTGGGCCTCTCCACCTCCATCATGCCCAAGCTGCTGGGCATCTTCTGGCTCGGCGCCAGGGAGACCAGCCTGAAGGCCTGCCTGGCCCAGACGTTCTCCCTGCACACCTTAATGGCCACAGAGTCGGGTGTCCTGCTAGCCATGGTCTTCGACCACCACGTGGCCATCAGCACCCCACTCAGGTACGGAGCCATCCTCACTCCCCTCTGGTGCTGGCCCAGAGAGTGGTGCTGACCGTGGCGCCCTCCCAAGGCAGCCCAGCGCAAGGCCCTTGCTACCTGTCATTCCCACAGCACCAGCACCCTCAGTTTCTGCATCTCTGGGCTTTACTCTTTGCTGACATCATCCTCTCCATCCTCTACCTGTTGGTGCCCCCATGCTCAGCCCCATCATTTAGGGGGCCAAGACCAAGCAGATACGGACCAGGCTGCTGTTCTTGCAGCCAAAAGCGAAACTCTGAAGCTCCCACCTTGCAGTGGGCAAGAGGAAGAGGGCATTGGGACACGTGCCCCCCAAAAAGGAGACAAAGATTTCATGGAACAGAACTGTAGACTTCAAAGGGACCTCAAGGGTCATCATGCTCAACTCCACTTCCTGCTTTGTGCCTGAACAAGGATCCCAGGAATCTACCTTTGAAAATGAGGCTTGAAGCCTTCTCAGGACAAAATGTGTCTTGGCCTCTGATGGTCACCAGCCTAGATGGATTAGACAAATTCATGGAAGAGGAGAGGGCTATCGGTGGCTATTAACCAGGGTGACCATCCACAATCAGAGACAGTCATGGTTCTGAAGACCAACTGCTGGAAGCCACAGGAAGGGAGAGGTGCTCTTGTGCCCTCGGATCCTGCCTGCGGGCGGTTTCCATCTGGTTGGCCGCTGTGAGAAGAACAGGATGCTGGCCTAGGTGGGCCATTGACCTCTTCCAGGAGGCCACACCCCTACCTCCCACACCAGCTACTTGTATTAACCAGAACATGCACATGTTCTGCACACTTTGCATGCTCAACAAGGTGTGCAATAATCACATTCACATCGTTAAATTAATGCCCCTTCTAGTTATCTCTAGTTATCTCTCACTTGGACTACTGCAATGCGCTCTACATGGGGCTACCTTTGAAGGTGACCCGGAAACTACAACTAATCCAGAATGCGGCAGCCAGAGTGGGAGTGGCCACCGAGACCACATAACACCGGTCTTGAAAGGCCTACATTGGCTCCCAGTACGTTTCTGGGCACTATTCAAAGTGTTGGTGCTGACCTCTAAAGCCCTAAACTGCCTCGGTCCAGTATACCTGAAGGAGCGTCTCCACCCCCATCGTTCTGCCCGGACACTGAGGTCCAGCGCCAAGGGCCTTCTGGTGGTTCCCTTGCTGCGAGAAGGGAGGTTACAGGGAACCAGGCAGAGGGCCTTCTCGGTAGTGGCGCCCTCCCTGTGGAACGCCCTCCCAGCAGATGTCAAAGAGAAGAACAACTACCAGACTTTTAGAAGACATCTGAAGGCAGCCCTGTTCAGGGAAGCTTTTAATGTTTAATAGGTTATTGTATTTTGGTGTTCTGTTGGAGGCCACCCATTTTGGTGTTCTGTTGGAGGCCACCCAGAGTGGCTGGGGAAACCCAGCCAGATGGGCGGGGTATAAATAATAAATTATTATTATTGTAGTTGGGCTGAGTGGAACCGGAATGTCAAGCATCAGAGCTGAGTCAAAGGTTTTCCCTCCCACAAAAGGAGTCATGCACAGTTCCTTTGAAAGAGGTGGGTGGCCGAGACTGGCAGGTTTTAGCCTCGGGGAAGCGGGTGTTTCCCCAGGTTCTTCCTTCCTTGTGCATCTCAGGAGTGCCCTGGTCTCTTCTAGGCAAGCCATAATTGGGAGAATTACTAAAGTAAAGGTAAATGACCCCTGGACAGTTAGGTCCAGTTGAAGGCGACTATGGGGTTGCGGCGCTCATCTCGCTTTCAGGCTAAGGGAGCTGGTGTTTGTCCATAGACAGTTTTCTGGGTCATGTGGTCAGCAGGACTAAACTGCTCCTGGCGCACAGAGGACTGTGATGCCCCTTCTTCCCCAGGGAATGCGACCGCTGAGGTCTGCTATGGACTCACAAGGGGTTGCGGTGGAATTTGGGAGCAGGCAGCCAGGCAGCCCCCTTCTCCTTGCCAGCAGCAGTTCCCTCCTCTGTCAGAGACGGGATGTGTCTCCTCATGCCAGAGTTTGATGAGCAATGCTCCTCCCCACATGACGCCAGCCTTGGCCGTCAGCCACCTCTGCACCTGATGTTGCCCAAGAAGAGGTGGGGGCTGCCTGAGAATAAAAGGTGCGTTCCCCGTTCCTCCCTCGTTCGGCTCCCTTGCTTCAGACCTGCTGCACATCTTCCTTCAGAGCCACCATGATGAGTTTTGGAGGATTATCCCCCACCAAACCGGCCACTCCTGAGATTCAGGCAATCGCTGACCAGGTGAGCTGCCCTCTCCCCACAGATTCCTCTCCCCCTCCACCACCACCAGGCAGAGAGGGGCTCTGGGGCTCTGCCTCTTCTGGAGACAGAATAGAGGTGGGGAAGTCTGGCTTCCAGCCTCATTGCGCTAAGAGGCTTTTCTTGACTCACTGTGGAAAATGACTGCCATGTTGAGGCCTGTTTCTCAAGGATTCCCAAATGTCAACGCTAGCTGTACATGTGAAAAGGATCTAGGGGTCTCAGTGGACCACAAGCTCATCATGAGTCCACAGCGTGACGCAGCAGCAAAAAAGGCTAATTCTATTCTAGGCTGCATCCACAGAAGTCTAGTGTCCAGATCAAGGGAAGTCATAGTCCCACTCTATCCTGCCTTGGTCAGACCACACCTAGAATATTGTGTCCAGTTCTGGGCACCACAATTCAAGAAGGATGTTGAGAAGCTGGATCATGTGCAGAGGAGGGCGACCAAGATGATCAAGGGTCTGGAAACCAAGCCTTATGAGGAGCGGTCGAAGGAGCTGAGTACGTTTAGCTTGGAAAAGAGGAGACTGAGAGAAGATATGGTAGCCATCTGCAAATATCTTATGGGCTGTCACATGCAAGAGGGAGCAAGCTTGTTTTCGCCTGCTTTAGGGGTTAGGACATAGGTAGGCAAACTAAGGCCTGGGGGCCGGATCTGGCCCAATCGCCTTCTAAATCTGGCCCGCAGACAGTCTGGGAATCAGCGTGTTTTTACATGAGTAAAATGTGTCCTTGTATTTAAAATGCACCTCTGGGTTATTTGTGGGGCATAGGAATTAGTTCATTTTTCTTCTTCAGAATATAGTCTGGCCCCAGAACGTCTGAGGGGTAGTGGACCGGCCCCCTGCTGAAAAAGTTTGCTGACCCCTGGGATAGGACTTGAACCAATGGCTTCAAGTCACCAGAAAAGAGATTTTGGTTTTCTGACAGTAAGAGATGTTTGATGGCAGACCAGTCTCCCTGGGGAGATGGTGGACTCTCCTTCCCTGGAGTTCTTTAAGCAGACGTTGGGTGGCCCTCTGTCCCGGATGCTTTAGCTGAGATTCCTGCATTGTGGGGGTTGGACTAGATGCCCCTTGGGGGCCCCTTTCCAACTCTACAAGTCGATGATTCTATGAAAGGCTTTGGGGGCCTTGTGCTCTCCAAGTGTACAACTCCAACCAGCTCCCGGCCAGGATGGCCAAAGCACTAGGAGGGCATCCAATGGGGAGGGGCTGGTGCCAAAAGCTTCCCCCCCTTGCCTGTCCCAGGGAACCTCCAGCAGCTTCTTCGGCCCCCATGAGTGAGCCAAGCCTCTCTCCTCCCACCCTCGGGGCCCTTTCAGCTCCCTGCTGCCACAACCATCAGCCTTTGCCTTCTTCCCGCAGGTGAAATGTCAGCTGGAAGCAAAAGTGAACCAGGCATTCAACCTCTTTGAGGTTACTGAGTTCAGGACTCAGGTGGTGGCTGGCACCAACTACTTCCTCAAGGTCAGTGGCCCTTTCCTGGCTGGTTTATTTATTGCATCTCTAAATCAGCTTTTCCTCCAAGGACCTCCGGGGGGCAGGCATGGATCTCATCCTGCTAAGAGACACCAGGCCGTTTTGAGACATTCTCCAAGGAGAATCTGAGTATGGTAAATCTTAGGAATAAATTTCTGAGGGCAAGAGACGTCTGACAGTAAGGGACTCCCATGGAAAGTGATGGCCTCGCCTTCCCTGGAGGTTTTTAAACAGATGTCGGATGGATAGACAACCCAGCACAACACAACATTTTTATTAAGTCTCCAACAATATTTCAAAGCATTTATCATCATATACACAGTGGGTGGCGCGGTGGGTTAAACCACAGAGCCTAGGACTTGCCGATCAGAAGGTCAGTGGTTCAAATCCCCATGACGGGGTGAGCTCCCGTTGCTCGGTCCCTGCTCCTGCCAACCTAGCATTTCGAAAGCACGGCAAAGTGCAAGTAGATCAATAGGTACCGCTCCAGTGGGAAGGTAAACGGTGTTTCCGTGTGCTGCTCTGGTTCACCAGAAGCGGCTTAGTCCTGCTGGCCACACGACCCGGAAGCTGTACGCCGGCTTCCTCGGCCAATAAAGCGAGATGAGCGCTGCAACCCCAGAGTCAGCCACGACTGGACCTAATGGCCAGGGGGCCCTTGACCTTTACCATGTTTCTTTTTTACTTTCCAACCCTCCTTGCCTGATGTTTGTTTTTCACTCATATTTATTAGCTGTTTTATAACACAAATATTTTTATCATCTAAACCTCACTGCCGTTCAATCTTTCGTTCAGCCACTGCTCATATTTCAAATCCTGCCCATGACTTCATAACTGGGTGATAATTTGAGAGGTAATCCACCAGCTTTTCCCATTCCTCCTTAAACGCTTTGTCATTACATCCTCTTAATTTGGCACTTTATTATTTTTATTTATTGGATTTATATCCTGCCCCATACCCAGAGGTCTCAGAGCGGTTCACGGAGCAAAATCTCACCATTTCAGAATATTCCATCTGTTTCACAAGCCGTTTCTCCTTCGTTGGTTGTCCCTTCTCTTTCCACTTCTGTACATACAAAGTTCTAGCTGCTGTTGTCGTGCACATAAATAGAGGAACCATCGTTCAGCCGGTCTCTGCTGGTGACACCCTTTCTGTCTTCTTCCCTCCTCCTCCTCCTCACAGGTCCGGTATGCGGAGGACAAATACGCCCACCTTCGTGTGTTCGAGAACCTTTCAGGCGATCTCACGCTCCACGGTTATGAGCTGAACCACACCAGGACGGACCCCATCACCTACTTCTAGCAGCAGCGGAGAGCTCAAGAGCTCAGGAGCTCTTTCAATAAAGAGGAGGTCTTGGAAAGAGTCTCTGCCTTTGAGAAGTTGTGCAAGGGGAGGGAGAGGGAATGAGCTGTAGGGTGAGAGGAAGGCCCCCAGAAGCCCCTGGAAGGGGAAGGGAGAGAGAGAAAGGTGGCATTTATGGGGAGGAAGCGGGTGCAGCAAGGAACAGCTGTAATGGAGGTCGCCTTCGATGCCACCCCTTCCATGAATGCCAGTCTAGGGAGGGCAGCGGTGAGAGAGGCTCTCTGGGAGGCCTCCCTTTGGGGGGGCAAGAGGTGCGATGTGAGGGGCTTGGTCTTGGATAGAGTGTCATCAGGGGCACATTTGATTTCCAAAGAGGAAAGCTGGTGAGAAGGAAGTTGGAAAGTCAAAACCTAGAGGGACAAATCACTCTGAAACTCTTAAAAATGTAATATGAGAAGCAAACTGGAACACAGAATGTGGCCATAAAAAAGTGCAAGCAGACGGGAAAGGATGCTAAAAAGGACTCTGAGGAACACATGGCCGAAAACATAAAGACCAACAACACAAAGTTCCTTGAAAATAGTAGTAGCAGGAAGCCATCGAGGGAGGCGGCTGGGGCCACCCGTTCCTTTTGCATAGACAGCGAATGCCACCCCCCTCAGAAGCTCCTGGCGCCAGAGGCTGAGGTCTCCTCCACGGAGCTATCAGGAGGGGCCGCCTTTATCAGCCGCCTGCCAGGAGGCGCCTCCTGCCTGATATCCCCCAATCTCCCACAAACAGGTCTCCTCAGAAGCACCCAGGGCTGCTCCACTCACACACCCTCCTGCTGCACCCACAGCCCCAGGAGAAGTCCTCCTCCAGGTCCTCCAGGGGCCCGTCAGCCGGGTGCCAGGACTTGGGAAGAGTGGCCTCCACCCCACCTGGACCTGCCCCACAGGGCTGGCCCAAAACAGTCTGGAGAGCCACATGGGGCGGCCTGGGGGCCCTCATGCGCTCCTCAAGCCGGACCCGCCCCGTCCTAAAGAGTCCAGACAAACAGACAACCTCTCTCAAAACAAAATTTAAAAATTCCTTCCAGTAGCACCTTAGAGACCAACACTGGAAGATGCTACTGGAAGGATTTTTTAATTTCGTTTCGACTATGGCAGACCAACACGGCTACCTTACCTGTAACCTCTCTCTCTTTCTCAATGTAAGAAGAGCAGGCTGGGTCAGGCCAAAGGGGGCCCATCGAGTCCAGCCTCCTGTTCTCCCCAAGGGGAAGCACAAACGCAGGATCCGGGCCCCAGAGCAAGTCTCTCCTCCTGCAATTCCAGCACCTGGCATTCAGAAGCTTCGCTGCCTCTGACTGTGGAGGCAGAGAAGAGTTTGGATTTGATATCCCGCTTTATCACTACCCGAAGGAGTCTGAAAGCGGCTAACATTCTCCTTTCCCTTCCTCCCCCACAACAAACCCTCTGTGAGGGGAGTGGGGCTGAGAGACTTCAGAGAAGTGTGACTGGCCCAAGGTCACCCAGCAGCTGCATGTGGAGGAGTGGAGACGCGAACCCGGTTCCCCAGATTACGAGTCCACCGCTCTTAACCACTACACCTCACTGGCCCTGGTGGCTTCTGGGAACATGGCCAGAGATGCCCCCCCAGGCCCTGGGGGCAACAGCAGGGCTCCCCCACCTTAGGACCCCCCCCCCAAGTCCAGTTGAGTCGCTGCACAACTCTGGGAAACTTCTGACTCAACCAGCCTCCCTTTTTCAAGCATCTGCCGGCCACTTGCCCCCAGTGGACCTCAGAGATCTTGGGCGCCAAGGAGGATGAAGGCTGGTGTCTGTGGGGAGAGGCAGCAGAGGGCTCTGCCCAGGGGCTTCTCTGTGCTGGGGGGCCCGGGGGGGCCTCTGTGGGGCCTGGTCAGAGAGGACCAGCTGGATGCTCAGGGGCCCAGAAGTCTCTGGGTGGCCCAGGGGAGGGGAGACTCTCCTGAGCCCCCTGGCAGAAAAGGGGGAAGGAGGGAGAGAAGGTGGAACTGTGCGGCTTATATACCTCAGCCAACGAGTCTGATCTGCTGGGTCTTCTCTGCAAAGTGTGTGGGGTTTGGAGAAGGGGCCGAGATCTCATGCCAGGAATCCCTGCAGCCCCTGCCCTGATCCTGTCAGCCGGGGCAGCGCAGTGCCATGAGTGAGTGGGCCTGGGGGGGCATCGTCGGCCCTTTGATGGGGGTCGGGGAGCCAATGGGTGGGCGGTGGGGATGCTTTGAGTGGGGAAATGGTTGGCATGGCAAGGAGGGAACCCCTGCTTCGCCCACACTCACAGAGAGCCAAGGAGAAAAGGAGGGGTTCTTCCTTCCCCACCCACCTTCCCACTTGCCGGTTTCCCCAGGCGGAAGGGCAGGGAGGGCACCCAACGCCAAGGACTCTGGAGGGTGTTTTCCTTAGGCTCAATGAGGCGGGGGAGACATCGCATTCAAGCCTCTTCCTGGGGGGGGGGGGTGTCAGAGAGCCAGTGCTAAAGACGGGCACAAATGCCAGTTTTGATCCTCTCAGTTCCTCAGGTTTCCAACGTTAAATTCAGCTTCCTGCATTTCTGCCACAATTTGCAGTGTTGGTCTTTAAAATCCCCAGGAAAATTTGCCAGCACTTCTATGCGAATTTCCCCTGACGTACTTGTTGTTGTTGTTTAGTCGTTTAGTCGTGTCCGCCTCTTCGTGACCCCCTGGACCAGAGAACGCCAGGCACTCCTGTCTTCCACTGCCTCCCGCAGTTTGGTCAAACTCATGCTGGTAGCTTCGAGAACACTATCCAAACATCTCGTCCTCTGCCATCCCCTTCTCCTTGGGCCCTCCATCTTTCCCAACATCAGGCTCTTTTCCAGGGAGTCTTCTCTTCTCGTGAGGTGGCCAAAGTCTTGGAGTCTCAGCTTCACGATCTGTCCTTCCAGGGAGCACTCAGGGCTGCTTTCCTTCAGAATGGATACGTTTGATCTTCTTGCAGTCCATGGGACTCTCAAGAGTCTCCTCCAGCACCATAATTCAAAAGCATCCATTCTTTGGCAATCAGCCTTCTTGATGGTCCAGCTCTCACTTCCATACATCACTACTGGGAAAGCCATGGCTTTAACTATACGGACCTTTGTTGGCAAGGTGATGTCTCTGCTTTTTAAGATGCTGTCTCAGTTGACGCACACATTTCTGCAAAGCCATTTTCCACAATACAATACATTTTTAATCTTGCTTTTTAATATGTGCATTGGCTTTACCTTGCTATGGTAGCTTCACAGCAGAGTCTGGCTCTCCCAAAAAGTGGCAGGTGCAAAGGGGATTTTCCTGCCACTGCAAGGGCATGGAGGAGTCAAGGAATGGTGGGATTGGGAGGGACCCCAAGCGTTCATCTAATCTGACCCCCCTGGGATGCAGGAATCTCAAGCATCCCTCACAGGGGGCCAGCCAAGTCCTCCTTACCCAGCCACACCCGCCCCCTGGGTATGCCTGAAGGGATGGGAGGGAGAGGCAGGATCCGTGCAGCGTTTCTCCTGATGCCTGCCTGTCTTTTGTCTGTGCCCCCCTCCAGGCTGCGGAGAGCGGTGCCACCCCCTGAGCCTCCCCAGAGCCCTCCCTCCAGCAGCAGCTGACTCAGCGGCCCTCAACCTCTCCCTCGGCCCTCCTCTGCCCCCTCCTGCCTCCTTCCTCCTGCGGGCATCCCAGGCCTGGAGCGGCTCCACGGCTGGCTCTCCATCCCCTTCTGCGCCATGTTCTCCGTTGCCCTCCTGGGCAACTCGGCCGTCGTCCTGGTGGTGGCGAAGGAGCAGGCCCTCCACCAGCCCATGTACATCTTCCTGGCCATGCTGGCCCTCAACGACGTGGCTCTCTGCCTGGTCATCGTCCCCAAGGCGCTGGCCATCTTCTGGTGGCGAGCGGAGGAGATCTCCTTCCAGGTCTGCCTGGCCCAGATGTTCTTTGTCCATGCCTTCTTCCTCTCCGAGTCGGCCATCTTGCTCGCCATGGCCTTCGACCGCTTCGTGGCCATCTGCCGGCCACTGCGGTACATGGCCATCCTCACTGGCACCACCCTGGCCAGGATCGGGGCCAGCCTGGTGGCCAGGAGCGTCTGTGCGGTGGTCCCGGGGGTCTTCCTCCTCCGCAGGCTGCCCTACTGCCGCACCAACGTGATCCGCCACACCTACTGCGAGAACATGGGCATCGCCAAGCTGGCCTGCGCAGACGTCACACTCAACAGTGCCTACGGCTTGGCGGCCGCCTTCCTGACCTGGACGCCATCCTCATGGTGGTCTCCTATGTCCTCATCCTGTGGGCCCTCCTGAGGCTGCCGTCCAGAGACGCCCGCCTCAAGGCCTTGGGCACCTGCGGGTCCCATGTGGGCGTCCTGGCGGTCTTCTACAGCCTGGCTTTCTTCTCCTTCTTCACCCACCGCTTTGGCCACAGCGTCTCCCACCACGTCCACATCCTCCTGGCCAACCTCTACCTCCTGGTGCCCCCCACCCTCAACCCCATCGTCTACGGGGTGAAGACCAAGGAGATCCGGGGGCATGTCCTTGGCCTGCTGAGACGGAAGGGCAGCGCCCCCCAGTTTGGGGTCTGAGGGACAGACGCCTCGGCCTCTGGGCACCAGGTGGCAGAGCCCTTTTGCTGCCCGAGGCTGAGGACAAGATGGTGCACAACATCCGACTGGAGCGGTAACTGGTTCTCACCTGAGTGCTGGAGATGGGGCAGAGTTCTCCTCTGACCCCAAAAGCAGCCAGCTGGCTATGGGGCTGCAGGGCAGACCAGGGGGCACACATTTCTAGGGGGAGGTGGGAGGATTGGGGTGTTGGCAGAGGATTCTCGCCACCTGAGTCTTTTCCCTTCCTTGAAAACTCAGCTGCCAATATCCGAATGCCACCCTACAAATCTGTGGAGCAGCAGCTGAAAGATTGTGCCCAGTTCTGGTTGCCTCACATGAAAGTGGACATTGCAGAGTTGGAGAAGGTTTAGGAAAGGACACCCCAAATGATCCAGGGGAGGGGGCAGCTGCCCTGTGGGGAAAGGCTGGCGTTTGGGGGCCTTTTTAGTTTAGAGAAAAGGGGAGAGTAAAAGGCGAAACGACAGAGGTTTATAAACCAACGCCTGGCCTGGAGAAAGTGGAAGAGAGAAGCTTTCCTCCCTCTCTCCTAACACTAGAACTTCTGACATGTCAGGAAGAGATTCAGCACTGATTACAAAGTCCTTCTTCATGCAGCACGGAGTTAATCTGTGGAACTCCCTGCCACAGGAGGCAGAGATGGCCACCAACTTGGATGGCTCTGAAAGAAGATCGGACAATTTCGTGGAGGGAGAGGGGCTGCCCAGGGCTGCCGCCCGGCGGGCTCTGCTGTGGCTCCGCAGTCGGTTGGGGGCAAAGATCCTTCTGAGGAGGGGGGAAAGGGCCTCTTGGGCTCAGGTTCTGGGGGCTGGTTTCCCTTGGGAGAATTCTGGCCCATCCTGTGGCCAATGTGGGCATGCTGGCCACCTCAGAAGGGCCTCATCCTGTCTGGCACCCTCTTCCCTGCAGGGGCCAACTGGACACCTCTTCTGCAGCCCTCTCCCCACCCAGGTTCCCCAGGGAAGGAGACAGGTAGACTGCCTCTGCAGCTGGAGGCATTGCGTGGCCACAGAGACAAATGTGGCAAGTTACTTTAAACTCTTGTTTATTATTATTATTATTATTAGTAGTAGTAGTAGTAGTAGTAGTAGTAGTTATTTATATCTTGCACACCTGGCTGGGTTTCCCCAGCCACTCTGGGTGGCTCCCAACAGAATATTAAGTATAATAAAGCAATAAAACACCAAACATTCAAAACTTCCCTAAAGAGGGCTGCCTTCAGATGGCTTCTAAAAGTCGGACAGTTGTTTATTTCCTTGACATCTGGTGGGAGGGCGTTCCACAGGGCGGGGGCCACTACCGAGGAGGCGCTTTGAGCTTGCAGCCCCTCCGGGGACCTTGCCGGGAAGGGTGGATCATAAATAAATACTCTCCCTGCACCAGCCTCTCCATGAAGCTCCAAGGGCTGCCCTTCACAGTCAATGAGAGACACACGGCAGAGAGCCAACTGTGAACATTCACAGACCTTCTTCTCCAGCTCTGGAGTCTAGTCTCTCGGTGCTTGAAAGCCATCCACTCCCAGCTCTGTTTCCTTCCATGGAGCTGGCATGGCTGGCTTCAGGGACTCTTCCCAGCCCAAGGAAGGCACATGGCAGAGAGCTAGCTCTTTCTTGCCCAATATAAGACTCGCTAGGATGCAGCTATTCCCAGGTCTGCGCTCTATGAGCAGCTGCAACAACAGGGGTGACTCTCCCTCCCTCCGTTTATGCTCCTCACAGCCAGAGACTGCGCCTGCACAGAAGCTCCCTCTGCCCTTCCCTCTTCAGTCCCCTCCTGGTTCTGGGAGACGGAGGTTCAGGAGAAGGTGGGGAAGCCCCTGGCCCTTTCCTGGCCTGCCTCATCTTCCTCCAGCTCTGAAGCGTCCCCTGCTTCCGACTCTTGCCTCCCGACTGGCCCAGTTCCCCACAAATCACTGCCCCCCTCTTTCAAGCCAGACTCCAGCCCCTCTTCCCCCGGCGTCCTGCCAATTGTAGACACCCCCTTTTTGGAGGCTCATTGAGGGAAGCTCTGGGTTTGAGTCATCCCGGACATTTCCCTTGTGGCTCCCATTGCGCCTTCATCTGTGCAATGGGTCTAAATGCCACATGAGATCTGTGGGGTGTGTTTTGCTCCTGCAAAATGGCTCTCGGACTGTGAGCTTCCAGGGAGTCTCCTGGGCTGTGTGCTCAGTCCTGGTCCTGCTGCTTGCGAGGAGATGATAAAGAGAGCAGCTGGGGCCTGATGTCTTCTAGAGAGAAGCAGCTATCTGGGGCCTCCTGCTCGGCCCAGGGTGCCACACCCCACGGCCAGCCTCTTCCCCCCTCCTGCTCCTCAGCCCCACCAAGCTGGGCCCCAGAGGAGGAGGAGGAGCTTTGGCCCAGGGTATAAAAGGCTCCAGCCCTGGAAGGAGCTCCAGCTCAGCCCAGAAGGTTTTCTCCAGCAGCCGAGAGAAGCTCACAGCCAGCCATCATGGTGCACTGGACCGCCGAAGAGAAGCAGCTCATCAGCAATTGCTGGAGCAAAGTGGACGTGGCCGCCATGGGTGGGGATACCCTTGCCTGGTAAGGCCAGGGGTGGTTGCCTCTCTGGGCAGGCTGGGCAGGCTCTCCTCTTTCCACCTGGAGAATGACCATCCATGCCTCTCCCGGTGTGGTGTAGTGGTTAAGAGTGGTGGACTCGTAATCTGGTGAACCGGGTTCGCGTCTCCGCTCCTCCACATGCAGCTGCTGGGTGACCTTGGGCCAGTCACACTTCTCTGAAGTCTCTCAGCCCCACTCCCCTCACAGAGTGTTTGTTGTGGGGGAGGAAGGGAAAGGAGAACGTTAGCCGCTGTGAGACTCCTTCGGGTAGTGATAAAGAAGGATATCAAATCCAAACTCTTTCTCCTCCTCCTCTTCTTCTTCTTTCTCCTTCCTTCCTTCTCTCCAGCTTGCTGATCGTCTTCCCCTGGACCCAGAGATTATTCCTGCAGTTTGGGGACCTCTCCAGCCCTGCCGCCATCTGTGCCAACCCCAAAGTCCGGCAGCACGGCCACAAGGTCCTGGCCTCCTTCGAAGAGGCCATCAAGAACCTGGACAAGATCAAGGAGACCTTTGCCAAGCTGAGTGAGCTGCACTGCGACAAGCTCCACGTGGACCCCGTCAACTTCGGGGTGAGCCTGCCTGCCCCCAAGGGCTGCCTGGGGAAGGGCGGGGGGATGGGTGCCTGAGGTCCCCTCTGCAGGGTCACAATCCCCTGAGGGAATCTCACCCTCTGCTTAACAACCTCCAGTGAAGGAGAGTCTTCCAAGGGAGTCCGTAAAAGCTCCTAATCTTCAGAAAGTTCCTCTTAATATCTAATGGGAATCTCCTTTCTTGTTGTTTAAATCCATTGGTTCGGATCCTGCCCTCTTGCGCACCAGAAAACAAGTCCCAGCCTTCTCTTGTCTCATGTGTTTAACTTGTTTTGAACTTTGTGTGATTTTACCGTATTATTTTTATGTGATGCGTTTTTTATGGAGCAGCGACATAAATCAATGAATTTTAACTAAACCCACATACCCAAGTAGGGGAGAGTTCCTGGCTATCTTTCACAATCCTCGTGGCGTCATCTCCTGGCGAGTCAGCGTGGGCTCCCCCCATCCGTGGGCACCTTCAGCCACGCCCTGAGCAAGCCAACCCCTTTACCTCGGAAAGAAGGGCAACTCGATGGACTCTCTTGCCTTCTGGCCCTTCAAATGGAGCCTGTGGGCCTTTGCCCTTCCTCCTTCTGACTTGTCCCTGGTCAAGCAAGGATCTGTCCGGCTAGCAGAGGCCGAGCCCAGGAGGTCCCTGGCAGGGGCCAGTTTGCTTCTTGGCTCCAAACCTCTCCTGGCATGGCAATGCCAGCCTGGGACGGTGTGGGGTTCTGTCTGTTGCCTCCTGGACCAGCCTCCTTCCAGGGGACCCCAAACCCCTTCATCCATCCCAGCTGGCCTTTGGGCTTGACCCCACAGCCGCCAGCTGTGGCTGTGTGGGGTGGGGGTTGTGGGGAGAGGGCGTTCTGCACACGGGCCCCCTGGCGGAAGGAGTCACCCCCTCTTTTCTCTTCCAGCTCCTGGGCGAGGTCCTCATCACCTTGCTGGCCGCGCGCTTTGGGAAGGAATTCACCCCTGCTTACCACCATGCCTTCCACAAGCTGGTCAAGGTGGTGGCTCATGCGCTGGCCCTCCGGTACCACTGAGACACCCCCATGGAGAAGCGGCTGCCTCCTGCTGGTCTCGCCACCCTCCGGGTGGGGTGGGGGCCACCCCTTCCTGCCCCAGTGTGACGCTTGACCCTCTAATAAATCCTTCCTCTGCAATCTGACCTGGTTTCCTGTGTCTCTTTCTCTGGGATGGGGGGGACAGGCCTGGGGGGAAGACCCCTCCTGTTAGCTGGCTGGCAGGGGGCTAGGAAAGTGGGGGGGGGGCTTCTCTATCCTCTGTCACTCAAGAGGAACCATTGAGCACCAGTGGGGGGGGGTTCAGGGTGCTGTGGCACTTGCAGAGTTGGAAGGGACCCCAAAAAATCATCTAGTCCCCTTCCCACCATTTCCTGGTCATTGCCCCTGGCCAGTTGTCCTCCTTGTTTTACCTCCTGGGGAGACTTGAGAGACTCGGTTGGAGATCCCAGCTCTGCCCTCCTGCTCTGCATTCAGCCCCTGCCAGTCACACACTTGATGCCCCCCCCCCTTATGAAAGACACCGTCTGCCACCTGGCCTGGTCTCTCTCTCTCCGCTCTGCCCGCTGCTCCTGGCCCACCAAGGTGTGGCAGCTGCCCCAAGTCTGCCCCCTTTGGCGTGGCTTCTTTGTTGCAGAGCAAACAAGCCTCAAAAGAGAGACCAGGTGGGATGGTGGTGGAGAGGGTGTGAGGGGGGGGATACGCCTCCTGTTAGCTGGTGGGGGTCTGGGAAAGTGGGGGGCTCTCTGTCACTCAAGAGGAACCACTGAGCACTGGTGGGGGTGGGTGGGGTTTCAGGGCACTGTGACACTTTCCCCTTGACACTCCTGGCAGGCTCCCTTCAATGCTCCACGGTCCAACGTCCTTGTCTTCCTTCTTTCGCCTTCTGGGGAAACCAGGGGGGCCGCTGCCTGCTCTGGCTTCAGCCCCCTCCTGCTGGGGGCACCTAACCAGTGCACCAGGGACACAAAGTGCACCCACAAGGCACCCACCCAGCCCCTCGAGAGCGAGGACCTTCTGAGCTGAGGACTAGACAACGGCGTGGCACCAGAGCAAAGGATCATGCTCGGCCGTGCATTCTTGACAAGAATGCATGCGCACACAGCAGCATCAGCCCTGTGACTCATGCGCACATTCTCCTTGCCAAGATAAGGCCAGGAAGCTTCATTTCCCCTATCTGCAACTAACGGACCAATCAGAAGCTGTTCTGTTTGACAGCTGGCCAATCAGGGCCCATTTCACCTTTAAATCTCCCTTATGGAACAGCAGCCCCTACAGGGGGGAAATGCAAATCGCAGGCTGCGCTGCAAAGGAGCTGGGCTGCTTCTGGAAAAAGGAAGGAAGTCTCCACTATGAGCCTCCAATGAATGGGAAAGACACAGAAATTCAACAGGAATCTGGTTAGTGCAAGTTTTTATCCAGTTCCAGTGGTAATAAGGTTGTTATCCAGAGGTACAGGGTGTTACAGGGAAATCGGACGGGAGAGTCTTGCCTCACCACGCAGCACATCACCAAAACCTCATTCGTTCAGGTTCAAGGCTCCATTCACAAAGTGCCTGTCTAATCAGAAACTGCAGCAGCCCCAAATGTCCGGAAAATTAAGAGCAACACATCTGCAAAGGCCTCTGCAAGGGAAGCTCAGCTCAGTTTGCAGAAGGAGCCCCTGACTCCCCCCTGAGCCCCAGGTCTCCAACAAAGGAAAACAGGGGAAGTGTCAGAACCAAATCTAGCAATTCGCTGATAAATGCATCTATGTACAAGCTCAATGGGAAAACTCTCACAAAACATCACTTGCTGCATCCATCTTCTCAGTTCCAATGGCATTTAGGACCCAGGGAAGTGAGGTATAAGGGGCCGGGTAAGAGAGCCCACCGTAATCCACAGATGTACAGTCAGTTCTGCAGGGCCTTCCAAATGAGTCATGATGGTGATATCCTGCCCCAAGAGTGTCAGGCAGATCTCCATCTCAATCGCAATGCCTACCTGCCCCATAGTGGTGCATTATGGTCTGCCCCGCAGAGGACCTTAAGGTCCATGAATAGTTTAGAGGTCCCGGGCCCTAAGGAAGTCAGACTATCCTCCTCCAGGGCCAGGGCCTTCTCAGTGGTGGCTCTGACCTGGTGGAATGCTCTGCCCCAGGAGACCAGGGCCCTGCAGGATTTAACCTCCTTCCACAGGGCCTGTAAGACAGAGCTATTCCGCCTGGCCTTTAATTTGAACTTAGCCTGATCTTTTATTCCCCTTCCTCCCCTTTTCATGAAGATTCCCCGCTCTGGGATCCCACAGCTAATTCTCCCCTGATCTCCTCACTGGCCCAAATAGGACTAACCTAGCCAGCTAGCCCTGGTGATCATCTAATGTTTATTGGATGGATTTCCCCCCCTAAACTGATTTTTGAATTCTGAATTGATTGCTATTCACGTTTTATACTGTATTTTATGCTGGTTTTTGTTGCATCAATTAAGTGTTTAAAATTTGTTGTTAGCCGCCCTGAGCCCTGTTAGCCGTTTTCTGAACCGGAAAGGGCGGGGTATAAATAAAAAATTATTTATTATATTATCTACAAGACAAAGGGGTGTCCCTCAGGGACCCGGAAACTGTACATGTTTTCCTCTGTACTGTGATGGAATATGTGTGAAAGACTGTATTTGATTGACAGGGGCCTGCCTGGATCTCAGGTTCTACCTGTGACCACACCTTTTCTGTGACATATCTATGGTGCCTTGATGACGCATCTTGAGATGTATTATGGGAAACACTGAAATGCGGATGAAACCGATTGTTCGGCGCTTCTGGCTGCCTTGTCTTTGTGGGAGTGGGAAGTCCTGTTGCAACAAGAAAGATCAGGCCTGCTGGCTGCTCTTTTTGCTTCTATCTCCTGGCTGAAGTCTCTTGCATGTGACCCCAAACCTGAGTCAAGGTCAGGCGATGTTGGGGGGCTCCAAGGACCCTCTTTCACAGTGGAAGGAGACGGGAGTCGTGGCATGAACAGAACGGGGAAGCCATAATCCCTATGTACACAGGATCCCCTCCTGACTGGCCGATTGGGCAAGATCCCACATGGCAAAGAGCCAGATAGAAGCCCATCACCCTCGCAACACATGTAGGGACCTCCAGCCCAGGTGGGAGTTCACCAGGTGCAGCAAGAATAGATTTTCCCAACTGATTCAAGGTAACAAAAGGGAAGGTAAAGACTTTCTTTGGAAGGTGAAAGGCAGGAGAATAATCGCAGCCTTGAGGGACAGGACTCTGCCTGGGACTCAGATTTCTGCCTGACAATGCACCTCCTTCTCTGACATGTCTCTGACATTTTTTTTATGATGCTTCTTGAAATATGTTATGGGAAATTGTGGGAACTTATAAAAGCTTTTGTTCTGGGTTCTTCTTCTTTGCTTGCTCAGGAGTGGAAAATTAGTTGCAACAAATAAATGATCAGGTTTACCAGCCGCTGTTTAGATTCTTCAACTGGGCTGCAATCTCTTGCTTGAACCTGGCCACTTTTGGACCCACAGGACCAGATCCTAACAAAGTTGGGGAAACCTTTTAAGAAAGGTACCTCAAGTTTTGAAACTTCCTTAACAGGCCCCTCGTGTGACGTCTCGCCCCCTAATAAAAGCCACCCTCTGCCGTCTCAGGCAACAATTCTTCCCTGCTGCTCCCTGGGGCAGCTAATAATAATAATAATAATAATAATAATAATAATTTATTTATACCCTGCCCATCTGACTGGGTTTCCACTCCAGGCGGCTTCCAGCAAAATATTAAAACACAGTAGTCCATCAAAGATTAAAAGCTTCCCTGAACAGGGCTGCCTTCAGATGTCTTCTAAAAGTCTGGTAGTTGTTTTTCTCTTTGACATCTGGTGGGAGGGCGTTCCACAGGGTGGGTGCCACTACCGAGAAGGCCCTCTGCCTGGTTCCCTGTAACTTGCCTTCTCGCAGGGAGGGAACCGCCAGAAGGCCCTCGGTGCTGGACCTCAGTGTCTGGGCTGAACAATAGGGGTGGAGACGCTCCTTCAGGTCTACTGGGCCGTTGAGGACTTTCAAGGTCAGCACCAACACTTTGAATTGTGCTCGGAAACGTCCTGGGAGCCAATGTAGGTCTTTCAGGACTGGTGTTATGTGGTCTTGGCAGCCACTCCCAATCACCAGTCTAGCTGCCGCATTCTGGATTAGAAGTAAACCCAGCAGGGCTTACTTCTGAGGAGACATGCAGAGGCAGGTAGGCCCTCGGTGCTGCTGCCTGGACATGCAAAGCATGACTCGTCCTCTGACAGTGAAGGAGCAGCTTGCCAGCAGTTAACTCCTTGCATACTGGAAGTCCTTCCCCTGGAATGGAAACTGGCCCTTTGCACAGAAACAGACAGGAGAAGCCCCAACTAAAGAGGAACGGCTTCGAAAGTTGACGGACTATGCGGAAATGGAGAGCAAAAATAAGAGATAAAAGAGACAAAGTGTTCCTGGAAGAGTGGAGACTATTTGAAGAACTGTTATGGTCAAATGGAAACATGCACAGGGTTTGAATTATGAGCAGCAGAATGAAAACAAAGTGAAATAGAGGCTAATTGTATTAAAGTTTAGCGTATAAAAAGGGACACGGGTGGCGCTGTGGTCTAAACCAGTGAGCCTAGGACTTGCCGATCAGAAGGTCGGCGGTTCGAATCCCCGTGACGGGGTGAGTTCCCGTTGCTCGGTCCCAGCTCCTGCCAACCTAGCAGTTCAAAAGCATGCCAGTGCTTCTCTTTTCTGTTATTTCTTTATATATCTGACCTTGTATTTCTATCTGGAAAAATGCAATAAAAAATATTATAAAAAAAAAAAAAAAAAAAGCATGCCAGTGCAAGTAGATAAATAGGTACCGCTCCGGCGGGAAGGTAAGCGGTGTTTACGTGCGCTGCTCTGGTTTGCCAGAAGCGGCTTAGTCATGCTGGCCACATGACCCGGAAGCTGCACGCCGGCTCCCTCGGCCAAAAAAGCGAGATGAGTGCCGCAACCCCAGAGTCAGCCACGACTGGACCTAATGGTCAGGGGTCTCTTTACCTTAACCTTTATGACATATAAAGCAGTAAATATAAGGTGGGAATAAAAATATGGAAGTAAAGGCGGCAGTCCCCTCCTCCTCCATGAACTTGCCCAGGCTGCTTTAAAGCCATCCAGGTTGCTGACCACAGTTTTAACTATGCGCTCTGTGAAAGGTGGCGAGGGAGAGATAAGTGTACCGTCTAACAATGGTGCCTGGGCACCTGCGTGTGAGTGAGGCAGAGGGTTGGACTAGATGACCCCTTGGGTCCCTTCCAGCTCTATTGTTCTGCTGACCCCACAGCCCTTTCCCCCGACACTCTGCAGCGGGGAGAGGGGTGTCCTCAAAGCACCCCAATCCCACCCTCTGGGCCTCCCCCCCCCCCCGAGACCTGCTTCTCCTGCACCCTTGGCCCCTCTCCAGAGGATATCCGGTTGTTTTGTGCCTCCACTTCCTTCCCGGAGACTTGGGACAAGGCGTCTGCATCCCGGTTTCAGACAGGATCCCACGCGCTTTGGCCCGAAGCCCAGAGTCCTGGCCTGCCGTCATCTCCTGGACAAACAGGATCTTGCCAGGCCCCTGCAGGAAGGCAGGAAGGCAGAAGCAAAGGAGCTAAAAGGTCCACGAAAGCCGGAAGGGCTTTGGAACTCACTGCCACTGGATTCAAGGGGAATACAAGCAGGTTCAAAAGCCAGTGTGTTTTCTGGAAAAGCGTTTCCTCGGGAAAAGATTAGTTTCCTCCTCACATTCAGGGTCAGGAATAAGTCACAAAGGCGGTTCTGGGTTGGGTCTCCTGGTAACCACTGAAATGCCAGTCTGGGGGTTAGCTAGTGTGCTGCAGCAGTCAAGAGTGTGGGACCAGGACCTGGGAGATCAGAGTTCGAATCCACCCCCCAGCGCTGAAGCTCAGTGGGTGACCTTGTGCCAGCTACTCACAACCCCTTTGACTGCCAGAGGCGACACCTGATGCCCCTTCTGCTTTTGTAAGCACTCCGTATTTCAGTGTGGCAATCCTTGCACTTTGGAACTTCCTGCCACATGACATGAGACGGGTGCTCTTTCCAGTACCTTCTCAGCACCTTCTCCTCCAGGGAAGGCCCCCCAGACGCTCCCAAAGTCAGTGCCAGCCTGGATCTGTTTTTTCCAGCCTGTCGTTGTTCCAGCTTTCCAAAAGTCTTGCAATCTTGCTGCAAATTTTCCTAATGGATAATTTCATTGTTTTTATGTTTTTTGGAAAGAGCTTTGAGGCTGCTATTGTTTCACGATCAAGAGGTGTGTAAATTTTATGGAATAAGTAAATACTGGAAGAAGATTTAATTTTTTTACATTTCAACAATGTATCAGCATAAAAAAGAGAGGAAAGGATGGGGGGGGGGAATGAGCGGGGCTTTTTGGTCTTTTATTTAGTGATCTTGCAGGCCCCACCCTGACCTCCGCGCACCATCCATCCAGCAAAGAGCCAATCCAGGCATGGTCACCCCGCACCCAGGGACCCCTTTGCAGACCCGGGTCCCAATCCCTTGCCAGACCAGCGCCTCCCCCCAAAAGGAGCCCAGGCTCAGCAACGGGGTCGAGGCGGGAGGCCGCATCGCCGCCCCCCCCCCCTTGGCAGGGGTTGCAATTGGGGGCCGAGACTTACTCCCTAGGAAACGCGCCCCGGAGCGGGGCCGGGCTTTGCAGGAGCCTCCTTCTCGGCGGCGGGGGAGGCGCGGCGCTCCGCACGCGCTCAGAGGCGCCCTCGCCTGCGCTCGTGCACAGAGGGAGGGGGGTCCCCGCGGGGCCGCCTCCCCCTTCCTGTCTCCCGGCCGGAGCGAGCGGAAGTTTGGCGGCTGCCCGGCCAGCCGAGGAGGGAGGAGGAGGAGGAGCAGGTAAGCCGGATTGGGGCGGGGGGGGGGGGGAGAAAAAGACACGTTGCCGGGGGGGGGGCAGGAAAATCTGGCCCCTCCCTGCGGCCACCTTGCAGCGCCCCTCCCCCATCCAGGGAGCCCCCCCCCCGCAAAAGCTGCCCATTCTGCAGCCCCCCCGACAGACAGGCGTCCACTTCGCTCCCCCCCCCTTGAGCTCTTCAGGCGCCCCCTTTCTGCTTCCTCCCCGTTGCGAAGTGGGGGCGCGGGAGGATGGGGGTCTTTATTTCCTCCCCCCCCAATTCCTCTTCTGAGCTCGGTCCTCGCCTCGCCAGCCCCCCACCCCACTCCCCACCCCTCCGGGTGCGAGGCGGGAGAGGGGGGGTCTGGTGGGGAGAGGCCCGGCCGCGCCCCCCCCTCGCCCCCCCACCCACCCACCCTACAAGCCCTCCGCCCCGCTCCGCGAAATGGCCCCATTTCACAGCTTCCGAGGGAAAGTCGAGGCTTGGCTCCGTCTTGCCCCCCCCCCACTGGATCCTGCATTCCTCGGCTTGCAGAGCCTGCTCTCCCCCCCCCCCGCAAGCCCAGCCCCCCCCTCCTCGGGCTTCCTGCTCCGTGCAGGGCAAGACCAGGCAAGACTCGCCCTGGGCAATCTCCCCCCCCCCCCGCCCTTTCCTGCCTCCTTCCCTATAAATACCGCGGCGGGGGGGGGGGCAGAGGGAGTGTCTCCCCATTGCAGAAGGTGCGGCTGGGCATGTCTGCAGCGGAGGGACTGGCCCGGCCTGGCTGGGCTGGAGGTGCGCGGGCCCCCCCGGCATGCAATACCCCTTTCCTTCTTGTGGGGGGGGGTGAGCTCCAGGGCTGGGGGTGCGGAAGCCCATCCTGGTTCCCTCGGCTGGGTCTGATCGGGAGAGGGAGGGAGCCGGCATCCCGCTCGCCCCCCCCCCCCCGGGCGTCTACAGCAAGAGCACCTTGGGCAGGAGGGGGTTACTGGCCCGGCTGCTGAGGGTGGGGGGGGGGGAGATGAATCAGCATCCGCTGCTCCTGCTGAGACAGCGCCCTCAGCACCCTGCCCTCAGCACCCTGCCCTCAGCACCCTGCCCTCAGCACCCTGCCCTCAGCACCCTGACCGGCGGGGCCCTTGGGTGCCAGCAGAAGGAAGAGACCGGCCGGAGGGGGAGAGATTCTGGCAGCAAAGGTCAGCCAGAGGGGGGGCAGTGTTGGGGGGCATGGAGGCCTGGGGTGCTGTTCAGCACCCAGAGTTCAAAGAAGGGGGTGCCATGGGTAGGACGGTCAGACTCAGACCCTTGACTCCATTGAGATCAGTGCAGCCCGTTCTGACCGGCAGCAGTTGCCCTCCAGGGACCTTTCTCCCATTGGGAGCCTTCTGCACTCCAAGCAGGTGTTTGGCCCCGGAGGGAAAGCCTTTCCTTTCAGCCCTAGGGCCACAGAAAGCTGACTCAGGCACCCAGCCCATCTGGCGCAGCACGGCCAGCACTCTGGCTGGCAGCTTCTCTCTGGGATTTCGGGCAGGGCGCCCCCCCCCCGGCCTTCCCAAAGATGCCTCCAACTGGGGTTTGTACTGGTGGGGACCTTCTGCTTGCCAAGCAGGCGCTTTCCCACTCCGCTGCCACCCCTTGCCTCTGAGAGGAAGCCCAGCAGAGCGTGAGATCCTCAGGGTCGTGGGTTCAAGCGGCGGGTTGGGCAGGAGAGCCCTGAACTGCAGCGGGTTGGGCTGGATGACCCTTGGGGTCCCTTCCAAGTCTCCCATTCCTGTTAGTCCTGGTTCTTTAGGAAAAGCTGCCTGGTAAAGGAACAGAGGAAGTCAGGCCCTGGGGGAAACTCAGCATTGCTTATTCTGACTGGCAGCAGTGGGGGGGGGTCTGTCTCCCAGCCTGGATTGGCATTCTGCATGCCAAGCGGGTGTTCTGCCCTTGTGCCCCTTCCCCACTGCCACCTGGCTTAACCCTCTCTCTCTCTCTCTCTCTCTCTCTCTCTCCTAGGCTTCTCCCCTGCCCCACTTCCCAGCCCCACACCTCGCCTGCGGAACCGGCCCTGACCCCTCCCTCGGTGCCACCACCGCCCGGACCCCGCCATGCCCCAGGCCTGGCATGGAGCCCTCTGGCAGCCTGCTTCAGGGCAAGCCCTTCTACTGCCGGGAGTGGGCGCTGGGCCGGCTGGCGCTCAGCCTGGAGGGGGGCGGGGGGGTGCTGGTGACGGGGGGCCCGGGCAGCGGCAAGACGGCCCTGTGCACTGAGGCCCTGTGGCCCACCTCCGAGGCGGGGCGCCGGGTGGGGCTGGGCGAGAGCGCCTTGGCCTGGCACTTCTGCCAGCCCCACGATGGCGCCACCTGCTCCCCCCGAGGCTTCCTCCTCCGGCTGGTGGCGCAGATCCGGCGGTGCCCCCTGCTGCCCGGGTACGGTGAGCGCCTGGGCCGGGCGGATGCCCAGAGCACCCTGGAGAACGCGCAGTGCAAGAAGGACCCGGACGAAGCCTTTCGCAGGTGAGAGAGAGCCCCCACCCTGCCCCCCTGGGGGGTGGCATCCTGGTCGCCCCGCTGTCCGGAGGGCAGGATCCCTTCCTCCTCCTCCTCCGGGATCAGGCCCGTCGAGTCGGGCATCCGTGTCTCGCAGTGGCCAAAAACTCCTCAGAATACCTGGAAATTGAGGTAGACTGCCGCTGCACCTGGAGGCTCCACAAAAGCCTCAGAAGAGTCTGGTGGCTCTCAAGGGGGATAAAAATCAATCATTTAAAAAATAATAATGGATTTTTTTGATTTAAAATAAAATGCTTTTGGAGGAAAAATTATTCTAAAGATAGTTTTCTATTTAAGTTACATTATAGTCTAAAGGGCTATTCATTAGGAAATAAGGATTTTGTTTTTCATGTGTGCTAAAACTCAGTCTGAGTTTTTTGTTTGTTTGTTTAACCACATCAGTTAACCAACATGGATACATTTGCTAGAACGTTATTGTTTTAGTTAAATAAATTGTTATTAAGGAATTTTTTTCCCCTCCTTCCGATAAAGTACAGCAGAAAAGTTGTCCAAATATAAACAGTTAACTTATTAACCCTCACAACAATTTCATAATTATCTGTCTATGTATTTCTAATAGTATAACCAAATAAGTGTAAAAAACTACTCTGGGAATTTATTATTTCAGAAATGAAACCTTCATCTGGTTGTAAATATTAAGTATATACCAGCAAGAATGAGTCTTTCTGTAAAATAAATAAGGCAAATGATTTAAATCAAATCCCCCCAGGAGCTGCCTCTCTAGCCTGTCGCCATTTACCTCGCCTTTCCTCCAAACTAAAAAGCCCCCCCCCGTTGAATTGATCTTAATGCTGCCCATATTTTCAGCTGTACACAATTCCCCCCCCCCATATATTCAATAAATGTTTTCCACTCTTCTCTCAACGTGTTTTCTTCTTGTTCTCTTACTCTATATGTTAAGTCTGCAAGCTGCACATATTCCGTCAGCTTAAGTTGCTGTTCTTCTTCGGTTGGGACCTCACTCGTTTTCCGTTTTGGGGGCTAACAAAACACGTGCCACAGTATTGGCATACATAAATAACCTTTTTTGACACCTGGGAATTCCAGTCTGAATTATCCCCAATAGAAAAGACTCTGGGGTTTTTTGGGGGAAAGTACTTTTAAACATGTTTTTCCAATTCATTATAAATTATTTAATAAAGATTTATTTCCCCTTTTTTACCCTTTTACAAGTCGACCACATATGAAAGAATGTCTCTGGGTATTCCCCATTTGCAATATTCACATTGTGTGCCCCCCCCAACATAACAATTTATCAAAGATACATCATCCTCATTTCCCTCCCCCATTTTTTCCCTCCCCAAAAAAGAAAAACCCTCCCTCCCCCCACCCCAGACTTCCCTCAGCTCCTCTCTCTGGTTTTTCAGCGCATGTTTTTCTCTGCATATTATAAAATTGTAAAGATCCTTAATTTATCTATCAATATGTTACCAATAAAAAGTTTGTGTATGTTTATTCAAAACCTGCCAAGGAGCCCAGTTCGTTTTGTTGTTTCTTTATGTACTTTGTAAAAGGTTCTTTAAAGTCGCAGTTGTCCTTATCACGTGGTTTATGAGTCAATTCCGCTTAGTCCATCAGTTTCTCTTGCCACAGTTCTTTGGTCGGGATTTCCTCATTCTTCCATCCTTGTGCTACTAAGACTCTCACCACCGTTGTCGCATACATAAAGATATTTTTCAGTTTCCTTGGCAGGTCTTTTCCTACAATCCCTAACAAAAATGCTTCAGGCTTTTTTTACAAATGTTAATTGGAACATTTTCTTCAACTCGTTGTACATCATTTCCCAACTTTTTTTAATTTCACCCTTCCTTCCTTCCTTCCTTCTTCCATCCACAGGGCCGTCCTGCTCCCCCTGCTGGACCTGCCGCCCCCCGCCAAGCCCCTCCTGCTGGTGGTGGACGCTCTGGACGCCGGCCAGGCGGAGCGCGAGGAGGAACGAGCCCCCCCTCCGGGGCCCAGCCGGACCATCGCCCAGCTCCTGGGGGGCCACCTGCAGCTGCTGCCCCCCTGGCTGCTCCTGGTCTGCACTGCCCGCTCCCACAGCAAGGGGGTGCTGCGCCTCTTCAACGGTGAGGGGGGGCCCGGCCCGAGGGGAGGGGGGCCAGGGACCCCAGTAGCCCAACCCCCTGCAATGCCCGATTTGCAGCTAACTTCTCTTTAACATTAATCTTCTTTAAAGTTGTATATCACCCTTCATCTGGGATAGCTCAGTTGGAAGAGCATGAGACTCTTACTTTCAGGGTTGTGGGTTCGAGTCCTGTGTTGGGCAAAAGATTCTTGCTGGGGTGGGTGGGGTGTAAATAAATAAATAAATAAATTATTGTTATTATTATCATTGCATTGCAGGGGGTTGGCCTGCATGGTACCTTCCAGTTTTACAGTATGATAATTTAGAACTTAGATAATTTAGAATTTGGATGCGGGTGGCGCTGTGGGTTAAACCAAAGAGCCTAGGGCTTGCTGATCAGAAGGTCGGCGGTTCGAATCCCCACAATGGGGTGAGCTCCCGTTGCTCAGTTCCAGCTCCTGCCCACCTAGCAGTTCGAAAGCACGTCAAAGTGCAAGTAGATAAATAGGTACCGCTCCGGCGGGAAGGTAAAAGGCGTTTCCGTGTACTGCTCTGGTTTGCCAGAAGCGGATTAGTCCTGCTGGCCACATGACCCGGAAGCTGGATGCCGGCTCCCTTGGCCAGTAAAGCGAGATGAGCGTTGCAACCCCAGAGTCAGTCACAACTGGACCTAATGGTCAGGAGTCCCTTTACCTTTACCTTAATTTAGAACAGTGTTTCCCAAACTTGTGTCTCCAGCTGTTTTTGGACTACAGTTCCCATCCCCCCTCATCACTGGTCCTGATAGGTTGGGATGATGGGAGTTTTAGTCCCAAAACAGCTGGAGAACCAGAAAACTTTTATTGATTATATGGGAGATAATTGTGTACGGCTGAAAATGCTGGCAGCATTAAGATAAATTCAACAGGGTAAATAAGTTTTGGTGGATACAATAATGGGATACTGATTGGTATAGGTTTTTGTAAAATATGCAGGGATTTGTGATATGTGAAATGAACCATGGAAAGAGAAGAAGGCCAGTCTTGATATATTAAGGATGTAAAACGAGTACCGTATTTTTCGCTCTATAAGACACACCAGACCACAAGACGCACCTAGTTTTCGGAGGAGGAAAACAAGAAAAAATAATATTCTGAATCCCAGAAGCCAGAACAGCAAGAGGGATCGATCCCTCTTGCTGTTCTGGCTTCTGGGATAGCTGCACAGCCTGCACTCGCTCCATAAGACGCAGACACATTTCCCCTTACTTCTTAGGAGGGAAAAGGTGAGTCTTATAGAGCAAAAAATAGGGTATTTTAAATTGTAAAAGAGAAAGTTTAATAAAAATTATTTTAAAAAACAGCTGGAGACCAAAGTTTGGGAAGCACTGATCTATAATAATGATCCTGAAACAGTTCACAGCATAAAAATACAGAATAAAACCACAATGTAACCATAATCTTTAGTATTTTTAAAGCTTTTAGTAGTAAAAACCACCTTGAGCCTTGAGGAAAAGATGGCATATACAGGATATTATTACTATTTCGTGGCACTTTCCAGGGTGCCCCTGTGGGTGCCAAGTGCAGCCGACTGTTGGCATGCTATCCCCACTTTTCGGGGGCTCACATTTTTGTGGGGGGCTTTCTGGGGGGAGACCCAGCCCCTTCTCACCCCTCGCTTCTCCCCTCGACACCCCACAGGGTTCCGGCGCCTGTGCCTGGACGACCTTCGCCGGGAGCCGGTGGTCTGCGATGTCCAGCAGTACATCCTGGCACGGCTGGACCGGGAGGAGCCCCTCCGGCGCCACCTGACCCGCGACACGGCCGAGGCCCTGAGCCAGCTGCACATCAAGAGCAACGGGTGCCTGCTGTACCTGGAGCGGGTGCTAGACGGCGTGGCGGGCGAGCTGGTCACCCTGCGTGAGGTGCGCCACATCCCGGGCACCCTCTACGGCCTCTACCTCTGGCTGTGCCAGCGTCTCTTCCCTGGCCAGGACTTTGCCCTTGTCCGCCCCCTGCTGGAGGCCCTCCTGGCCGCACCGCGCCCCCTGCGCCCCATGGAGCTGTACGCCGCGGTGTGGACTCGCCGCCCGGTGCCCCGGGAGGAATTTGAGGGCTGGCTGGCATCCCTAGCGCCGCTGCTGCACCAGGGACCCAGTGGCACCTGCATCCTCTTCCACGCCAGCTTCGCCGAGTGGCTCTGCGATGTCAAGCATTGCACCCAGAGGTACCTCTGCTGCCCGGCCCGTGGGCACGCCTCCCTCGCCATGAGCGCCTCGTGCCGCGCACCTGCGCTGCTGCCCGAGCAGGTGCATGAACTGGCACACCACCTGCTGCGCGCCGAACTGGGCATGGAGGCTTGGCAGCTGGCGCTGTGGCTGGTGTGGTGTGGGGCGCCAGTCGAGCGCTGCCTGGAGCCTGAGGAGGCGTTGCTGCTGCCCCTGGCACCCGCGGTGCTGGAGCTTCTTGTACTGGCGGGGGCACGAATGGGCTCCCAGGGGCCTGGACCGTCGCTTCAACAGGCCCTCGAAAGGGAGGACTCGGTGCGGCTGCTCCTGGAAAACGGCGCCAGCGTCAACCAGCGGGACGTCACAGGGCGCACCCTGCTGGCCAGCGCCGCTCACAGCGGCAACCACGAGGTGGCGGGTCTCCTCCTGGCACGTGGGGCGCAGGCCGAGGTCCCGGACCGGCACGGACAGACGCCCATGACCCTGGCTGCCCGCCAGGGCCACACCAAAGTCCTGCTCTGTTTGCTGGCACACGGCGCCCAGGTAGATCGCCCTGACCGGGAGGGCTGGACAGCGCTGCGGGCAGCTGCCTGGGGGGGCCACAGCGAGGCCGTGGGGGTCCTGCTACGAGCTGGCGCCAACGTGGACTGTGCTGACGCAGAAGGGAGGACAGCACTGAGGGCGGCAGCCTGGGGCGGCCATGAGGAGATAGTTGCCACGCTGCTGGAGAACGGAGCCGACCTCAACCGGGCGGATACAGAGGGACGCACGGCACTCATTGCAGCGGCCTACATGGGGCACCGCGAGATTGTGGCACTGCTGCTGGCGCACGGAGCCCACGTGGACCACGCCGACGTGGACGGGCGCACGGCCCTGTCGGTGGCGGCCCTGTGCGTGCCTGCCAGCCGCGGCTATGCCAAGGTGGTGGAGCTCCTCCTGGACTATGGGGCGTCCCCGGGGCACAAGGACCGGGATGGCATGACCCCCTTGCTGGTGGCCGCCTACGAGGGCCACGCCGACGTGGTGGAGCTGCTGCTGGAGGCCGGGGCGGACGTGGATGAGGCCGATGGGGCTGGTTGTGCCCCTCTGCTGGCAGCTGCCTCCATGGGCCACCGTGCCGTGGTGGACACCTTGCTGCTCTGGGGGGCGGCCGTCGATGGGCTGGATGGCGAGGGCCGCACGGCACTGGGTGTGGCCGCTGGGCAGGGCAGCGAGGCGGTGGTTCGGGCGCTGCTGGAGAGAGGCCTGGACGAGAACCACCGGGATGCCCTGGGCTGGACCCCACTGCACCTAGCCGCCTGGCAGGGCCACGCCAGGACATGCGCCGCGCTCCTGGAGGCCGGGGCCCGTGTGGCAGAAACGAACCAAGACGGGAGGGTGCCCCTGATGCTGGCTGCCCAGGAGGGCCACACGGACACCGTGCAGCTCCTGCTGGACCGCGGCTCCCCCATCGACCACCAGGGCTATGACGGGCTCTCCGCCCTCTCGCTGGCCATGCTGGGGGGCCAACGATCCACGGCCGAGCTGCTCCTGCGCAAGGGGGCCGACGTCAACCTCTCGGATGCCGAGGGGCGCCCCATGCTGTACCTGCTGGTGCTCGAGGGGCGCCTGGACATGGCAGAGCTGCTGCTGGAGAATGGGGCTGGGCTAGAGGGGCAGGACGCCCAGGGACGCTCAGCCCTGCACGTGGCCTGCTGGCAGGGCCACGCCAAGGCAGCGCAACTGCTGCTGAGCTACGGGGCCGACGTGGATGCGTTGGACACGGAGCGCCGTTCTGCCCTGCACCTGGCAGCCTGGAAGGGCCACGCCCAGATCGCCCGCCTGCTGCTGGAGGGCGGGGCCCAGCCTGACCATGCCTGCAACCAGGGGGCCACGGCGCTGGGCATCGCCGCCCAGGAGGGGCAGGCAGAGGTGGCAAAAGTCCTGCTGGAGCTTGGGGCCAGCCCTGGAGTCCTCGACAGAGCCGGCCGGACCCCGCTGTGTGTGGCGGCCAAGCGGGGCCACCGGGACGTCCTGCGGCTGCTGGAGGGGCATGGGGCTGCGCCCGGCTCCCCGGGCTCCGTGGGCAGCTCCCCCTCAGCCTCGTTGGACTCAGCAGCAGGCGAGCACCCCAAGTCGCAGGCTTCCCTCTGTTCCTCGGGCGCCGCCACCTCCTCCACTTTCCACTCGCTGGCCACCGCACAGACGGTCCCCGTGGACACCCTCAGCTTCGCCCAGCAGATCCAACAGCACTCACTGCCTCGCCGGCGCCAGGCTGCCCTCGCTGCCCCGCCCCGACCCACAGTGGCTCAGGACAAGCACAACGGGGAGGCCTTGGGGAGCCCCTTGCTCCTCTCCATCGACACCCTGGACCCCCACCTGCATCTCAAGGCGGCCATCAAGCTGCAGTTCGAGGGCCCCACCTGCGGCTACGAGTACAAGCAGGAGACGCCCCTCTGACAGGCACTGGGGGGGCAGGGGCATTTTCGTGAGCGGGTCTGCTAATGCACAAAGGCCTTGGTGATGGGCACTGCCACCACTTGGGTGTGGGGTGTCTGGTTGTCTCTCCCAGGACGGCACTAGTGAGGAAACGGGTTGTGGGTTGTGTGGGTTAGGCTCATGGTCTGGGGGGCAGAGACCGGAAGGCAGAAATCAAGCCCGGCTACATAGCACAAAGGATCACCATCTAGGGGGCCGAGCAGATAGGGGCATTTTCCCCACGGCTCCCGGCAACACAATCAAGGTGCCTTGGACTCTAGGTTGCCAGTTTGGGAAGGTGGACAGAACCCATGAAAAAAGTTAACAGCTCCTGAACTTGAACTTTGGGGCTGTGAAAATGGTGTTTGGGGTTGGACAAGAGCCAAATTCTGTGGTTAGGATTTCAAGGGAGAGGAAGGCGGGGAATGTACAGAATGTCTTTTAGCAGGGAGGTGCCCACTGTGTGTTCCTGGGCTGGCTTGAGGTCCAATGCCAGGCTTGCCTTAACCACCTTGCCCGCTCTCTCACCGGGAGGTGGCACCTGCTCTGCCATGGGGTGCAGTTGAGGGGGCCATATCAGTGGGAGCCCATCCCCAAAGGGGTTGCGCACCACCTGTGCAACAGTAGACCGCCCGCCGCCGCCGCCTCTAGGCCCAACCAGAAGTAGAGGCGGCCTCTAGCTCTCCAGAGCGGGGCTGGCAGTGCAGGTTCTCAGCTTCTTTCCCTTCAGTGCCCCCGTGGTTGTGTTTCAGAACTTGCAGAGTCGGGAGGGACCACCGGGTCATCTAGCCCAACCCCACGCAATGCCAAGACGGGCTATTGGTAGCTCTTGGAGAAAAAGCACAGAGGACCTCCGCAGCCACACCCCAGGAAATACACATAGCCCACCTCTCCCGGGGTCCCTGGCTCAAGCCCTGCCTTTGGGCCCCGTGGCCCTTGGGTGCCTGTAGGTGGCAAGCCCCTCCCCCACCCCTGGTGCTGTTACCATATGCTGCCTTCATTGGTGTCTTAACCACTTCTTTAATGAGTTGCCACAAGTGACTTTGGAACCACTGGATACCAAAAATGGCTGGTGGGAGGGAGAGCGCCTGCCCTCTTTCCCTTGTGGGGCAGCCCTCTCCCTGCCCAATGCCTCCTGCCTGCCTCTGGGAGCCGGCCAGCCATTCTGGGGGGGGGGGGGAATCGCCTCCTTGCTGGGGCCCAAGATGCTGATCGTGGTGCTTCGTTGCTTCTCCAGGGACCCTCGTGGCTCTCCTTGATTTGCAGAACTCCCACCATCAATAAAGGTCCAACTCTGGAAACATTCTTGTCCTGGCATCTGTTGGCAGGGTGGGTGCGGGGAGGACTCAAAGGGTGGGGAACGTCCTTGCGTGCAGTGGCCTAGCAAGGGTTGCCAGGGCCCGGGGCAAAGCAACCGGTATGGCGCTCAGATCAGAAGACCAGTTCCAGACATTTTGAGCTGGCAAGACATCTTGCCAGCTGGGGGGCAGGACTGGGGGGCTTCCTGACCCAGAATATCATGGAAAAGTTCATTTATTTCAGTAATTCAACTTAAAAGGTGAAACTAATATATGAGATTATATATTAGTTTCACCTTTTAAGTTGAATTACTGAAATAAATGAACTTTTCCACGATATTCGAATTTTTCGAGTTCCACCTGTATCTAACATAACGTGATATTTAGCCGCTGATCTCTTGCAATGCTCAGAGGCCCAATGGGAAGCCCCAAACCAGGATCCCGAGTGCAGAAGCAACTTGCTGCTATTACTCATGGAGGCAGAGCTGAGCTGCGGGGGCCAGAAGCCACTGAGAGCCACCCCCCCCATTCAAATTCTATTCAAATTCTGGTTGCGTTAGAATTCGTCCGATGCAACAGAAATCAAGCCGAATCTGAAAATTTCAAAGGCAGCAGATTATTGTTCCAGATGCAAAGAACACTGAGAGCAAGAATAAGGATTTCTTTATTCATTCAATTTCTATACCACCCTTTATCCACATGTACAATATTTAGACCGTTACTTTATGCAGCATAATAATAAAAGCATAATGCAGTGTATGATAATGCAGAACATAATAATATAATCACACAAACACATTTAAAGGGCTGCAGAATATGAATCAACCAAAGGCCTAGTTTGAAGAGGAACATTTTCACCCGGTGCCTAAAGGTGTATAATGAAGGCACCAGGCAAACTTCCCTGGGGAGAGCATTCCACAGACGGGGAGCCACTGCAGAGAAGGCCCCGTTCTCAAGGAGGAGGCAAACCAAGGAGGGCCTCAGAAGATGATCTCAGGGTCGGTTCATTTGAAGAGAGGCGGCCCTTAAGGTATTGCAACCCTGAGGCTTTATAGGCCAAAACCAGCACTTTTAGTTGGGCCCAGAAACTAATTGGCGGCCAGGGCAATCGGCTCAAACTGTCTTGCCCTGGTGAGCAACCTGACTGCCGAATTTTGCACCAACTGAATTTTCCAAACCGTCTGCAGAGGCAGCCCCACATATAACAGTAATCTAACATCATCATCATCATCATAATTTATTTGTACCTCGCCCATCTGGCTGGGCTTCCCCAGTCATTCTGGGTGGCTTCCAACAAAAATTAAAAATACATCAAAATGTCACACATTAAAAACTTCCCTAAACAGGGCTGCCTTCGGATATTTTCTAAAGTGTCAGGTAGTTGTTTATCTCTTTGACATCTGGTGGGAGGATGTTGCACAGGGCGGGTGCCACCACTGAGAAGGCCCTCTGCCTGGTTCCCTGTAACTTGGCTTCCTGCAGTGAGGGAACCACCAGAAGTTCCTCATAGCTGGACCACAGTATCCAGGCTGAATGATGGGGGTGGAGACGCTCCTTCAAGTATACTGGACTGAGGCCGTTCAGGGTTTTAAAGGTCAACACCAACACTTTGAATTGTGCTCTGAAACGTATTGGGAGCCAATGTAGGTCTTTCAAGACCGGTGTTATATGGTCTCAGCAGCCGCTCCCAGTGACCAGTCTGGCTGCCGCATTCTGGATTAGTTGCAGTTTCTGGGTCACTTTCAAAGGTAGCCCCATGTAGAGCACATTGCAGTAGTCCAAGCGGGAGAGATCCAGAGCATGAAGCACTCTGGCGAGACAGTCCTCCTAGGGGTTGGTTACCGGAGCAGAGATGATGGAATTGAGGTTGGCCTCAATTTGCCAGACACAGGTGTAGCTGGGCCACCAGCTGAAACTGATGGAAGCCCTCCTGGGCCACCGAGGCCACTGGAGTCTCAAACAACAAGAATGGCTCCGGGAGGAAATCAATCTATGTACCTGCTCAGCTCCTTTTTTTAGGGGTCCCAGGTGGGGGAGGGGCAAGGCAGGAAGGTGTTTTGGTCCTGGGAGTCCCAGCTCTCTCCCCACTGTAATAAGACATTGTGGGGCACCCCCCCCCCCACAAGCACCCCTGCTCAGTTTGGGGGAGCAGGAGTAGGGGTCTTGCACCCCACTGTGGGTGTGGTGGGGGGAGCCCATTTTGGCCCTCCTTCAACAGTACTGGAAGGTCTTCAGGCAGTGGTGCATGCTGTCTGCCACCACTAGGTGGCGCTCCCCGAGAAGGGCAACCCCCCGGGGGCTGCTTAACCCCTCGGTGGCCACGGCCCAGCCCCTCCCTCGCGGAGGGTAGCAGAAGACGGCGTGGGAGAGGCGCCCCCAGTCGGCCACCACCACCCGCCCGGCCTCGTCCAGGGAGACCCCCCAGGGGTTGGTGAGCAGCGGGGGGCGGCCCTGCCCACCCAGCACCCTCAGGAGCTGCCAGGTGGGGGCCAGCACCTTGACGCAGCAGCCCCCGTCCAGCCCCCGCTCAGAGACGGCCACCTCCCCCCGGCTGTTGGTGGCCACCAGGTAGGGCTTGGTGAAGCCCCCCACAGCCTCCCGCCGCACCAGACGGCCCCCAGACACCCCCAGGACATGCAGCACCCCCAGACGCGTGTCGGCCACCAGGAACTCCCCCCGGGGGGCAAGGGAGATACCCCGGGGGCTCTGGAAGCCCTCAGCCAGGGCTTGCAGGAGGCGGCCTCGGGCGCTGTAGAGCTCCACACGGCGCCAAGAGGGGCTGGTCAGCGCCACGCAGCCCCCTCTGCCCCGGGCCACGTCAAAGTAGGCCTTCCCCGGCAGGGGCAAGGCCCGCCCCCCACCCCGCCCCACTTCCTGCAGCCGGCGGTTCCCAAAGTCCACCACAAAGAGGGAGCCGGCGGGGGCAGCACACAGCCCATGCGGGAGGCACAGCTGCCCCTCTCGGCTGCCCCACGCCCCCCACTGCCCCACCAGCCGGTTGCAGGGAGGGCTGGGGGGTCCCAGGTGGTGGCGCACAGCTGGGACGCACTTTAAATGGGGGCTCGGGGGCTCCCCCCACCCCAGCCGGGTCCCCTTGAGGAAGGCGACCCGCTCCGCTCCATGCCCCGCCAGCTCCAGGCAGCTGCCCCCCAGCTGCCCCCCGGCTCCCTGCCTGGCTCTGTGCAGCCGCCCCAGGGACTCCGCCGAGGCCCATCGGGGCAGGGCCCCCCTGGCTGAGGGCGCTCGGCTGCCCAGCACAGCCACCTCCCGGAAGGGGCCCGATGCCCCCATCTCCCCACTGCTGCTGCTGTCAGAGGCGTCTTCTTGTACCCAGATCGCCCTGGCACGGAAGAGGGTGGCAGGCTCCAAAGGCAAGGGCGTGCCAGGGGCATCGGCCGTGTCAGGGGAACCCTCTGGAAGGGACGGGCCTGGCCTGGCCGCACCACCCACTTCCTCAGCCCCTGGTGAGCACGTTGTGGGCACCCCCGCAGAGACCGTGGGCATTGCCTCTGCTGGCAGGGCTCCCTCGCGGCCCTCTGCCTCCCTCACAGCAACCTCTGCCACTGTCCCCATCTCCTCTGCCCAGCTGCACATCTCCCCCTGGGATGCCAGTCCAGCCTCAACAGACGGGGCCGTCCGTGGCAGCTCTGAGGGGCAGCTCTCGCTTGCCTGCTCCTTGTTGCCACCCTCTGGGCTGCTCCCTTCCGCGGGCACAGCGGGGCCTCCTCCACGCCCTTCTCCATTGCCCCTGGCCAGAATCTTGCTGGTAGCCAGGCTGAGGACCCTCTCCTCCAGCTGGAGCTGCCCCAGGACGTGGGTCAGGCGTCCCTGCGGAGATGGCATGAAGCTGGCCCAGGTGAGCTGGAGCGAGAGGGTGCTGGCACGGGCAAGCAGATCCCGGGCCTCCTGGGCCCTCTCGGTGGAGGGTGCTGCCAGGAGGCAGGTATGGAGGTGGTTCAGCTGCTGCCGCAGGGCCTCGATCCTGGCTGCGCCCACTCGTGCCGCCTCCTCGTTGGCATTCTGGAGAGCAGCCAGCTCTCCTTGCAGCTGCAGCCGCTCTGCCCGGGCGCGTGCCCACAGCCGCTCCTCTTCCTGCAGCCCTGCAGCCAGGGCCTCCTCCAGGGAGCGCTGGGCCCCCACCAGCCCCAACAGGTGGCGCTCCTGCAGGGACTTCAGCCAGTCCTGGGCGCCACTCAGCGCCAGGGCCAGGGCCATGTGATCCACAGGGCTTTGTGCCATCTCCTAGGGACCAGGGAAGAAAGAGAGGGTGAGCTGGTCATGGGGGGTGTTACGGAAATTACAGGGGGGGCCCACATCTTTAAACTTGTTAAATATTACAAATATCATGCCTGAATGGATCCTTTCAACTTGACAGCTCAGGGAAGTCACCTAGCTTTAAAAATAATATAAAATCCACTCCTTTGCCAGTTTCCTCCATTCCAAAGCTATTTTCCCCTTAAAAAAGGACTCCAGGAAGTTCCCAGAGGTGACAATTGCTGTGCTGATTTTTGGCCAAGTAAACCCTCATCCCATCCCCGGACTTGCCATGGAGTCCAGACACACAAAGGCAGTTCTCTTGTACTTTGGGTGGTGGAACTTCAGAGGTGTTTGCCTATGCTAATCTTATGGTCTTGCCCTGACATGTCTGCTTATGCTGTGGTGTGGTGTAGTGGTTAAGAGCGGTAGTCTCGTAATCTGGGGAACCGGGTTCGCGTCTCCACTCCTCCACCTGCAGCTGCTGGGTGACCTTGGGCCAGTCACACTTCTCTGAAGTCTCTCAGCCCCACTCACCTCACAGAGTGTTTGTTGTGGGGAGGAAGGGAAAGGAGAATGTTAGCCGCTTTGAGACTCCTTCGGGTAGTGATAAAGTGGGATATCAAATCCAAACTCTTCTTCTTCTATGCTAATCTTGTACCAAGGACTTGTCTGGACATGTTTGCCAAGGTTAAACTAGTGTAACCCCAGTCTACCCCTCCCCTTTGGTGACATTTCAGTGATAGAGTAATGATGCAGTACGAACTGTATTCTGGGATATGGTGGGAAAGTTTTAAAAGTCTTTGTCACCCCATCTTCGGGGTTCAAAATTCCTCTTTGAACCTGTTGCGCAATAAACTTTGGTCTACAGCTATTTGCTCCGGTTGGTGGCTGGACTCCTTCCTTTATTCCGCAGGGACATTGGGCTCTGCCCGACCAGCTGGGGGACGGAGCAGCCTCACACCTAGATTTTTCTATAACAGGTGGCATCAGCCTCGCCAACAAACAGGCTCCCTGGGGGGTGAGATGCAAAGGCTTGGCTGGCCAAGCGCAGTTAAACTGCGGAACTCCCTTTTTAAAAAGGTTATTCCAAACCTTTTTCAAAAGACTAGAGGCATTTCTGTTAAGCATTGTTGGCAGGGACATCCCAAAGGCCTTTAGGGAGGGATTCTTATATGCAACGGCCGCGGCTCGGACTTTGGTGGCAAAGGGGTGGAAGGAAGAAGAAGCCCCGACAATAACGGACTGGCACTATAAGCTACAAGAATTCGCTGACAAATAGCCTGAGAGGCAATTCAAATCAAAAATTTATGGGAAAATGGGATAGCTATAAAACATATGTTCAAAAATACAGTAAAGGTTCGTTATCTATGCTAGCATTTGATTGATGTTGGAGAGAGACTGAGTTGAGAAATAAGATCAAGAGCACATATTGTTATAGGAAAGTATTAGATAAAATGTAAAAGAAATATACAATAATATGAGTACATTCATTTGTAAAAAAAAAAAAAAAGGAATATACAATGGGATAGACAGGAAGTCCAATGTGTTGGTACATATATGATTGTCTTTGTTTTTTCTCTTTGTTTTTCTTTTATTTCTTTTCAGGTATATAAAGTTTGTATATAATCTTGGTATACATGTTGGAAAATATATTATGATAAGCTCTGTAATGTACAGTGGTACCTCGGGTTACAGACGCTTCAGGTTACAGACTCCACTAAGCCAGAAATAGTACCTCGGGTTAAGAACTTTGCTTCTGGATGAGAACAGAAATCGTGCTCCAGCGGCACGGCAGCAGCAGGAGGCCCCATTAGCTAAAGTGGTGCTTCAGGTTAAGAACAGTTTCAGGTTAAGAACAGACCTCCAGAACGAATTAAGTACTTAACCTGAGGTACCACTGTCATATGGCAATGTTTACCAGTGTAATATAAGAATGTTAATAAATAAATAAAACTGGGGGGGGGGGGGGAATGAAAAAATAAAAAACCAGACTGTGGAACTCCCTCCCACAGGAGACACAGATGACTACCAGCTTGGCTGTGCTCTGCTTCCACGGTCAGAGGCAGTGATGCTCCAAAATGCCAGTTGCCAAAAACCACAGGAGGGGGAAGGGCTCAGATCCCGCTTGTGGGTTTCACACAGGCATTTGGTTGGTCACTGTGAGGGCAGGAGGCTGGACTGGGTGTTCCCCCTTTGGCCTGATCCAGGAGCCTCTTTGGACGTTCTTGTGGAACCTCCAGCCCCAGAGGCAGTCTACCTGCACTGCTAGGTTCTTGGGAGTATTTGGCCTGTGCGAGAACAGGGCGCTGGACTTAGCTGCTGTATTATTCGCTCCATAAGACGCACTTTTTTCTTCCTAAAAAGTAAAGGGAAATGTCTGTGCATCTTATGGAGCGAATGTGTGGTCCCTGGAGCCGAGTTGCCCAGGGGAGAAAAGCAGATCATGCTTTTTTTTAAAAAAAAAAAAAAAAAGAGGGAAGTGGGTGTTGAAACAAAACCATTGATAGTTTGCCGATCGGGGAGAGAGCTAAGGGACGCTAGCGATAAAGGAGGCTGCCTGGGAGGGGGGAAGTAAAAGTCCATGGATCCTCAGGATTTTTGCATTGGGTCACCCCAAATTCACCATCAGATCACATAGCATGTCCATGGCTACAGCCTCCACCAAAAAAAATCACACATCCACTGTTGCGTGGGACCGCAATGGTGAAAAAACAGGGTTACAAAGCACGGATCCGCATTGATCCTCAAGATTTTTGCATTGGGTCACCCCGAATTCACCATCAGGTCACATGTCTGTGGCCACAGCATGAACCACAACTATCATACATCCACTGTTTCGATCAGAATATTTTTTTCCTTGCTTTCCTCCTCTAAAAAACTAGATGTGTCTTATGGTCAGGTGCATCTTATGGAGCGAAAAATACGGCAGTTAAGCATCGCCATTCGCATCTCCAAAGAAGTTGCTTTGTGCTCTAGGACACACAAGGCGGGTCTTCCCCACCTCACCTGCCTGCCAGGTAGGAGAGCGAGAGACAGAGTTTTGGGGTGGGATCTGAGCCTGGAGACAGGAGACACAGAGACCGGCTCACTCTGCGCTGGAGCCAAAGCTGCAACTACTACAAAAGCAAGATCTCCTGGGGTGCTGCTGCTGGGAGTCCCTCCATCCTTCACTCAGGTTGTACGTAAATAAAATCATATAGCCCAAAGACACCACTGTCTCTGCCGCCTCTCACCTCTCAGAGACTTGGCTAGGCAGGTAACATTATCATTATGCATTATATATTGCGCTGCCCCTTATATAACGAGGCACGAGAATGATTTTTAGCACCTATAATGACAAGGTCCCCTGCCCAGAACCCCTCTGACATGATTTTATATCTCCTCGCAGACATAGATAAGTATGTGACCTGGCATGTAGAACTCTTTGCAACTGCCGCTGGGAAAATTAGAGCAAATTATATAGCCAAGGTAGCCACCAGCTGTAAAGGAGATGAATTTATTTGGCCCTATCTACATCAAGCTATATTACCGAACTCCGAATATAATTGCACATTGTATTAATTAACATTATTTTTTTAATATATTAGTGGCCATGTGATAATTTTAGCCTACAAATTTTATTTTTTAATGTCTTAACCTGTATATTAAGGTACTTTTATAGCTCTGTTTAGAGTAGGTAATCTCTTGTCTTGAGTTTTTTGTATCAGTCCAGCATATTTTCTTTTAATTGTTGAATGATTCTGTGTACATTGCGGCAGCCTTTGGCTATGTGCAATAAAACTGACTGATTACTGCTGTATTGCAGTTTACGGCCACCTGCCAGGGATGCTTTTGAGGTGATTCCTGCATTGTGGGGGGTTGGAGTCGTTGGCAGCTGGGACCCCTTCCAACTTCACTATTTCCTGTGAGACCCGCCCACTACTTTGGGGTCCCAGGACAGGTTGCACCAACTGAAACCCAACGTTAATGTGCAAGTACAATATTGCAAATCACTGGATTCAAAACCTGCGGGATCAGAGATTCTCAGAAGACTGGGGTAAATTTACAGACTATTTGAAAAGTAATTGTGATCGGCTTCCAGGTGGAAAAATCAAAATTAGAAACAGAATTGTTAGAACCCAAAACTAAAATTTTAAGGCTTCCGGGGTGGCGCCTCCGGAAAATGGCGGAATTCCCTTCGGACTGAAGGGAACCCGCTGCACGGAGGCTTGGGTCCTGCCGCTACGGCGCAGCGGGGACCCGCAAAACCACAGGCGGAAGAAGCCTGTGGACGTGGGACTCGGCGGGCACCGAGAGCGCTCTCTCCCTTGTACAGGAGCCCGGTAACGGGCTCCGGAGTGGGAGGTGCGTGGTGCTGTGAGTCGTCTGCTTCCTCCGTGCAGCAAAGCCGCACTGCCGTTATCGGAGAGCGCTGCCTTTTTCCTGGACAATTTGGCATCTAAAACATCTATCCGTGAGTACCTGATCTTGGAAGAGCTGAACCACTTTTAAGACTGGTGAATAAACAAATAATATTGGACTTGAAATTGAACTTAATTGGGACTCGGAATGGGAAGGTCTAAACAGGAAGTCGCCTTCCGTTCTTTTGTTATGTGAAGAAAGCAAAGACAAAATATACTAAAGCCTGAAAATTAAATTTTAAGAGAACTAGAATTCAACATCTAAGATTTCTGAACCCCCTTTGACTGCAGGAGAAAAAGGGGTTGTATTTGGACTTTTCAATCCTGCGGAAGTGAGTTTAAAATAAAGCAATTTTCCACCGCCCTGAACCAGGAGCGGGCTGTCAGAATTGACGTTCTGAAGTTTATCCAGCTCGACAGTTAGTTAAAAGAAGGGTAACATTTTGATTCTACTGTAGCCTCTTTGAATTTGGAAGGGGGAATTTTGGATAAAGTGTTTCTGGAAAAAGAAAGATTGTTGCTGTTGCTTTTATTCCTTTAAAAAAAAAAAAATTCCATCTAGTGGAATTTAGTGAAATTGCAACGCAGAGAGATTAAAAGAGAAGGACTATTGGACTATTCTCGTGGGAAAGAATTTTCTTTGACCTTGAAGGACAATGCTAGTACAAAGGCTTGAACAATTGTTCCTGGAAGGTTTTTCAAAACTAAGTGCCCAGCTGGACCAGATGCGTCAGGAGACGACCTTGATGATGGAAGTTACCAGAGCACAGCAGCAAACAAATGAAATTCAGTTAAAGGCTATACAAGCATATGAACCTGCTGTAGTGACGGAGGCTTCAGAGATGGAGGGACCTTTGGACGGGCAAGATCAGCCTTTGAACTTGATAAATGAACTTGGGACAAACCAGATTCGGAAAGATGAAATGTGGTCAGATTTGGAAATGGGGGATGGATCGACCCCCTCCATATGGTTATTTGGACCTTCCGAGTCTGGTGATGGGCTATCAGAGGATTGGAGTAGCCGAAGTCTCCAAGCTTTGTGGAAATTTGAAGTGGTATTATTTGCTGTCTGGCTTGGGCAATGGGTTTGGGATGGACTTGTTGCAAAGGGTCAAAAGCATTTTCTTGCTGGAGCATCCACGACTGGAAAGGAATCATCAACAAGAGTGGCGAAAGGGGCAAGAAAGAGACTTGAGGGCCTCGGATACGAGACAACCAGGTTAAGGAGCCGGATTACCGAGGTTAAAAGGACTGACAATCCCGGGTCCAGGGGAGGGGAGGTTGGAAGCTGACTGGACTGAATTTGACTTATTATTTTTTCTTTTTACTTTTTAATATTGGGAATGCTTACAAATGTTTGAAGGATGTTGAATGAAATTACATGACTTAAGTAAGGATTGGTAAATGATTCGTAAAAGGTAATGATGCAAGAATTTGGTAAATATTGAATATAAGCTATGAGTTTTAAAGTTTTTATATGACAAGAGGGAAAATAGAATAAGGAAACGTAATGACAGATTGTTATGAAAAACAGAAAGGATTTGCTGTAAAAATTAAAAATTAAGAAACAAAAGAGGGGAGGAGGAGGAAGTCTAGAAAGGAAGTCAATAGAGATTGTAAAGGACTTTATATTTTTGTTTTTCTGTTTCTCTTTTTTTTTTTTCTTTGCGGCTGGGTTTTCTTTTCTTTTTTGTTTATGCACTAATTTTGTTTTTTGTATCCTTAAATTTTTTTTGGAAATTTTTGTTGTTATTTTTTGAAAATTCAATAAATATCAACTTTAAAAAAAAAAAAGAACCCAAAACTAAAATTTTGTCAAAGATGTATAACTTGCTGTTGAAATGGAATACTCAGGATGAAACGGTGAAATCTGCTATGATTAAATCGGCACAAGATGTTGGACATAATATTATGTTTGCTGACTGGAAACAGTTGTGGACCACAGGTATGAAGTTTACGGCATGTAATGCCTTAAGAGAAAATATTATGAAAATGATATACAGGTGGTACATAGAATCATAGAATCATAGAATCATAGAGTTGGAAGAGACCACAAGGGCCATCGAGTCCAACCCCCTGCCAAGCAGGAAACACCATCAGAGCACTCCTGACATATGGTTGTCAAGCCTCTGCTTAAAGACCTCCAAAGAAGGAGACTCCACCACACTCCTTGGCAGCAAATTCCACTGTCGAACAGCTCTTACTGTCAGGAAGTTCTTCCTAAGGTTTAGGTGGAATCTTCTTTCTTGTAGTTTGGATCCATTGCTCCGTGTCCGCTTCTCTGGAGCAGCAGAAAACAACCTTTCTCCCTCCTCTATGTGACATCCTTTGATATATTTGAACATGGCTATCATATCACCCCTTAACCTCCCTCTTCTCCAGGCTAAACATGCCCAGCTCCCTTAGCCGTTCCTCATAAGGCATCGTTTCCAGGCCTTTGACCATTTTGGTTGCCCTCCTCTGGACACGTTCCAGTTTGTCAATGTCCTTCTTGAACTGTGGTGCCCAGAACTGGACACAGTACTCCAGGTGAGGTCTGACCAGAGCAGAATACAGTGGCACTATTACTTCCCTTGATCTAGATGCTATACTCCTATTGATGCAGCCCAGAATTGCATTGGCTTTTTTAGCTGCCGCGTCACACTCTTGGCTCATGTCAAGTTTGTGGTCAACCAAGACTCCTAGATCCTTTTCACATGTACTGCTCTCAAGCCAGGTGTCCCCATCTTGTATTTGTGCCTCTCATTTTTTTTTGCCCAAGTGCAATACTTTACATTTCTCCCTGTTCAAATTCATCTTGTTTGTTTTGGCCCAGTTCTCTAATCTGTCAAGGTCGTTTTGAAGTGTGATCCTGTCCTCTGGGGTGTTAGCCACCCCTCCCAGTTTGGTGTCATCTGCAAATTTGATCAGGATGCCCTTGAGTCCATCATCCAAGTCGTTGATAAAGATGTTGAATAAGACCGGGCCCAAGACAGAACCCTGTGGCACCCCACTAGTCACTCTTCTCCAGGATGAAGAGGAACCATTGATGAGCACCCTTTGGGTTCGGTCAGTCAGCCAGTTACAAATCCACTGAGTGGTAGCATAGTCAAGACCGCATTTTACCAGCTTCTTTACAAGAATATCATGGGGCACCTTGTCAAATGCCTTGCTGAAATCAAGGTAGGCTACATCCACTGCGTTCCCTTCATCTACCAGGCTTGTAATTCTGTCAAAAACGAGATCAGGTTAGTCTGACATGACTTATTTTTCAGAAATCCATGCTGACTATTGGTGATCACAGCATTCCTTTCTAGGTGCTCACAGACTGTTTGCTTAATCATCTGCTCCAGAATCTTCCCTGGTATTGATGTCAGACTGACTGGGCGGTAATTATTTGGGTCCTCTCTTTTCCCCCCTTTTTGAAAATAGGGACAACATTTGCCCTCCTCCAATCTGCCGGGACTTCGCCTGTTCTCCAGGAATTCTCAAAGATGACTGCCAGTGGTTCTGAGATCACATCTGCCAGTTCTTTTAATACTCTTGGATGCAGTTCATCTGGCCCTGGAGACTTGAATACATCTAAACTAGCCAAGTATTCTTGTACTATCTCCTTAGTTATTCTGGGCTGTGTTTCCTCTGCTGAATCATTTGCTCCAAATTCTTCAGGTCGGGCATTGTTTTCTTTATCGGAGAAGACTGAGGCAAAGAAGGCATTGAGGAGTTCAGCCCTTTCTGTGTCCCCTGTTTGCATTTCACCATCTTCTCCCTCTGAGTGACCCCACTGTTTCTTTGTTCTTCCTTTTGCTACGGACATACCCATAAAAGCCTTTTTTGTTGCTTTTAACCTCTCTAGCAAGCCTGAGTTCATTCTGTGCTTTAGCTTTTCTGACTTTGTGTCTACACGTGCTGGCTATTTGTTTGAATTCCTCTTTGGTGGTTTCCCCCCTTTTCCATTTTTTGTACACATCCTTTTTAATCTTAACTCAGTTAAAAGTTCTTTAGATAGCCACCCTGGCTTCTTTAGGCACCTTCCATGTTTCCGTCTCATTGGTATTGCCTGACGTTGTGCTTTTAGTATCTCCCTCTTAACAAACTCCCAGCCATCATGAACTCCCTTTCCTTTTAGTATTACTGTCCATGGGATCTCACCCAGCACTTCCCTAAGTTTTATGAAGTCAGCTTTCTTAAAGTCAAGAAATTGAGTCCTAGTATGCTTGGCTGCTCCTTTCTGCTGTATAGTAAACTTCAGAAGAGCATGATCACTCGCGCCTAATGATCCTTCCACTTCTACCCCACTAACCAGGTCATCAACATTGGTTAGGACCAGATCTAAAATGGCTGTTCCTCTTGTTGCTTCTCCCACTTTCTGGACAATGAAGTTGTCTGCAAGGCCAGTGAGGAATCTGTTTGACCTTATGCTCTTGGCTGAGTTTGACATCCAACAAATATCCGGGTAATTGAAGTCCCCCATTACTACTATCTCCCTTCCTTTTGCATGCTTGGCCATCTGTTCCAGGAAGGCATCATCTATGTCCTCCGTTTGGCTTGGGGATCTATAGTAAACTCCCACAATGAGGTCACATGACCCCAGTCAAGCTTGCAAAAATCTATCATGTGCCTGATAATAAATGTTGGAAATGTAAAGAAACTGAAGGTACATTTTTTCACCTTTGGTGGACGTGCCCAAAGATTAAGGCTTTCTGGGAGATGATATATAATGAACTAAAAAGGTATTTAAATATACCTTCTTGAAGAAACCAGAGGCCTTTCTCCTGGGCATAGTCGGCCAATCGGTGTTAAAAAAGGACAGAACTTTCTTTATGTATGCTACAACAGCAGCAAGAATACTCACTGCAAAGCATTGGAAGACACAAGATTTACCCACACTGGAGGAATGGCAGATGAAATGAATGGACTACATGGAATTGGCAGAAATGACTGGCAGAATCCGTGACCAGGGAGAAGAGTCGGTGGAAGAAGATTGGAAGAAATTTAAAGACTATTTACAGAAATATTGCAAAATTAATGAATGTTAGAATGATGTTGGATTGAAGTTAAGTGGTTTCTAGCTGTGTAGGTACAAAAGAATATGGAAAATTGGTTTTTAATATGTAAAAATCTAACGTTACAATATATCAAGACTAAGGATTAGGATTAAAAAGGAGGGAAAGGAATTGTTGGATTAACAAATTGAATTGGAATACAAAAGAGGGAGGTATGAGGAGGTCCGGGAAACAAGTAAACGTAAAAGAAGTGAGGAAAAGATGGAATTGTTTTTAACTGTTTTTTCTTTTTTTCTACTTTGTATTTTTCCTTTTTATTGTTAATTTTTTTATTAATGTGATTTTTTTTCCCTTTGAAACTTTAATAAATATTATTTTAAAAAAAAGGAATTGTGATCGACAGATTATGCTAGTAGGTTTGCAAGAAGTTTCGTAAGGTGAATTATTTGAAACATTGCTAAAAAAACAATGAGGGAAATTATTAGTTAAAGATAATTATGAAATTAAGAAATGCATAATAAGTGATAAGAAGAGAAAATCATCAGAGGTGTTGACGGAAGTCCGAAAAATATTGTATAAGATGTGAAGTTCTGTGGTATGAATGTTAATTAATATGTTAAAAACTAATAAAAATGTATTTTTTATTTAAAAAACCAATATTGTAAAGTACTAAAAACAGCTGGAAAAGACTCCAGAGGAGGGAATTAAGCTGGTCTTAAGAGCCTCCATTGCATCTCTGGCTGCCAGGAGCTGGGAGAGGGGCAGGCTAGCATGGCAGCTGCTGTCTCAGGTGTCACCATGAATATCTCATGAGCCCTGGCAGACTCTCTCTGTCTCTTTCCCCATGGCTGCCCCATTCCCAGGCCAGCCTGCTAGGCACTCAATTCCTCTGGGGCAGACAGATCCGCAGGGGTGTTGGGTGCCTGAAAGGAATTGGGGATGGGCTTGTAGAGGAGCTATGCAGGATACAGAATTATTGGGTTGAGGGTAAAGGCCCCCAAGTGCTATGGGGTGGCTGGGACCTCCCCTCCCCCTCCTGCGGGTCCCCAGGGCCCCACGAGGAACTCACCTTCTCCCTGAAGCAGCAGGAAGAAGCCCCAGGAGGGTGAGGGGGCTTCGGCCAAGGACAGGTGAGAGGGAGACAGGGAGATGGAGGAACTGGCAGGCAGGTGGGGGCAGAGAGGCGTCACGTGATCCTGGAGGCTCTGGCAGGGGGCAGGCTGGGTTGGCAGCCTCTGGAGGGAAGCTCAGAGCAGGAGGGAGGGGCGACAGGTGGGGGCTTGGGCTGCCCCATCCTCTTCGCAAAGGCACCTGAGCAGGACGCTTTAGCTTAGAGAAAAGGTGAGGAAGAGGCGAAGCGATAGTAGCTTATAAGATTACAGCGTGGAGAAAGCGGAGAGATCAAGCTGAATGCGGGAAGATTCAGGGCGGATAAAAAGAAAGTCATGCAGTGCAGTGACCATGGAACTCCCTCCCACAAGAAGCAGGGATGGCCACCAATCTCGATGGTTTTACAAGAGGACGGGAGGCAGCCCTGTTTCCGAATGCCAGCTGCTGGAAAATGCAGGAGGGGAGAATTGCTCTGGTGCTCAAATCCTGCTTTGGGGCAGCCAGCTGACCCCTGAGAGGCAGCGGCGTAGCGTGGGTTGTCAGCACCCGGGGCAAGGCAAGTAATTTGCACCCCCTAACCCCTAACCTGCCGCCGCTGCCCGCTTCTTCTTGCTGCTGCCTGGGCTGCTGTGGTGTGGTTCTCTCCCGCGCTCAGCGCTGCGCTGGGCGGCCCCTGCACTGTCCCTCCCCCAGATAGTCCCTCGCTCTCTCTCCGCACCGCACGCCTGGCACCCACCCCCTCCACAGTGGGCGGCGACCCAGCGGCTCCGATCGGATTCGCACAGCCAGCACTGCAGTGAGAGAGAGTGAGTGAGCCAGGTAGGGGCAGAGAGCTGCAAGTGCGAGCACGCCCCCCCCCCCCAGATGTTGCGCCCGGTGCGGCCGGCCCCCCCTGCACCCCCCACACTACGCCACTGCTGAGAGGAAAGGAGGCTGGACTAGGTGGGCTGCCTTTGGCCGGATCTAGCTGGGCTTCTCCTATGTCCTTATGGAGATGCAGCTTCAAATGCCATAAAGAGGGTTGCCATGTTCTGAAGAGCAAAAAAGAGAGCGCACTTGTGTGCCATGTCATCAGTTATGTGGGCGGGGCTTGCATGACCCCCCTCCCATATTCTATTCAAGTTGGCACCCCTGAGATTCTTGCATTGGCAGGGGCTGGACTAAATGACCCTCGGGTCCCTTCCGGCTCTGCAGTTCTACGATCCAGGAACCCCAAGAGGCAGAGGCATCTGGAGGGAAGCAGGCGGGCTTCTGCTGGGCTGAACAATCGGACCTACACACCGAGTATGACATGCACAAAAGGCACGGTTCCTTCCTTTGCAGAAATCTGCCCACCCCTCAGCTCCCTCTGAGCCCGCGGCTGTGCACCGCCAAGGTAAAAAAGGTCAAGGACCCCTGGACGGTTGAGTCCAGTCCAAGGTGACTCTGGGGTTGTGGCGCTCATCTCACTTTCAGGCCAAGGGAGATGGCGCTTGCCCACAGACAGCTTTCCAGGTCCTGTGGCCAGCAGGACTAAACCACTCCTGGTGCAACAGAACACCGTGATGGAAACCAGAGTGCACAGAAACGCCTTATCTAGGTGGGTGGTGCTGTGGTCTAAACCACTGAGCCTCTTGCGCTTGCTGATCGGAAGGTTGGCAGTTCAAATCCCCGCGACGGGGTGAGCTCCTGTTGTTCAGTCCCTGCTCCTGCCAACCTAGCAGTTCAAAAGCACGTCAAAGTGCAAGTAGATCAATAGGCACCACCAAGGACCAGAAGCTGAGCAGTGGCTCCCCGGGAACCTTGCCAGCCTGGCAGGCCCAGCTCAGGAGCAGGTGGAAGGAGCCGTTGTCCAGCTGTGGCACCGGGTGCTGTTGAATGGTCTCTTTAAACCTGAAGGTTCATGATTGTTCCACAAGATGTGTATGTCTTTGAGGGTCAGAGCAAATAACGTGAGCTAGTTTTACAGCTGTGAAGCAGTATAGCAGGTGCTGTTAAGTTATGTTAATTAAGCTGCTGGGTATGGTATATAAAGAGCAGCATGTCGCTCTCTCAGTACCCTGTGGATGGGTCATGCTTATTGATATAATGTAATTTAGTGTAAAAGGAGTTTTTGTTTTTGTTATTAAAACCTAGCAAAAGTTATTTTTGCGTTCCTTGTAATGTGTGGTCTCCCCAGCACGCCTTCTGCAGTGCAAATAGCCAACAGGTGCAGGTCCCAGCAGACATTGCAGAAGGGACCCCCCCCCCGCCTCCTCCTCCGTCACCCTGCCCTGCCTCGGCTGTGTCCATCCCCTCTGCCAACTGGACACCAGAGCTGCGCTTCCAGGTTCCGCTCTTCAGACAGGCCCTGATAACAGAAAGTGGCAGTTCTTGCTATCATGAAAAAAACAGACATTTAGCCAAAATTTAAAAATCCGCCTGGAGGACATGTCCAGGGGAAACAAGACATATGGCAGAGGTTTTCAACCTTTTGGGGTCCACAGCTCCCTTGACCAACTCCCTTCTTTCTGCGGCCCCCCCTGTGGGGCTCAGGAGCCCAGTTGTGCCCCCCCCCCTTGCCTGCAGAGCTGGCAGCCTCTCACTCTTTTGGAACGCCCTTCCTTGTGGAGTGTTCCCTCAGCCTCAACTGGTCTCTGAGCCACCCCCCACAACCCAAAGAGAGGTGCTTCCTCACACTGCCCCACAAGGGCCTTAGTGAACGTGAGTGTGGCGGTCAGGTGGGATTGCTAAGAGTAATTATGAAAAATGAAGCATGCCACTGTGTCCGCGATGACCTAGCAGTTCCTTCCTGCTGCCCCCGAAAAAAAAGAAAAGAAATATATCTTCTTTGTTGGAGGCCAAAGCTGAGTGTGGCAGGCCTCCTGGCCCTGTGGCAGCCCCTAAACTGGCAGAAGACGGGGGGCGGGGACAAGGTCCAGCTGCCCGGCCCATTGGCTCCTGGGTGGGGTGGGGGGAATGAGTGGCAAAATCTTATCCCCGCCCCAACAGGCAGGGACATGTCCTGGGACAGCTCTGCCTCCTTAGCGTCTGAATCTTCTGCCCATCCATTTCTTGGGCTATTCTGCATTGAGACCCCACAAGGAAATTGCAAGGTAAGTGGGGGGGGGCTGCTGCCCTCTGCTCCCCCCTCACTCACCTCAGGCCTCCTCAGCTGCTCCACTTCCTGATGGGAGCAGGCGGGGGTCTTTATCTTAGGCCTCCCAGCACAATGCTTTTCTAGATCCTTCTCAAATATATTTTGCTCAAGAAACCGCTTTTGCAGCCAGCCTGGCCATAAGAGCACTGGAAGGAGCTGCTGGATCAGGCCAAAGGGTGACCATCCAGTCCAGCCCCCTGATCTCACAGCAGCCAACCAGAGGCCCATGTGGGGACCCCCCCCCAGCAGGATTCCAGCACAAGAGACCCCCTCCTGCGGCTTCCAGCAATTGGCCTCCGAAAGCCTTGCTGCCATCAACAGATCTCTTCTCCTCCATGAAATTTGCCTAATCCTCTTTTAAAGCCATCCAAGCTGTCTCCTGTGGCAGGGAGTTCCAGAGTTTAACAATGCGCTGCGTGAAGCAGGACCTGCTCTTCTTTGTCCTGAACCTCCCAGCATTCAGCTTAAATCTTCCCTCTGCCCACCCTCCTTTCTCGTCTGCAAAGGCGGCACCAAATGTGCCCCCCCCGCCTTGCCGCGGGCTCTCTCCCCCTCCCTCTGGGCTGCTGAGATGCAGCCCCCTGGGGTGATGGCGGCAGGGGGCCCTTTGTGACCTCACAGGCCAGCCCTGCCTTCTGCTGCTCCAGCTCCAAGCCTGCCCACCTTCCCAGCCGCTGAACAGCCCCTCCATGCCCAGCCCCTTGCCCTTGCCCTTGCCCATGCCCACGCTCTCTTGCCACCCTCCCGGACCCCTCTAGGCCTTGTCCAGTTGCTTGCAAGATGGACGGCGGGGTCCAAACCCTGCAGATTGGGGAGGCGGATGCCAATTGGGAGCTGATCCGGGACAAGGTGAAGAGGAGGAGGAGGAGGAGGAGGAGGAGGAGGAGGAGGAGGAGGAGGGGAGCTGGCCTGGGAAGGAGGGACGAGTCTGCAGGATGGGCTTCCTGGGTGCCCCTCACACCAAGACCCCCAGCGCGGTATCAGGGGGGCCCTGCTCCACCTCCTCGGCCGGGGAGAGCGATGCTTCTGAATGCCAGTGCCCAGAGACCCCAGGAGGGGAGAGATGCTCTGGGGCTCAGATCCTGCGTGCGAGTTTCCCATTGGGGCATCTGCCTGGCCCCTGTGAGAGCAGGAGACAGGCCTGATCCTGCAGGCGCTTCCCTGGAGAGGGGCAGCAGAGCTAACCTGACGTGGGGGCTCTCATGGGACACCTTGGGATGTGGTTTGTGGGGTCCTCAGTTTAAGGAGGAGTATGGATCATCATCCTGGTCCCCCTCCTCTGCCCACCTTCCAGCGTGTCAAACATCCTCCTTAAATTGTGGTGCCCAGAAGTGGACACAGGACTCCAGGTGTGGTCTGACCAGGGCAGAGTACAGTGGTACCTCGGGTTAAGAACTTAATTTGTTCTGGAGGTCCGTTCTTACCTGAAACTGTTCTTAACCTGAAGCAGCACTTTAGCTAATGGGGCCTCCTGCTGCCACCGCACGATTTCTGTTCTCATCCTGAAGCAAAGTTCTTAACTCAAAGTACTATTTCTGGGTTAGCGGAGTCTGTAACTTGAAGAGTTTGTAACCCGAGATACCACTGTAGATAGAGTGGGACTATGACTTCCCTGGATCTGGACACTAGACTTCTGTGGAAGCAGACTAGAATAGCATTAGCTTTTTTTGCTGCTGCATCACACTGTGGACTCATGCTCAACTGTTCAGCTTGTGGTCCACTGAGACCCCTAGATCCTTTTCACATGTACTGCTAATAAGCCAGGTGTCCCCCATCTTATATTTGTGCATCTGGTTCTTCCTGCCTTACTTTTGAAACAAAATTAAAAAAAGTAAAATAATAAAAAAAGAATTCCTTCCAGTAGTACCTTAGAGACCAACTAACTTAGTTATTGGTATGAGCTTTTGCGTGCATGCCCCCTTCTTCAGATACACTGAAACAGAAGTCACCAGACTAACTAACTTAGTTGATCTCTAAGGTGCTACTGGAAGGAATATTTTAATTTAATTTAATTTATTTTGTTTGGACTACGGCAGACCAACACGGCTACCTAGCTGTAACTAGAACCTTACTTTTGTCCCCACTGAAATTCATATTGTTAGCTAGCACCCGGTTCTCCAACCTGATAAGGTCATTTTGAATTCAGATTGCGTCTTCAGTCTCTCTCCAGCTGTGACCCCCGGGGAGGGGTTGCCCTAGATGCCCCTCGGCTGCCCCTCCCCACGCTGCCCCGTCCTGACCCCCCCCCCCATCTCTCTGGGCAGGTGGTGGAGGAGCGCTTCGGCCCCACGGTGGTCCCGGTGCCCTTCCTGGAAGACGCCTCCTCCTACGACCTGCTGACGGTGCTGATCAAGAAGCCCCCCCTGGGCCAGGGTCTCCTCCGCCGCCAGCGCTGCCTGGTGCCCGTGGGGCCCCTGGAGAGCCTGCTGCAGGAGGGCACCCCCGCCCGGGAGCTGACCCACTGCACGCGCGAGTACAACGCCCGGGTGCGCGGCGAGTCGCGCTACGAGGAGACGCGGCTGGTGGCGGGCGCGCTGCGCCACCTGCGCCTGACCATGTCGGGGGTCCACAAGAAGGTGGCCTTCCTGGTCCTGCGCCCCGGGACCGTGGCCCTGCGCCCGGACCTGCCCTGGCTGCGCTCGCAGAGCAGCGTCTACGTGGTCTACGAGGTCTTCTACTGCGCCAGCCTGGCCCTGGCCGTCACGCAGGGCGCCGAGCGCAGCATCTTCCACCGCGAGCAGCCGCTGCCCGTCGCCTTCTCCTGCCTCAAGTTCGCCCTCGGACCCAAAGGGGTGCTGGGCTCCCAGAAGCCCACCGGCCACAGCTTGCCTGCCAGGGCCGCCTGGGTCCGCATGGCGGTGCTGGAGCCCCCCAGGACCCCGGCGCCCCAGCCGCCCCTGGAGAGCCCCCTGCCCAAGGAGGAGGGCAAGGCTGCCCGCAAGCGCTGGAGACCCCTCAGCAGGCCCACGAGGACCCTGGCAGGTGAGGCAGACGGGGGCGCGCCGGGGGGGCTCTCCCTACGAGGAAGCCCCCCATTTCGCTGGGTCAGGGATGCTTGAGCTGAGATGCCTACATTGCAGGGGGTGGGAATGGATGACCTCGGGGGTCCCCTCCGACTCTGCGATTCTGATTCTATGAAGAGAGGGCGCCGCGCTCTGCCTCTACAGCTGGAGGAAGTTTTCAATGTTTGGTGCTTTCATTATTGGGGGCAGCCGTGTTTCTGGGTCCCAGGTGCCGGAAGTCGCAGGAGAGGAGAGCTGTGTTCGAATCCTGCTTGTGGATTTCCCATAACGAGCAGGAGGCTGTTCTAGGTGGCCCCCTCTGACCCAGACGAAAGCCCCTTCTTCTGTTCGTAGGTTGCAGCTGTGCCTTCAAGTGGGGTAAAAATAAGACCCATATTTTTGACATCTGGCAACCCATGAGCCCCTCTGGTTTCAGATAGCACGTGGGGAGAGGAGTCCAGGAGACAAATTTCTAGCAGCCTTCTAGTGGCTAAATGCCTCCGTCTCAGTTTGCTGGCCTCTAGACCCCCCCCCCGTCATTTCTCAAGGGCGCCCCCCCCCCCACTGCCGCCATGCTGCCTGCCGCCCCCTTCCAGCGACTTGGCTCCGTTCATTGCAAGGAAATGGACTATAATCAGCGGTTCTCAACCTGTGGGTCCCCAGATGTTGTTGGACTACAACTCCCATCGTCCCTGAGCTCTGGCCTTGCTAGCTAGGGAGGATGGGAGTTGTAGTCCAACAACATCTGGGGACCCACAAGTTGATTGTGTGTGTGTGGGGGGGGGGGTGACACTGCTTGGCTCTTTCCCTGTTCAGAATTGTCCCCCCCTCCCCATGATACAAGGTCCACCTGTGTTAGCTGCGATTCCTGCACTGCAGGGGGTTGGACTGGATGATCCTTGGAGGGCCCTCCCAACTCTACCATTCTCTGGTTTTCCCATGAGGGGGGTAGCACTTTGGGGAGAGGGCCGCTCTTGCCCCCAGCCAGGCCCCCACTGGCAAGAGCCCCACATCAGCCCCTACAGAGGCCTCTGCCGGGCTTCTCCCCCTATGCCCCACCTAGTGGGACTGAAATGTGGGGGGAGGTGGTGGTTTGGGAATGCCCAGCGGATGGCAGGGCACCTTCTGGGAAGGTCTAGGAAGCCAGGGGTTCCTGCGTCACAGGGGGCTGGACTAGATGCCCTTCGGGAGCCCCACCCAACTCTTTTATGCTGCGATTCTTCTGGTCCCCGCAGGAAAATGGCCCTTCCGGCGCCACCGCCCCAAGTCCGGCCCGTCCACTGCCAGTCTGGCCGATGCCGAGAGGCACTCCATGTCGCTGCCCCTCCTGCAGAGCGCCACGGCCGAGAGCGACACCGAAGAGTGAGCCGAGACGCCGCCAATAAAGAGCCCGTTGCACCCAGAGCCAGGCGTGTGGCCCCGATTGGAGGGGGAGGGCGGGCGCAGGAAGTGGGGGGGCAGCAAGCCAAGGGAGAGAACCTGCAATGGGGGGGGGCAAGTCCCAGAGGAGGAGCTACATCATGCTCTGTGGGGCACCCAGAGGCCATCTAGTATTTTAGAGGTCCCGGGCCCTAAGGAAGTCAGACTATCCTCCCCCAGGGCCAGGGCCTTCTCAGTGGTGGCTCCGACCTGGTGGAATGCTCTGCCCCAGGAGACCAGGGCCCTGCAGGATTTAACCTCCTTCTGCTGGGCCTGTAAGACAGAACTATTCCGCCTGGCTTTCAATTTGAACTTAGCCTGATCTTTTATTCCCCTTTTTATGAAGATTCCCCGCTCTGGGTTCCCACAGCTAATTCTCCCCTGGTCTCCTCCCTGGCCCAAATAGGACTAACTTAGCCAGCTAGCCCTGGTGATCATCTCCTGTTTATTGGATGGATTTCCCCCCAAACTGATTTTTGAATTCTGAATTCATTGCTATTCACAATTTATACTGTATTTTATGCTGCTTTTTGTTGCATCAATTGTTTTAAATTTTTTGTTAGCCGTCCTGAGCCCGGTTTTCTGAACCGGGAAGTGCGGGGTATAAATAAAAAATTTATTATTATTTATTATTAGTAGGAACACACTTGGCTGAGGCTCCTTCCAGCGCCGCCCATTGGTCGGAGCAGCTGAGAGCCTGGGGGGGGAAGCCCCACACTGAGCAAAAAGCTGAACATTAGAAGATTCAGGACAGACAAAAGCCCTTCGCGCAGCACAGAGGCGGACACTGGAACTCCCTGCCACAAGAGGCAGTGCTGGTCACGAACTCGGAAGGCTTTAAAGGGGGATTAGACAAATTCAAAGAGGGCTGTCAAAGGCGACTCGGCAGTTTGGGGCAGTGTAGGAGTGCAAATATCAGATGGGATTACTATGAGGAATTATACAATATGCATCAAGCCATTGTGTCCGCTATGAAAGCCTGGCGTTGACTGCGTTCGATTCATTGACAATCATTTCTGATTAAATCCCGCAAGCCTCTGCAACTCTGGCCATTTTCTTTACTGTTCATTACGCCTGACAGGCACGTATCAGCATTCTAAACACAGGCCAGTTGCTTCATCAGGCACCCTCAGGACATAAAGATAGTAGGCAGTTTCTTTGATGTAGCCTTCCTTGGTTTTGTTAATCTTAGGGCCTGGAAATAGCTTCACAGGAAGGTGATAAAGATACCTGTCTCCTTGCCATCCTTCCTCTCGTGTTTATTGCTGTTTATGACCTCCGGAGTTTCCTAAAAGCATTCCTCTGCCCTGTTTTATTTACGCATACTCAGAGTTGTCTCTGTAGTTACTTTGTCGCCACGTGGGGTTTTTTGAAATGCTCAGAGGAAATCTGATTGGTTCTTACCAACACTGTGTAAAAAGTTCCTTTGTGAATAAAACGACCTGGGCCAAGGGGAAGGGGATTATTATACGCACCCCTCCCAGAGTCTTGGAGGTCAAGCCTCTGTGTGTATTTTATCAGAGTCCAATCCTTCCTTTGCTTTGGGAACGCCTCAGGGCAGCCCTGCGTCCAAATACCAGCCACTGGAAACAGCAGGAGGCGAGAGCTGCTCTCGCACTCGGGTCTTGCTTGTGAGAAGAGGCTGGACCAAATGGGCCCCCTTAATCCAGCTGGGCTCCTCTCAGCTCCCCCAATTCTCTGCCCTTGGTTGGGGGCAGAAGGCCGAGAGGGGAGCTTTGGGGCTGGGTGACCGACTGCCAGCGATGCTTCAGCTGGGGTGCCTGCACTGCAAAGGGCTGGGCTGCAGGACCTCTGGAGGGCCCTTGCAACCCTGCAATTCCACAGCGGGCACAAAGGGCGAGTGACGGGTGCCCCTTGCCCTCTCCCCCCCCCAATGCAAAATCACCCACGGCCACATCCAGCACAGAGAGAGAGCTTCTTTTATACATATTGCAACGAATTCTCCAGAAAAAAAACATTCATTCCCAATAAATTAAAAAGGTCCTTGTCCTGGTACGGAGTTTTCTTTAAAAAGGTGCCCCCCACCCGCCCCACGGGGTGCCCCCCACAGGCTCCCCGATTAGTGCAGACCCAGCCAGGGCTGAGCCGGGGGGTGAGGGAGAGTCGGGGGAGATTCCAGTTAAGAGTCCCGGACGGGGGTGGGGGGCGTGGAGTGGAGTGTTCGGGAGGGGGAGCAGGCGGGCAGTGGAGGGGGGGCGTCCCGGCCGCGCTCACTCCGGCCCCCCCGCCTCGGCCTTCTCCCCGGGGGGCTCCAGCAGGAAGGGCGAGGTGACGGCGTGCGCCTGGGCGATGGCGGCCAGCTCCTTCAGGAACTCGGCGAAGATGACGGCGCAGTAGACGGCGTTCTTGACCCGCAGCGCCTCGCTCTGCTTCTCGGCCGAGGTGCGGAAGAGGGAGCCCCCCGCCAGCGCGTGCATCACCGGCCCCTCGCGCATGTGCTGCAGAGCCAGCTGGGCCGCCTGCCGCGCCCGCGTGGGGCTGTTGGTGTGGCGCATGATCAGCTCCCCAATGGACGGCTTGCGGCTCTTCACTGCGGGGGGAGGGGGGAGAAAAGGGGAGGGAGTCAGCGCCAAGTAGAGGTTTTTTTTGGGGGGGGAGAGCCCCCTGGCAAAATCCGCCCCCCCAAAAAAACGCCATGGGGAAAATCAGATTTCCCAGTTCGCACATTTCAAGAAATAAAAGCCCTGAAACGGCAGCTGCAAAACTCACAAAATACAGAAAAGGCAACGTTAAACTGCGGAACTGCCTGCCACAGGAATCAGTGTGGGCCTGGCTGGCTCTCAAAGGAGATCAGGCCAATTCACGGAGGGGGAGAGAACCGCAGTCGGAGGCAGAGATGCATCTGGGTGCTTGGGGCCGGGATCTCGTGTTCAAATCCTGCTTGGGGCACCTGGTGTGGGAACAGGAGGCTGGGCTGGACGGTCCCCCTTTGGCCTGACCCAGCAGCCTCTTCGGGTTTCCTTGTGGCACCTCCAGGCCCAGAAGCAGTCTACCTGCACTGCCAGGTTCATGGGAGTATTTGCCTCTGCGAGAAGAACAGGGCTCTGGACTTAGCTGGTTAAGCGTCACAATCCGCATCTCCAAAGAAGTGGCTTTGTGCTCTCAGATGAGCCTGTGGCTGGGAGCGAGGGGGGCAGGCCAGGAGACCCCCCAACCCCTCCCTGCAGGGCCCCCGCAAGACAGCTCCCCTATAGCCACACACCGGAAATACTCCCTAGGTCAGCAGCTGGGGGGGGTGGGGGTTCAGCCCTATCGCCCCACAGCTGGACCTGATCCAGCAGGGACTCTTTGGATGGTCTGGTGGAGCCTCCAGGCCCAGAGGCAGCCTACCTGGAGTCCTAGGCTGCTGGGGCCATTTGGCCAGTGCGAGGAGAGCAGGACGCTGGGCCGGATGGGGCCCCCTGGGCTTGATCCTGCGGTCTCCTTTCCCACTCTGAACCACGATAAACAGCTGCCCAGAGTGGCTGGGGCAACCAAGTCAGATGGGCAGCTTATATTATTATTATTATTATTATTATTATTATTATTATTATTACAGTGATACCTTGGTTCTCAAAACGCTGAAAACCCGGAAGTGTGTGTTCCAGTTTTCGAACGTTTTTCGGAAGCCGAACGTCCGACGCGGCTGTCGGCTATTGTTTCCGGGGCGCCTGCACCAATCAGAAGCTGCGCCTTGGTTTCTAAACATTTCGGAAGTCAAACGGACTTCCGGAACGGATCAAGTTTGGCCCTTTTGTTTTTGCTCTTTATTTTGTGTTTTTGTTTCTGAGGCTTTTTCGCTTCATTTCTTTTCCTGACTGCGTGGAGCCGAAGTTCAGCTACTGATTGATTGATTGATTGTGTGACTGCGGAAATGGATCAAAGCCCCCCATCCAAACAATGACTACCATCAGTGCAGATAAGGAAAAAAAATAATTTTAATCAACTACAATACCGTCTTATTTATTTGATAGTACGGTACCTTGATTATTGCTTTCATTTTATGGACCAATGGTCTCGTTGGATAGTAAAATTCATGTTGAATTGCTGTTTTAGGGGTTCTTAAAAGTCTGGAACTGATTAATCCGTTTTGCATATCTTTCTATGGGAAAGCACGCCTTGGTTTTGGAACGCTTTGGTTTTGGAACGGACTTCCGGAACGGATTACGTTTGAGAACCAAGGTAGCACTGTATGATTATGATGATGATGATTATTATTGTTATTATTATTATTATTATTACTACAGTCATACCTCATGTTACGGCCGCTTCATGTTACATTCTTTCAGGTTATGTCCTGTGGTGACCCGGAAGTATCGGAAAGGGTTACTTCCGGGTTTCACCGCTCACGCATGCGCAGATGCGCAAAATGACGTCACGCGCATGTGCAGAAGCAGCGAATTGCAACCTGTGCACACGCAGACATGGGTTGTGTTCTTTTCAGGTTGCGAACGGACCTCCGAAACAGATCCTGTTCACAACCAGAGGTAAAAGGTAAAGGGACCCCTGACCATTAGGTCCAGTCGTGACCGACTCTGGGGTTGCGGCGCTCATCTCGCCAACAGAGCCGGCGTTTATCCGCCGACAGCTTCCGGGTCATGTGGCCAGCATGACTAAGCCGCTTCTGGTGAACCAGAGCAGCGCACGGAAATGCCGTTTACCTTCCTGCCGGAGCGGTACCTATTTATCTACTTGCACTTGCTTTTGAACTGCTAGGTGGGCAGGAGCAGGGACCAAACAACAGGAGCCCACCCCGTCGCAGGGATGCAAACCGCCGACCTTCTGATCAGCAAGCCCTAGGCTCTGTGGTTTAACCCACAGCGCCACCCGCTTTTAACCAGAGGTACCAATGTATTCTTATTATTCAATAGCAGGCTTCCACGGACTCTTGTTAAGGAGTCATCTGCGCCCAGGGGGCCCCTGGGGCATGGGGTCCTCTCTCTGACCCTTAGCCATCCCCCGAGCCCCCACGGCACCCAGACTGCCCCCTCCTCCTCACCCAGAGTCTCTGAGCGGCGCAGGGCGGGTGCGGCGTTCTGGGCGTCTGACCAGTCCAGCTTCCCTCTGGCCACCAGGTACTTCTTGGCTTTGGAGAGGAGGGAGGGAAAGTCTTCCTGGGAGGCGGCAAAGCTCTCAATCTTGTTCTTGACCGAGCCCAGGACCTGCCGGGGGGAAGAGAGAGGGAGGGTGAGGGGCGCTGCCGGGCAAGGGGTCTGCCGCCCAAGAGGGTCTTCCCCCCCCCGGGCTGCCATGAGGATCTACCTGGATGAGGGACTTGACGCTGGGCTGGAAGACCATGTTGGTGTTGAGGAGGAAGGAGCGCAGGAGCGGCTGAGGGTGGGCGGCCAACTGGGCGATGAGCCCCGTCAGGAGGAAGTTGACGTAGAGGGAGTTTTGCAGCATGTTCTCCAGCTTGGCCAGCAGCACCGCCACAAAGGGCCCTGCCAGGGAGGACAGCAGGGGGTCAGCCAAGGGGAGGTCCCCCCCCCACAGAGCTACCTCCAAGGGAACCCCGTTTCCTTTTTCTCGAAAATAATTTCTGTTAAATTTTCTGTTTTGCAATTTAAACAGCCTTAAAATACCAATGACTTCCCTTCTCCTCTCTCCGTGGTTCATCTTGCATATCACAAATCCCTGCATATTTTACAAAAGCTATACCATTCAGCCAGCGCCGGATTTTGGTTTAATGCGGCCCTTGGCTCCTGAAGGGAATGGGGCCCTTTATGTGTCCAGCTGTCCTTTGTCAACAACAAATCACCGCTGTTTTTAGTGTTGAATATATGCGAGATGGTAACTGATGGAGCTAAGAGGTATCTCAAGCCATTTGCACATCACAAAAGACGTATTGTATCAAAGTCATTGTTGAACTGAAATACAATTAAGTAGATTATCTTATAGCTTGGAAATGTACATCCAGTTTTTTTCCCCTCAAAATTTTTTGGGGGGCCCATAAGAGAGTGGGGCCCTAAGCTATAGCTTGTTTAGCTTATACGTAAATCGGGCAATATTCCCTTATCACATCCATCAAAACTGTTGAATTGATCTTAATGCTGCCCATATTTTCAGCTGTACACAATTCCCCCCCATATATTCAATAAATGTTTTCCACTCTTCTCTAAACGTGTTTTCTTCTTGTTCTCTTACTCTATATGTTAAGTCTGCAAGCTGCACATATTCCATCAGCTTAAGTTGCCGTTCTTCGGTTGGGACCTCGCTCGTTTTCCGTTTTGGGGGCTAACGAAACACGTGCCACAGTATTGGCATACATAAATAACCTTTTTTGGCACCTGGGAATTTTGGTCTGAATTATCCCCAACAGAAAAGACTGGGATTTTGGGGGCAGGGAAGTACTTTAAAACATTTTCTCCTTCCTTGCAGGTTTTAAAGAAGGTTCTGTGATTCTGTGAGCCGACTGAGCCATTTGGTGCAAACAGGGCCAAAGACCCGACAGGGGACTGCAGAAATTTAGAAGCCCCCACCCCCAAGGATCATCTAGCCCCCCCCATTGGCATGCAAAAAAGCACCTGCAGCTTCAAGAAAAGGGCCAGAGCTCTCTCTCTGCCCAAGAGCCTCAAGGAACATGGGGGGGCTGGATGTCCCAATGGGCGGAGACGGGATGGGGAAACATCAGCCGTGTTGTTCTGCAAGGGAAAGGCTCCCCCTCCCGGACGGGGCCACTTCAAGGGGGAAGAGGCCCCCGGGTGAGACGAACGCTGCCCTTTGGGGCTGCCCCTTGGCAGGCTCTGGCTCCTGGGGGTGGGAGCCCCATCGGACCCAGACCAGCCCTGCCTGCACTGGAGAGATGCTGGGGGGCGAGGGGGGGCAGGTGGAGAAAAGGCAGGAGCAGGAAAGGAGCAGCAGCAACAACAACAACGCACACAGACTCGGTGGGGGGGGTCTGAAGGAAGGAAGGAAAGGAAAGATGGAAGGAAAGGAAAGGAAAGGAAAGGAAAGGAAAGGAAAGGAAAGGAAGGAGAGGAAGGAAGGAAGGAAAAGAAAGATGGAAGGAAAGAGAAGAAAGAAGGAGAGGAACGATGGATGGATGGATGGATGGAAGGAAGAAATGAAGGAAGGAAGGAAGGAAGGAAGGAGAGGGAAAAGGAAAAGTAGACAGGAAAAGGAAGAAACAATAGGAGGAAAAAGGACAAAGAAAGGGGGAGCAGAGGAGAAGGAGACGGACGAAACGGGAAGCAGAGAAAGAGAAAGGAGTCACTTGCCTTTGGGAAGTGGGCAGCGGGCAAAGTGCCCATGTGCCCTGACTCCTTCTGAAGGGAACTAGGACCCCCCCCACCCACTGGGCCCCAACCATCTGCTGCCCAGGTCTGACCCCTCTGATCCCCTCCAGAAGTTCCTCTGGGGAAGCCCCACTCAGGCTAAACGCCCACCTTGCACAGCAGACTTAGCCTTGGGGGGCAAGGGGAACCCCGGGAGAGTGGGGGACCTCCAGGAGCAGCAGGGGCCAGAGAGACCTCCAAGGAAGAGGGTGGGGGTGCCCCCAACGACTCACCTGTGAACGGCTGGCTGGGGAGGGCCCCCGGGGTGGGCGGGGGGCTGCCGACAATCTGCGCCAGGGGGTCAGCCAGGCGGGTGGGCCCCAGGCTGCCCTCGGGGGGAGCGGCGAAGCTGCGATAGGCCTCCTCTTCCTCGGGGCTGAGGGGGTCCGCCTGGGGGGGCTCCTCCTCCTCCTCCCGGCCCCCGTTCGCCATCTCGTCCTCCAGGCGCCGCAGCTCCGCCGCAAACCTCTCCACGGGGTGGGCGCCCCCGTTCTCGGCCGGCACCAGCGACTCGTCCGGGCCGGGGGTCTCGGGGAGGCCCCCGTTCTCCACCACTGCCCCCTCCTGCGGGCACCGGCGGACCTTCTTGATGAGCGCGGGCTCCGAGTGTGCCCCGTTCAGCAGGGGCCCCAGGTCCTCGCTGCCGGGGGAGGCGGCGGGGGGCGAGGTGCCAGCGTCCGGGGTTCCCTTGGGGGCAGTCCCCTCCTCAGGCGGAGCGCCCCGCTTCTTAGTCCGGGGGGAGGCAGGCCCCGGGTGCCCGCCGGGCTGGAAGGAGGTGTAGGTGAGGGGGTCGCCTTGGCGGGGCAGGGAGGGGTCCAGGCTGGAGGGAGGGGGCCGCTCCCCGTCGTAGGGGGCCGACCAGACGTGGCAGGCCCAGACGCAGCGGTCGACGTTCAGGCGGGCGTCGCGCAGGTATTCCAGGTAGTTGCCCTCCAACTCGCAGGCCTCCTCCCAGCGAGGGGGGGTCCGGTGGGAGGGGCTGCCGACGGGGGTCCCCGGGGAGCGGGGGGAGGCGGGGCCGGCGGGATCGGGGCCAAAGCTGGGCTGGCGCATGAAGAAGGAGAGGCGCGAGGGCGTGGAGGGCTTGGGCACCGTCACCACTGAGGAGGAGTCCACGCTGGGGCTGCCGTGACCTGGGGGGGAGAGAGAGGAGGGGGGTCACCGAATCGTGGAGTTGGAAGGGACCCCGAAGGTCATCTAGTCCAAACCCCTGCAAAGCAGGAATCTTTTCCCCAATGTGGGACCCACAAGCCTGAGATTATTCCTGGCGCCCCCCACCGGGGCTACTGGAAGACCCGTCATTTTTCTGCCCCCTTTGCCTGGCCGGCAAGGGAGACCCACCCCCTGTGGGGGTGGACTAGATGAGGTTTGGGGATCCCGTCATAATCTGCAGTTATGCGGTTCAGTTAACTCCTGCTCAACACAAACAGGGAGTAGAGGAGGTTTTGCAACCCCCCAGCGTGAAAATGCTGCTCTCTCCCCCCACCCAAAGAGGCGTGGGTCCAGCACCCACCGCAAAAGCCCTCCAGGCTCCACTGCCCCAGACCCCCAGCGAGGATCTCACTCCTGCCCCCCCATCCTGCAAACTGGGAGGAGGCAGAGAGGAGCCCCACAAATGTCGTCGGTGCCAAGGCCTCCCTTGCCCATTCCACGTGCCCCTTCAGCCCCCTGCCCCTCCCGCCCGGCCACGAGAGGCTCACCCTTGGACCAGGTGGCGTGCTCCTCCTCTCGCTCGGGGGGCGGGGGGCTCTCTGGGCGGCAGCACTGGGGGACGAGCGAGAGGAACTTGCTGGCCGCCTTGCCGTAGAGGTCCAGCTCCTTCACCGCCCGCCTCTGGCTCAGCATGACGTGGCTGCAGGGGATCAGGTACCTGCCGCGAAAAAGCAGAGCTGCGGAGGGGAACCCAAAGGCCATCCAGCCCACCCTGGCGGGGCAGGAAGCGCAGTCGGAGAACCACGGCAGCCACAGAATCGTAGCGTTGGAAGGAACCCCGGGGTCATCTATGCCAACCCCCGAAAAGGGCGGGGAGGTCACCCTATGGTTACCAAACATCCCTGTTTCCCGGGGACAGTCCCTGGATTCACACATGTCTCCGGATTTCATTTAATGTCCCCCGATTTATATGTTAAGCGTTGCAAATTTATTAGTAGGGAATGAATGCTGCCTGCCGTGGTTCAGATTGGTTCAACGGCACAAGACACATCACATGGGGACATCCGGCGAGGCAAAATGGCGGGCGCCGAGGGGGAACCAGGGACGCCCGGCGTGTCAACTGGGGGAACCGCTGACCACCACCACCACCCTGTGACCCAAATCGAGCCTGGAGCGAGAGCACCTGGCCACCAGGCAGACTGCCCAGCGGCACTCCAGGGCCATGAAAACCCCGGAGCCAAGGCAGGGAGGAGGAGGAGGAAGAGAAAGAAAGAGGAAGGAGAGAAAAGAGGGGAGCTCTCTTTTTTAAAATAACTTTTTTCTCTTTTCAAAAAAAAAAAGTGTCCCTGGATTCTTTGGAAAAAATCTGGTAACCTTCGGTTACCGGGAAGAGGAGGCTAATGGGTGAAGAGGGCCAATGGCGCCACTAGGGGGAGCCCCCGCACCAGGGAAGTCTCTGGGAGCAGGAAGAGGCTGCACTGCCCATCTCCGCCCAGCAGAGGGAGCCCAGGGCTCTGTTGGCAAGAGCGGGAAGATGCCAAGGTTGCGGGTTCGATCCCCGACAGCAGCATGTTCCTGCCTCGCAGGGGGCTGGACTAGATGGCCCTCGGGGGTCCCTTCCGACGATCACATGAGCCAGACAGCCAAGGGGTCGGGGGGGGGGCTACCTGAGCACCAGCTGCAGCAAGACGTCTTCACAGTGCAGGTTGAGCAGAGTCCGGAAGAGGCTGAGCGAGACCATGCAGAGCTGGGGGGGGGGGGAGAAAGAGAGGAATGAAGGGGGCAGTGGGGCAGAAGGCTCCCCCCACTCCATCCCCCACCAGCAACACCCCCCAAGCCACCCCCTGGGCAACGGGGAGAAGAATCAAATTCTCCTTTTGTGGGAGGGAGGGTGTCTTCCTGCCCACCCCGCCCCCTGGGATAGGGATGAGCCCACGCCTGCCCACCCCGATCCCAGGACCCCTTTGTGTGGGACAGGGCAGGACCTCAAAGCCCAAGAAGCAAAGAGCGGCCTTTGGGAGCCACAACAGCCCTGCAAAGTGGGACACTGGACTGCCAGGGGGCTTCTGGCACACGGCTGACTCCAACCTCGCTGCCCCCGTCCCCTCGGGGTCTTCCCCATGCGTGCCCCCCCCCCGAAGACACACCCGGGAGTTGCTGGCGATGCGGGAGACCAGCGTGTCGAGGATGGTGCTGTTGTCGTGGCGATGGAGGAGGAGGAAGCGCAGGAAGGTCTTCAGGAGCGCAGCCTCGCTGATGCTGCGCAGGAACAAGTCCAGGTAGGCTGTGCTGGCAATCATCTCTTCAATGGAGGTCTGGGGGTGGGGCAGGGAGGGGGGATCAGAGGGGCTGTCACACCCCAGAAGAGCCCAGCCAGGTGGTACCCTGCGGGGCATCTAGCCCAACCCCCAGGAACGGCAGGGGGGCAGAAGCCGGACCAGTCCTGGTGGGGCTCATGCCTCCCCCCTGCTTCAGTCCCACGCATCATCTCGGCCAATCCTTGCCCTCGCTCCCCACTGGCTTGGCGGTGAGAAGCAAAGCCAGTTCCGAGCCAGGCGTGCTCCAGCGGCAGGACTGATCTGGCGGGAAGAGGCTTGCTATTCACCTGCCCCAAAGGCAGCTCCGGGAAGCTTGGGGGGGGGAGCAGAGGGTAATAATAATAATAATAATAATAATAATAATAATAATAATTTTTTTATTTATACCCCACCCCTAGACTGGGCTCAGGGTGGCTAACAACCAATAATAAAAACAAGTTGATTAAAATACAATTTAAAAGATTAAGATACAACATTAAAACATTAGGATGCAGCCTCTTCATGGGAGGAGAAAGGAAAAAGAAAGAGGGGGAGGGAATCAAACTGATTCTAAGCCAAAGGCCAGGCGGAACAACTCTGTCTTACAGGGAAAGGCAGAGGGGGGTCCTCCCTGGCCAGCCCACACAACCCCCCACCCCACCCCAGGCGGGAACTGACCTTGTGCAAGGCGGGGCCCAGGACCGGCACCAGGAACCCGTTGTGGATGTAATCCACCAGCTGCTTCTGGACCAGCGGGTGAGCCACCTGGGGGGGAGGAGAGGAGAAGGTGAGAAGCGCCCCCAGGATCCGGCCAGGGGCCCAGCCAAGCCAGCGTCCTGCTCTCACAGGGGATATCAGACACTCCACAGGGAAACTCGCAAGCGGGACCCGAGTGCGAGAGCTCCCCTCCCCTCTGCTGGCTTCCAGCAACCGGAATGCAAAAATAAAGTGTGTCACCAACACAAAAAGGTTGGAAAGCGCTGGGTGCGAGTGTCAGACGTGGACCTCACACACCAGGGTTCAAACCAAGCTTTGACTGAAGGCGACTCTGGGCCTGCCTTCTCTCAGCCTATCCTACCTGGCAGGGTCGTCGTTGCTAAATTGCCACCTCTGACTGGCAACAAGTATCCGTGGGCAGCCCTCTCCTCCTTCAGGGATCTGCCCAACTCTCTTTTAAGAAAAATACAAAACATTAAACAAAGCCACAAAAACTTGCGAACTACCCAGCCTGAAATGAACTTATAATGTCTGGTTTCAATAGATTCAGCAAATCAGTTTCCTAAGCTTAAGCCAAGAAAGAGTATTCTCTGTAAGATTGAATATCAATACACGTATCAAGACTTTGAGATTAGACCACTGAAGAAAACCATCTTGGGAGTGTCCCACCTGCAAGCCCCAGTTAAAGGGCCCCATTGGGGGCGAACTTCATTAACATCTATCCACAACTTCACTAGCATCTCTCGGTATTGTGAATATTTGTTGGTATCTTTATGAACTTATCTAAAAGACTGAGTTCAGCATTTGGAAAATCTATTGAAACCAGACATTTAAGTTCATTTTAAGCTGGGGAGTTTGCAAGTCTTTGTGGCTTTGTTTAATGTTTTGTATTTTTCTCAGAAGGTTGATAAAGTACCGTATTTTTCGCTCCATAGGACGCACTTTTTCCCCTCCAAAAATGAAGGGGAAATGTGTGTGCGTCCTATGGAGCGAATGCAGGCTTTCGCTGAAGCCTGGAGAGCGAGAGGCATCGGTGCGCACCGACCCCTCTCGCTCTCCAGGCTTCAGGAAGCTATCCGCAAGCCTTGCAAGCCCGGTGGGAGTTCCCGCGGTCTCACAAGGCTTGCAGGCAGCAGCCTGCAGCCCCGGCGAGTGTCCGCAAGCCTTGCGCACCCGGCAGGAGGTCCCGCCGAGCGCGCGAGGCTTGGGGCGGCAGCTTGTCGCCCGAAGCACAGGAAGCCCTCCGGAGGGCTCCCCGTGCTTCGGACGAGTGTCTGCAAGCCTTGCGCGCCCGGCAGGAGGTCCCGCCAAGCGCGCAAGGCTTGGGGCTGCAGCTTGTCGCCCGAAGCACGGGAGCCCTCCGGAGGGCTCCCTTGCTTCGGGCGAGTGTCTGCAAGCCTTGCGCGCCCGGCAGGAGATCCCGCCCAGCGCGCAAGGCTTGGGGCTGCAGCTTGTCGCCCGAAGCACGGGAGCCCTCCGGAGGGCTCCCGTGCTTCGGGCGAGTGTCTGCAAGCCTCGCGCGCCCGGTGGGAGGTCCCGCCGAGCGTGCGAGGCTTCGGGCGGCAGCCTGCAGCCCGAAGCACGCGAGGCTTGGGGCGGCAGCCGCGGGGGGGGGGGGAATAATTTTTTTTATTCATTCCCCCCCCAAAAAAACGAGGTGCATCCTATGGACTGGTGCGTCCTATAGAACGAAAAATACGGTATGTCTAATTATTGTTCTGTGCATATTAATCGCCAACGTGTGGCATGAGTCGCACTACTTCTATCAGTAGCACAGGCTGCATTTTCCTTGCAATTCTCTTTTAAAGCCATCCATGTGTCCTGCAGCAGGGAGTTCCACCGTTTAACTCTGTGCAGCCTCCACAAGCGCTGCCAAGAGACCCCAAAACCCACCCAACCTTGGATTTTCCTGGTCTCTGCACCCGGTGAAACCTGCAGTGCAACTCCATACAACCCGGCAGCCTGGGTCTGCGCGCTGGTCAACGGATCGTAGCACTGCAGAGTTGGCAGGGACCACCAAAGGTTATCCAGCCCAACCCCCTGCCGTGCAGGGTCTGCAACTAAATCCCTCTGTGTGTGGCTTTCTGTCCCAGAAAGGGCCCAGCCGTTGCCAGAGCTGTGGTTGCGGGTGTGAGGAGGCCAGCCAGCCCCTGCCCCCCCCCCGAAGGCGGACTCACCTGGATGACGGCATTGCAGAACTCCAGCGAGTTCATGAAGAGGACCAGCGAGGGAACGCCCACCCAGTCCTCCCGCCGCAGAAAGTGCCAGTCGTCCCCCCGGACCTCCAGCTTGCGGGGCAGCGAGGAGTACAGGGCGCTCAGGCCAGTCGCCAGCACCTGGGAGGGGCGAGGAGAGAGAGGGCATTGGGGGAAAAGGGGCGCTTGAGATTTATCAGGCACAAAACTCCTGGCGACCCCCCGCCCCGCCCCGCCCCCGATGAGGGGCTATGCAAAGAGCATGGGACACCCATGAAGGCAGCCCTGTTGAGGGAAGTTTTTAATGTTTAATGCTGTATTGGGTTATTAATATTCTATTGGGAGCTGCCCAGAGTGGCTGGGGAGGCCAGGCCAGATAGGCAAAGTATAAATAAATAATAAAAATTATTATTATTATAAAGAACGGAGGGTGGGGGTGGGACTCTCCTTCCCTGGAGGTTTTTAAGAAGAGGTTGGTCGGTCGTCTGACACAGATGACCCAGTTGAGATTCCTGCCTTGCAAGGGGTGGACTAGATGATCGTTGGGGTTCCCCTTCCAGCTCTATGTTCCTAGGATCCTTTGAAGTGGCCTGGGGGTTGGAGACTCTGCAGATTGAGGCTGAACCCTGACAAGACAGAAGTCCTGTTTTGGGGGACAGGGGGCGGGCGGGCGGGTGTGGGGGACTGCTTGGTCCTGAATGGGGTAACTGTGCCCCTGAAGGACCAGGTGTGCACCCTGGGTGTCATTTTGGACTCACAGCTGTCCATGGAACGTCCCCACCCCCATCGTTCCGCCCGAACACTGAGGTCCAGCTCCAAGGGCCTTCTGGCGGTTCCCTCGCTGCGAGAAGTGAGGTAACAGGGAACCAGGCACAGGGCCTTCTCAGTGGTGGTGCCCTCCCATCAGATGTTAAGGAAATATACTGACTTTTAGAAGACATGTGAAGGCAGCCCTGTTTAGGGAAGCTTTTAATGTTTGATCTTTTATTGTGTTTTAATAGTCTACTGGAAGCCGCCCAGAGTGGCTGGGGAGGCCCAGCCAGATGGGCAGGGTATAAGTATTATTCTTGTTATTATTATTATTACGTCTACAACCTACACAGGATTGTGTCTGAGGCAGGACCAAATATTTTGCCGCTTGCGTATTGTCGCTCCATGTGCCTAGTCCTCATGGGGGCACCCTGGAATAACCTCTCAGGCCAGGGCACCCGTGCTCAGCGGTGCCCAGAGCGCCTTCCACGCTCCTGCTGCCCCAGGCACTCACAGAATCACAGAGTTGGAGGGGACCCCAGGCGTCATCTAGTCCACCCCCTGCAACGCAGGAGCCACAGCTGATTCGGGGCAAGGCTTCTGACCCCGCCTCCCCCCCCCCGCTGCCCCCTTCCTTACCGGGCAGAAGAAGGAGTTGTCGGTGATGTAGCGGGCGACGGTGTGGCTCCCGGCGGACAGGGCCATGAGGAGGAGGAGGGCGTCTCTGGCCTGCTGCCCCACCAGCCCCTCACGGTGGATGAAGGGCACCAGCAGGGAGAAGACCAGCAGGTTGGCGGGACCCGGCTCGCCCGCCGCGGGGGGGCTGTGGAAGAAGAGCTCCAGCAGGGGGGGCTCCCGGGCCGCCGAGACGCAGAGCTGGTGCAGCAGGAGCACCAGGCTGCCCTCCAGGGCGGGCGAGGCCGGGCCGGCGCACAGGCCCAGCAGGCGCAGGAGGGGCCCCAGGACGGGCCGGTGGCGCAGGAGGGGCTGGTGCGCCTGGCCCAGGAGCATCTCGTAGAGCTTGAGCAGCTCGGCCTTGCGCTCCTCGGGGAGCTCCCCCCGCCGCAGGTGCCAGGCCAGCAGGCGGCCCAGGACGTTCTCGGCCAGCGCCAGCTCCAGGATGGGGCCCGGGGAGCCCTCCGCCCGGGGGCGCTCCTCCGCCAGCAGCGTCAGCATCTGCAGCGTGTGGTTGCGCACGGCGCTCAGGTCGTCCGCCGCGCCCCCCTGCGCCCCCCGCGAGGCTGGGCTCTTCTCCAGGATGCGCAGCACCTGCGAAGCAGGGAGAGAAAGAGTCAGACGGAAACCAAGGTAGACTGCCTCTGCTCTCACGGATGCCCCATACTCTCCTGTAGCGTTCCCAAAGCAAGGAAGGATTGGACTCTGATTAATAGAATACACACGAGGCTTGACCAGTGAGACTCTGGGAGGAGTGTCAATAATAATAATCTTTCCCCCCCCCTCGGCCCAGGTCGTTTTATTCACAAAAGAACTTTTTACACAGTATTCGTAAGAACCAATCAGACTCCCTCTGAGCATTTCAAAACCCTACGTGGGACAAAGTCAGATCAGAAGAAATTCTTTTAACCACAAAGAAACTATTTCCTACTTGAGCATGCATCTGTAGTTCAGAGTCAATAAAACAGAAATAAAAGGAGGAATGCTTTCAGCAAAACCACGGAGGTCATAAACAGGAGAGGCAGGATGGCAGGATTCACCATCTCCTTGTGAACTCTCTTCGTGGCCCTTAAGATCTGTCTAAAGATTAAACAACATCTAAGCTACCTTCTACCTTTATGACCCAAGATGCCTGACGAAGCAACTGGCCTGTGTTTCAGAATGCTTATACGTGCCTGTCAGGTGTAGAGAACGCAAATGGCAGAGGTGGAGAGGCTTGTGGGATTCGATCAGAAACCACTGTCAATGAATTAAACCCAGTCAACGTGATGCTTCCATCGCGGACACAATGGCTTGCTTCGTTTTTCATAACTCCTCATAGCAATCCCACCTGACCCCCACACTCTGGATATTTGCACCACCAAACTCTCCCCCTCCTGTCCATACACAGGGGCACAAACAGGGAGACATTGGGGAGCCTTTTCTAAAATACAGTGGTACCTTGGTTCTCTAACATAATCCATTCCAGAAGACCCTTTGATTTCTGAAACGTCCGAAAACCTAAAACTCAATAGCCAACAGGCCCCAGGAACTTGTACTCAGTGGAAGCCACACGGCATGTTCGAAAACCGAAGCATTTACCTCTGGGTTTATGGCATTTGATAACCAAAATGTTCGTCAATGTTCAAAAAGCAAGGTACCACTGTACATCACAGGGCAGAGCTTTCCAAACTGTGTGTCTTAAGACATTTGTGTGTCGGCTGCAATGTGCAGGAGCGTCACACATACTCTGCCCTCCTTCCAAAGCTGGAAAGAGGTTAGTTTAACCTCCGGTTTACCTGTAAAACTGAATTACTGTGTCGCAAAATGATGTGTGTCTCAAAAGTGTGTCAACAACAGGAAAAGCTGGGAAAGCTCTGCAGAAGCTTGTAAACAAATGTATACCGTATTTTTTTTGCTCCATAAGACACACCTAGTTTTTAGAGGAGGAAAACAATATTCTGAACGAAACAGTGATCTGATGGTGAATCTGGGGTGACCCAATGTAAAAATCCTGAGGATCCATGGGCTTTTACCTCCCCCCTCCCAGTGTGGTGTAGTGGTTAAGAGTGGTGGACTCGTAATCTGGGGAATCGGGTTCGCGTCTCCGCTCCTCCACATGCAGCTGCTGGGTGACCTTGGGCCAGTCACACTTCTCTGAAGTCTCTCAGCCCCACTCACCTCACAGAGTGTTTGTTTGGGGGAGGAAGGGAAAGGAGAATGTTAGCCGCTTTCAGACTCCTTAGGATAGTGATAAAGCGGGATATCAAATCCAAACTCTTCTTACTCTTCTTCCCCCTCCCAGGCAGCCTCCTTTATCTCTAGCCTGCCTTATCTCTCTCCCTGATCGGCAAAGGATCGGGCTTTGTTTCAACACCCACTTCCCTCTTTCAAAAAAAAAGCATGATCTGCTTTTTCCCCCTGGGCAATTCGGCTCCAGGGACCACACCTTGCCCCATAAGACGCACAGACATTTCCCCTTACTTTTTAGGAAGAAAAAGGTGCGTCTTATGAAGCGAAAAATACGGTGATTTATATAATTTTTGAATAATATTTGTATAATTTTTGATATTATATTGAGAGAGAAAACACACACACTCACACACAAAAACATTTCTCTTCCTGTGGTTCCCAACAACCAGGATACAGAACGTTGCTGCCCCTGTTTTGGGGGGGCAGAGCAGATCCCCTGTGGCTACTAGGCCTTGATAGCCCTCTCCTCCTCCTCCATGAATTCCTCTGATCCCCTTAAAGCGGCCATCAGTCTCCAGTGGCAGTGAGTTCCACAGCTGTCCATGCACGCCCCACCACGCCGAAGCTTCTCTTGGGGGGAACATCCCCTCTCCCCCACCCCCTCCTGTCCCTCCCCCCCCCCCAGCCACTCACCTGGACCCAGTGATTCTTGAAGACCATGAGGCAGGTTTCAGGGTCGGCCGCCATGGGGCTTTGCAGGCTGGCGCCACGGGTTCCCCGGTGCCCCCCGGCCCCCGCCCGGGGGTTCAGCTTGCTCAGCCAGCTCATCCTCTCCATCGGGAAGGGCGGCGCTGCGTGGGGTGGGGGGTCACAGGGGGCGAGGCTGTGGCGGGCAGTCAGGGGTCACAGGCGGCCGTGCGCTGGACTGGCTCCTCCGAGGGCAGCTGCTGGGCATGGGGCGGGCAAGGAGGGGGGGTGGCAGGTCCTTGTGGCCAGGGGGGGCGCCATGCTGCTTCGGACGAAGCCCCGGCCTGCGGAAACAGAACGCGGGGAGGAAGGAGTGAGCGGGAGCCGTGACCTCAAACTGGGATGTCAAAACGCTTTCATTATTATTATTCTTAATAATCTTTCTTAATTTAAATTACACACTTATACAAAGAATTTACAATCTCATACTACAAAAAGAAAATTAAAGAACAAACAATTAAGAAAAAAACAGAAGAAGAAACAGCAAATTTACGTACATAAAGAAAACACTTAACCTTCCTAATTAATACTTAATTAAGCACTTAAATAAGTGCTTAATTCTGACAAAACGAGTTTCCCAATCATTCTCATTGTACTGCTTATACTGTCGTTTCCCCCCGCACAGTTTTATATTCTTTCATACTGTTCCCGTCTACTCCACAAACGGACTTTGTTGTGTTTACAAGCGTCACTCAAGTTCTGCTAATATGGTGTGGTTGGTACAATATGATCTTATATAATCCTTAAATATTCTCCATTCTCCAAATATTTTCTGGTTGAATACTCCTTTAACTCTTCCCTCCAGTTTTGCTGGTTGTAAATATTCTTACACGAGTATCTGCCAATCTGTGATTGTTGGTACTGTTTCATTTTTCCACTTCCTCGCCACCAGAATTCTTGCTGCTATGGTGGCACACATGAACAGTGGTCTTATGTCTTTTTTTAATTTCTAATGGTAAAATGCCTAAAAGAAAGATCTCTGGGGTTTTTTTGAAAGGTAAGTCTGAAAAATTTCTTAAATACATTATATATATTATCCCAGAATTCCCTAACGATTGCACAAGTCCACCACATGACCCCACATCTATTTTACATCTCCAACAAATCGGTGAGCCTCCTTTATACATTTTCGCTAGTTTCAAGGGGGTACAATGCCATATATATAACATCTTCATGATGGTCTCCCTAAGTATGCTGCAAATTTAATATCTACCTTCCACAATCTCTCCTATTGATCCATCCATCTATCTATCTATCTATATATGTTGTATTCCAAACTCTTTCAAAGGAATTGCAAAATTGTAGGGTCAGAAGGGACCCTGCGGGTCATCCAGCCCAACCCCCGGCAATGCAGGAAGCCCTGCTAAGGAACCCCCAGCAGACGGCCATCCAAACTCTGCTTAAAAACCTCCAAGGAATAATAGAATCATATAGCTGGAAGGGACCCCAAGGGTCATCCAGTCCACCCACTCCTATGCTGAGCAACTCCCCCCCTTTTTAATTTTTTTAAAATTTTATTTAACATAATTATTACAAAATACAAGCAAAATACATACAAACATATATTTTTCAGATAAGCAGATAGGAAGTGCAGTGTAAGCGATGGAAGTCAATCAATGAAGTTTTATTATTGAGATATTTGTAGAAGAAATTTGGAAGAATCTTTTCCAATTTTTCTTCTTTTTTTTTCTTTTTCTTTTCTTCCTTTTTTCCTCTTTGTTCTTTATATATATATATATATGTGTGTGTGCTTATCTGAAAAATGTATGTTGAGCAACTTTGCAAAGAAAAGAAACAGCATTTCCCGCCCCCTGCCGCCACCCCCCGGACATGATGGGCAAGGGCTAGTTCTGAAACACCCCATAATCCAGCCTTTGCCACTGGTAGACTGCGCCCAAGAAGGAAGCTCTGCTGGGGACAGCCAGCCAGGCAGACATTGCCGCTGTTTCAAGCCAGCTGAGCTGCAAGGCTGCCTGCCTGGGATTCTTCCGCTGTGATTCCTACAATTCCCTGACCTCCTGCTCAGCCCAGCGATGCCTCCCTCCTTGCCCTGAAAGGTTCTGCAGAAGCAAAATAAAGGCAAAGAGCAACTGCTCTTTGGAGTCGTGTTAAGCCAAGATAGGATCTGCAACTAAAACCTCACTCCTTCCTTCTCTCCCCACCAAGAGAGGTCTGAGGCGCCTGCCCCAGAGATGCCCCACAGATATGTCACCATCTCCTTCCCCCCACTCATCCGGAGATCAAACAGAAGAGGCATTTTCAGAAGCAGCTTCTCAGACGTTCAGGACAAATCCCTCCTGGCTGCCACCATTCAGAGATCCTAAACACCAGGTACCTCAAATGAGACTGTGTGGCACAGTGGTTAGAGAGGCAGACTATGGTAACCTGCGAGAGACCAGGGTTAAAATCCCCACTGCACCCAGGAAACTCACTGTTTCCTCCAACCACAAAAGCAGGGACTCTCAAGGTATAAATAATAAAACTATTATTGTTGTTGTTGTTCTTATTAATAGCCTTTGTGGCTAGTATTTGTTTTTATTTATGCCCCTCCCTTTACCCAAAGACCGAACATAAGATCTAACAACATTAGAAACCCATTACAAATCACCAGTGATAAAAACGTAACAAAAATCATACCAACAGACAGCCCAATAGTAAAACAATTATCGTAAAAAAGTCCTCTCTGCCTCACTTTCACAGGCCATCGATTATTGAATGGCCAAAGGCCTGGGGAGAGAGGGATGTTTCTTCCTGGCGCCCAAAGGCATTTCAGGATGGCGCCAGGCAAGCCTCTCCGGGGGGAGTGCCCCCAAACCAGGGAGCCACCGCAGAAAAGGCTGTTCTCTTGCTGCCGCCCTCCGGACCTCTCTGGGAGGGGGGCCCATAGAGAAGGGCCTCAGGGGACAGGCGGAAGGTCTGGAGGCCCTGAGCCACCTAGGAGCCACGGAGCTCCCTCCATGAATTTATCTCACCCTCTTTGAAGGCCATTCGAGTTCTTGGCCATCCCCGCTTCCTGCAGCAGGGAGTCCCCCAGTTCCTCTGAATCTTCCAACTTTTGGCCTTCCCGGGAGTTCTCGCATCCGGCCTCTTTTCCCGCTGGTCCTCTTGGGAACGGGTTCGGGACCAAGCTGCAGATTTATGCTGAATTTTGCTAGCTCTGCTCTGAAGGCCCCTCGGCCACCAGCCATTGCGAAACATTCACGTCTTCCAGGGAAACAGCTGCATTATCATAGCTGTCAATGCTTCCCCTTTTTTAAAGGGAAATTCCTTATTCCGAATAGGATTCCTCGCAAGAAAAGGGAAAAGTTGATGGCTATGTGCATTATGCAAAGCCCTGCATCAGCCTGCAACCAGGGACTCCCAAGAGCCACTTACTCTCATGTAGACCTGCCAGGGCTTTGGCTGCCAGCAACCGCAGGGGATCCAGCAGCTGAGCCCAAGGGGGAAGGGTCTTTGGGGGAGCAGCCCTCCCCTTGGCCTTCTCTCTGAGCCCCTCTGTCCTAGAGATCAAGGATTTATTGCAGGAGACACTTAATTTCCCCCACTTTTTTTAAAAAAAAGTCACTTCTGCTTCTGGTGGTTTATTTCAGTCCCGGAAGAGGAACGAGGCGCTGCTTTTAATTGTATTTCTCCTTATTGTGCTGGGTCTCTTTCTAGGGAAGCTTCCCCAGATGACACGAAAAAGAGGAGCAGGATCAGAGCGCAGCCTCTCTGCCTGGCATCTCCTTCCCCCGCCAAGGTGAGGCTGAGCTGGGGGGGGGGGGTTAGGCAGAATGCCAGGCGACCCACGGCTGCCGAGCCAAGTTCTCACCTTACAAACAAGCAGGAGAACCGCAGGCCAAGGAGGAGACTGGCCCCCCCCCCGGGGGGGGGGGTTCCTCTTGGCAACGGAGGAGAAGCAGCCGCAGCAGCTGCCGCCCTTGGCAGCAGCAGCGGGATCAGGCCCTGCCCTCACCCACAAGCCCTCCCTCCCTCCCGCCACTGGCAAGGGTGGGGCTCTTTGGCGCAAGTTAGAGGCCCGGGGAAAGGCGTTTCCACGTATCCCAAACACGTCCGTCCTGGCCAGAGGATGAAATAAACCGAGGGAAATTCCTTCCGCCTCAAGGCCAGGGAAAGTCTGAAGTCCACCCAAGAGAGGCTGGCGCCTTCTGCGAGAGAGGGAGTGGCGGAGGTCTCTGGGTTGCAGCAGGCTGGGCACAGATCCCGGCTGCCATGAGGGCTCCTGCCTGGCGGGTCTGGCATAGGTAGCAGGGTCTCAGGCCAAGAGGGGGCCCCAAGCCCCCCACCCTGTTCTCACAGGGCCCAGCCAGATGTGCCCGTGGGGTGCCCCCAAAAGGACATGGGCAAAGCAACAGCCCCCTCCTGCAGAGAAGAGCCGGGGGGGCGGCAAGATCTCGTTTCCAATATTGTGATTGATCACCAGCTAAACATCGCGATATACCGGTTATCTCATCACGATGTCTGAAATAGGGATGGAGCTACAAAGAGGCACCGACTGGCTTCACGGCTTTCCCTGAATGGTGATTTTTGCATAGCACACAAACATACATCATGACTCGCGATATATTGCCAGCTCCAAAATTATGAAATCGTTATCACAATATGGATTTCAAACAGGATTTGGACGCTATATCAATAGATGGCCCAGCCCTGTTATTTGTCATGGATAGCCCTTTCCTCCTCCATGAACTGGCCTGCTCCTCCTTTAAAGCCCTCCAAGTGGGTGGCCCTCATGGCCTCCTGTGGCAGGGAGTTCCACGGTTCAACTCTGCATGAAGAAGGGTCTTCCTTTCTCTGCCCCGAATCCTCCAACATCTGGCTTCACTGGACGCCCAGAAGTCCTAGCACTGGAAGGGAAAGGGGATTTTTTTTCTCTCTAGCCCCGTTCTCCAGCCCAGGCATCATTTTATAAGCTTCTAGCACCTCTTCCCCGGCCTTTCACTGAGCTATAAATCCTTGGGCAACCACTGCACCCCCCTGATCACTTGGGGGGGGGCTCTTTTCTGAACCTTTTCCAATCCTACAACATCCTTCTTGAGGTGAGGTGACCAGAACTGAGCAGAGTATTCTATAGTTACCAGACATCCCCATTTCCTGGGGACAGTCCCCAGATTTACAAATTTGTTTCTGGACAAAATCCGTCCCCGGATTTCATTTAATGTCCCCGAATTTATATTTTAAGTGTTGTAGATTTATTAGTAGGGAATGAATGTTGCGTGATTGGTTCAACAGCACAAGACACATCATATGGGGACTTCCAGGGAGGCAACATGGTGGGCGCCACGGCAGCGAGCAGCTCCTGAAGCTACTAGGCTGGCTTTGGGCTGCTGAGACTGCCGCTGCCGCCACCACTACCAAAGGGGAACCGGGGACGCCGGTGCGTCAACTGGGGGAGCCACTGACACACACGACCCAAATTGAGCCGGGTACGAGAGCGCCCGGCCACCCGGTCGACTGCCCAGCAGCGCTCCGGGGCCAGGCAAACCCCGGAGCCAAGGCAAAAGGAAAGGGGAGAGGAGAGGAGAAGAGAGAAAGGAGGAGGAGAAAAAAGAAAGAAGTCCCGACCTTGCACCACAACAGCACCTCAAAGTTGGCAGATTTTTGTTCAGCTCCTTTTCGAATGATCCCTAGCATGGAATCTGCTCAAACAGAACAGCCTTTGCCTTTTGATGACCCACTCGCTGCATTTGGAGAGAGGCCCTTATGGAACTCCTTGCAATCTCTTTTGGTTTTAATGGCCCTGAACAATTTGGCATCCTCGACAAATGTGGCCCCCCTAGGGTCATCTAGTCCACCCTCTGCAAAGCAGGAATCTCAACAAAAGCATTCATGTATTTCTTGACACTCACAGAACTCCAAAAACTTTTAGTTACAGGTAGCTAGCCGTGTTGGTCTGCCGTAGTCGAAACAAAATAATAAAAAAAATTCCTTCCAGTAGCACCTTAGAGGCCAACTAAGTTTGTTCTTGGTATGAGCTTTTGTGTGCATGCACCCTTCTTCAGATACCAGCTCATACCAGTAACAAACTTAGTTGGTCTCTAAGGTGCTACTGGAAGGATTTTTTATTACTATTTTGTTCCAAAAAGACATGACTTGTCCTTGCCGTAGCCATGCTGACTCCGCTTCAGCAAGGCTTGTTCTTCTATATGCTTGGTTATTTTATCTTTAACAATACATTCCACCACTTTTCCCAAGACATGAATTAAGCTAAGCAGCCTGAAATTCCTAGCATCCCTTTTTAAAAACGGGTGTTACGTTGGCTACTTTCCAGTCCTCAGGTATGGAGGCTGATCCGAGGGACAAGTTACTTATTTTTGTTCGACCAGCAATTTCCCGTTTCTTTGAGATCTTGCAGGAATGCCATCTGGACAATTTTCAGTCTTTCTCTACCAGCCAAGAATTCCTCCCTCCTCCCCACTGTCTGCCTCAGTTTCTCGGACAGACGCACAGAACTGCTTTGGCTTCTCTGCAGTTTTCTTCTCCTCCTTTAGCCCTCCTTCGTCTCCCCCATCATCCAAGGGCCCAAAAGTCTCCCTGGGCAGTCCCTGTCTTTCAGAAGGCTTTGTGAGCAAGTTACTCGAAGGCCCTTAAGATCAGCCTCTGAGCCCCTCCACACATCCCTCAAAGGGCAGCCCCATTAAACTGGCGGGGGCCAGAGGCAGGGCCTTTTGGGGGGGCAGCCCCACACCCTTGCCCCTCTCTCTCCAGGCATGCCTTTCCACATGGGCTCCGGGGCCAAACAGCCGTTCCTTAATACTTCGGCTGCTTTCAGAGTTAACCGCTGTTTAAAACTCAGTTTCTGCTCGCTGCTCGTATTTTACTGCTGCTATTTTCAGAAGCTTTGGTGTTTTCTAGAGTGTGGTTTGCAATTCCACGCAGAACAGATTTTGCGTTTCCAGCTATGCCACCTCAGGTGGATCAGTCCCCAAAAAGGCGACCTGTAGCATCAACACGGTTCAAATCCCAACACTTCCGACAAAGAGGTGAGCCTTAATCTCAGAGTCCCAACCCAACTGCAGCTACCGGCCAGAGCTGGAGATGGGCCAAAATCCACACCCAGAATTGAGATTGGACCAGAGGAGCCGGGGGGGGGGGGTGAACAGCCCCAGCTGCTACTGCACTGCTTCTCTGGGGGCCCCAAAGTCGTGTTCTCTGGGTCAACGGCAGACTTCCTGCCCCCTCCATCTTAACCAGCCCAAAGCTGGATCCTGCCGTGGGGGCAGGCGTGCCCCCTTTAAGGCCCAAGGTGAAGGGGAACCAGGCAGAGCAGCTACGCATCCGCCCCGTCCTCCATCTCCTGGCTGGCTGCATTCCCAGGTAGGTCATAATCCCCGCTCGGCAGGTGAACCTCAGCCCTCCGTGCCTGCCACCCAAAGCTCAGAGCCCCACGGCACACACCTGCCCCCCACCACAGCTGACACACGGCGAAAGAGGAGGCCCCCCCAGCCCCAGTGTGGAGGAGCACCACAGAGCTGCCCCTTCCCCAGAGACGCTACTCACCGGTTGCCCAAAGAGAGGGAGGGAGGCAGGGAGCAAAGGCGGAAAAGCAGATCAGCCGCTGCCCCACACCCCCCCAGCGTGGACTCTGCCCCTTGTTAGGGCAGGGCAAAGCCAGGAGGAGGCAGCCTCGTCCGGACGCTCCACAGCCACGGGGACAGCCAGGGATCTATGGGGCGACTGCGCTGGGTGGGAGCCCTGCCTTTGATGACTCAGTTCAGAAAAGAGATTGCAGAGCAGAAAAGGTTCGAAAAATAGCAATTGAGATGATCGAAGTAACTCCTGCGAGGAAAGTGCGGGGCGTTTGGGAATCTTTAGCTTGGAGAAAGGGAGAGGCAACGGGACAGACACTTGTCACATTTGATTGACGTTGGAGTGAGACCGAGTAGAGAAATAAGACTAAGAGCACATATTGATATAAGAATGTATTAGATAAAATGTACAGAAATATACAATAGTAAGAGTACATTCATTTGTAGAAAAGGAATATAGAACGGGATAGACAGGAAGTTTAGTGTGTTGGCATGTGCATGATTTTTGGGGGGGGGGAATTGTTTTTGTTTTTTCTCTTTGTTCTTTCTTTTTTTGTTTCGTTTTCTTTCTAGGTATATAAAATTTGTATATAATTTTTGTATACACGTTGGAAATTATATTACGGTAAGTCCTGTAATGTAATATGACAACGTTTACCGATGTAATATAAGAATGTTAACAAATAAATAAAATGAAGAAGGGAAAAGGATAGGTACTTGTAGAATTATTCACAGCAAGGAGAACTTGCAGACCTCCAGCTGAACTTGGGGAGGTTCAGGACAGACCAGAGGAAGTGGGACTGTGGAACTCCCTGCCACAGGAAGCCCCCAGCCTAGATAGCTTTAAAAGAGTGTCCAGCCAACTGAGGGAGGAGGAGGAGAGGGCCACTGAAGGCGACTAGCCAGGCTGGGTCTGTTTTCCTCCCTCTCTCCTAATTCCAGAACTTGTGCAGATCCAAGAAAGCTGAAGGTTGGAGGGTGTGGGGCAGATGGAAGGAAGGACTTCCTCCCGCCCCGTCCGCCAGCCGGGAGCCAGGCCCCAGAGGATCGTGTTCCTGCCTTTCCTCCAGGAATAGCAGGAGCCGAGACGGCAGCGAAATCCCAGGCAGGATGCCCAGGAGAAGAGGCAGCAGGTGGGGAGAGACGGTGGCCCAGATTCACCTGTCTGCGGAGGGAAGGAGTCCTTCCTTTTACCTGCCCCCAATCTCCCAGAAATCACCTTATTGGCTTCCACCGTGTCGCCGCTTCCTGGCCTTTTCTCCAAACTAAAAAGTCCCCAATGCTTCTGCCTCCCTTCACAGTCCCTCCATCCCTGGCTCCCTTTCTGAACCTTTTCAAACTCTGCCATCTCCTCTTTGGGGATATTTATCTGGAACAAGCCGGGTTTCGAGAGGCGCAAAGGGAGGCCTCAGGAGACCCAAATCTCTCTCCCCCCCCCAATAACTCTGCCAGAAGCCAAGTGTGTTTTGCAAGGGGGGTGGGGAGAGGTTGCTAAGATCTACTCCAGGCACCAGATCCCTCAGGATCAGCAGTCTCACGGGCTTTGCAGGGCAGGTTGCTTTCCCTTTTGCAGCAGCAAGAGCTCTGGGGCTGGGAGGGTCCAGATCAGGAAGGCGAGGGGGAGGGGGAGGCACCCACCCCATAGCACTGCTCTTCAGGGTTTCCGTTCCCCCATCCCCCCCCTCCACAGCCCCCCCAGCTGCTCTGAACTCCGAAATCTCCTACAGGAGATCAGGGGGATCCTCCTCGTTCAGGACCTGGTTCTAAAACCGGGCAGGGTGCCCACGACCGCTGGCTCCCAGGGGGCAGAAGGTCCCCCACGGGCAGGGCCAGGAGAGAGGGAAGGGACCCCCAGGGTCATGTCACCCGCCCCCCGGGCAGGTGGCCACCCTACCTCTGCTGAAACATGTCCCAGGAAGGAGTATTGGACGTTGTGGGGCAGGAGCTGTGGCTGCCAAAGGAAGGAAGGAAGGAAGGAGAGGAGAGGAAAGAAGGAACGAAGGAAAGGGAAGGAAAGAAGGAAGGAGATAAAAGATGAAGGAAGGAAGGAAGGAAGGAAGGAGAGGAAAGAAGGAAGGGAAGGGAAGGAAAGAAGGAAAGAGATAAAAGATGAAGGAAGGAAGGAAGGAAGGAAGGAAGGAAGGAAGGAAGGAAGGAAGGAAGGAGATAAAAGATGAAGGAAGGAAGGAAGGAAGGAAGGAAAGAAGAAAGCAAGGAAGGAAAGAGGAAGGAGAGGAAGGAAGGAAGGAAGGAAGGAAGGAAGGAAGGAAGGAAGGAAGCCTCCTGCTCTGAGTGTCAGGCAAGAAGACCCCCCTTAGGCACAGAAGCAGGGGGCTGGGGAGGACCCAACAGTGACCTCCTCCAAGCCACACAAACTCCCAGCCTCCACAAGGACTCACAAGGACGTCCGAAGGGCCTGAGCTGCATGTTCTCACAGCAGCCGAATGCCCCTATCAAGCCAGGAATCCAGATAGACTGTCCCTGGGCCAGGAGGCTCCATCAGAAGAGCCCGTTGGGTCAGGCCAGGGGCCCCCCGAGTCCAGTCTCCTGGGCAGATGCCTGAAGGGAACGTGCAAGCGGGATTTAAGCACAAGGGCAACGCTCTCCCCTCCTGGAGCTTCTGGCGGTGGAGTCAGAGGGCAGCCAGCCTGGCTAGGAGCCACCAAGATCCCCTCTCTCCTCCTCCGTGTGGTGTAGTGGTTAAGAGCGGTGGACTCGTAATCTGGGGAACCGGGTTCGCGTCTCCGCTCCTCCACCTGCAGCTGCTGGGTGACCTTGGGCCAGTCACACTTCTCTGAAGTCTCTCAGCCCCACTCACCCCACAGAGTGTTGTGCGGGAGGAAGGGAAAGGAGACTGTAAGCCACTTTGAGACTCTTTCAGGTAACAATTAATAATAATAATAATAATAATAATAATAATAATTTTTTGTTTATACCCTGCCCTTCCCGGGCTCAGGGCAGCTAACAACAAATTTAAAACACTTAATTGATGCAACAAAAAACAGCATAAAATACAGTATAAAACATGAATAGCAATGAATTTAGAATTCAAAAATCAGTTTCGGGGGGAAATCCATCCAATAAACAGGAGATGATCACCAGGGCTAGCTGGCTAAGTTAGTCCTATTTGGGCCAGCGAGGAGACCAGGGGAGAATTAGCCGTGGGATCCCAGAGCGGGGAATCTTCATAAGAAGGGGAGGAAGGGGAATAAAAGATCAGGCTGAGTTCAGATTGAAAGCCAGGCGGAATAGCTCTGTCTTACAGGCCCAGCGGAAGGAAGTTCAATCCTGCAGGGCCCTGGTCTCATGGGACAGAGCATTCCACCAGGTCGGAGCCGCCACTGAGAAGGCCCTGGCCTTGGAGAAGGATAATCTGAATTCCCTAGGGACCTCTAAACTATGATTATTCATGGACCTTAAGGTCCTCTGCGGAGCAGACCAGGAGAGGCGGCCCCGTAAACCGGGATATCAAACCCAATCTCTTCTCCTCCTCCTCCTCCTTGAATAGGTGTGGTCCTCTTTCGAAGCCCCCCAAGCCAAGCCAGGAGGCCAAGCATGACCACCAGCCCCCTTGCATTGCAGTGGGTTGGGCTGGATGACCTTTAGGGAGACCCACACTGCTATGGACTCCAGGCAGGGAGTCCTCATTTTGCTTGGGAGAGCCGGCATGTCTGGCGAAGTGGGGTGAGGGAAACATGAGCATTGCAAGCCAGGACTCCTGGGTCCCAGCGAAGCAGCCCTCCCCCACCTCCTCCAAAGACACACACACACACACCCCTTGGAAGAAGAGGCGAGGGCGAACTCTGACACAGGCTGAGCCTGCCCAGCCCACAGGAATTGCGGCACATTCCACAGGGCGCTGGCCTGGGCTGGGGGCCAAGGAGGCTGGGGGGGGGGGAGGCTGGAGTCTTGAGAAGAGAGAGAGATCCATGCCCTCTGGCCCAGACAGTGGCTCAGGGGAGGGCAGAGGGCACTCTGCGCGCGTGCAGAGGAACTCCCTCCTCGCGGGCATTCATGCCCGCTCTGGCATGCAGAATGAGGCCCCAGGAGTCTGGCTAAGGAAACTGGGGGGGGGGGCACCCCAGAACTAATAATAAATAATAACAATAAATTTTATTTATACCCCACCCTCCCCGGCCAGAGCCAGGCTCAGGGCGGCTAACAGAAATAAAATAAAATCACAGTAAAACATAATGGGGGGGAAAGAGAGGGAGAAATAAAAAACCCCAATTTACAGGTTAAAATGAGGCCTCATTTTAAAATAGCAGATAAATCTAGGCAGAAACAGAACTGTGGAGCTGGAAGGGGTCCCCCAAAGGCCATCTAGTCCAACCCGCTTCAATGCAGGAACCGCAGTGGGAGAACCGGGGCCCCCAAGCCGTTTGGAGCACTTCAGGAAAACTGAGCCAGCTTCTTGAGAATTGAGAATCACTTATGGGGGCATCTTCAGGGACCAGCTACAAGTCTTCCATCAGCTGCCCCCAAAATACCCTTCTCAGACCTCCTCCCCTGCCCTCTGGCCCAGCAGGCAGGCTAAAGGCTGCCACCCATGCCGGGGGGGGCACACACTAAATCTATCCCACACTGGACCCTTCCTTGGGGTCAGAAGGAAGACACAGGAAGGGGGGGGAGAGGGTGGCATTCCTGAGAGCCCCCAACCCAACCCACATAACCTGCCACAGAGGCAGAGCTAAGCAGGGCGGTGAGAAACAGCAGGAATCTCCCCCCCCCCCAAAAAAAACACACACACATGCTGTATTTGGATCTCGGAGGCGCCAACCGACTCCCCCTGCCCCCCCCCCCCGGAGCTGTGAGTCAGGCCAGCCAGAAATAACCCTTTGCAGCAGGAGGAGCATGCTGGGAAGGGAAGAGGGGGGGCTCAGCCTGGCCCAGGACCCCCCCCCTTTTTTTGCAATATTGACTTTATTCCATGCTTGCCAAATGGTGGGGTTTCGAATTTCCGGGTGCGATCAAGGTTTCGAACGTCGGCAATCAATCAATCAATCCCACCCCAAAAGGCATGGGGGGGGGGAGGCAGCTGGCCCAGGAGGCAAGGAATTTGGGGGCTCGCCTGCCCCCCGCGTTTGCCAGCCTGGTGTGGGCACAGCACTTTGGGGGAGAGCCCAGTCCTTTGGGGGCAGGCCGACCGGGGCCCAGAGGGGAACAGGGCCAGGGGGTCTCTGCAAGGAGCTCCCCCCACACACCCTACCCTGCCCCACATATTAACCCCCCTGCTGAAGACCCATTGGTGGCCAGAGCCCCTCTACCTCTCTCGTGGCTCTCAAACTCAGAGGCCTCCTATGAAACTGCACCAGTTCCCTCCTGAAAACATCCCTGTTCACACAACCAGGTAGAGATGCTTAGGAAGCGGAAGGAATTCTAATCCATTTCGGTAGTTTTCTCTGCTTTGAAGCCCGGTCGCAATTCTTCCTGGGTTTTCTTATCTTTTTGTAAACCGCTCAATCATAATCAATACTGTTTTTATACCCTGCCCATCCGGCCGGGTGGCCTTGAGGTTTGGTTTTGTTTCTCAATCAAGCAGTGCATAAACCTCGCGAAATAAACAAATGAATCTCAGGGCTGGAAGGATTCAGGGCAGAGAAAAGAAAGCGCAGAGTTGTGCTGGGGAACTCCCTGCCACAGGAGAAAGCGAGAGCCACATAATCCAGGCAGCCCTTTCAGAGAAGGCTGGACAAATTCACGGAGGAGGAAAAGGCTCCTGAGTGCCAGCGGGATAAGTGGGGAAGGGGCTCTGGTGCCCAGCGCCTCTGCAGGAAGGAGCCCATGCCAGGCGGGCAAGGCGGAGGGTGCCTGCCAGGGCAAAGCGGGCCTCCCACGTGGGGTGACTTGGAGGGGCAGCCAAGAGGCCTCGGGATCAAAGCCCTGCTTAAACCTGCCCAGCGGGCGGCTGCCCCAGTGCCCGCTGCCGGGCCCCATGCCCAGGGAGGGAGCTGCCAACGGGCGGTGCCAGGCCAGGACGCCTTCCAAGAGGCTGCCTCTCGCCCTGCCTCTCCTCCTCCCTGCCAGGCCAGGGTGACGAGGGCCGGCTCGCCACACCCTCGCGGCTAAATTTAGCCTGGAAGAGGCTCTTCGGGGGCCGGGATGTCCTTGAGAACAGCTCTGGGATCAGAGGGCGGGAGCAATGGAAGGGACCCCAAGGGTCATCCAGACCAACCCCCCGCAAGGCAGGAATCTCAGCACAGTTGGCAGGGCTGCCGGAGCAGCAGCAGACCGAGGGGGTGACAGGGAGGGGGGCACAACAGCCTGACAGGGCGGGCCAGGGCAGGAAAGCGCCTTCAGCTGAGCCAGCTCCATCTAGCTCCATACTGCCCACACAGACTGGCAGCAGCCGTCCAGGGTTTCAGGCAGGGGTCTCTCTCCCAACCTGGGGATTGAATCTTCTACATTCCAAGCACCTGCTCTGTCTCTGAGACCGAGGAAGGCAGAAAGCTGCCGTGCCGGGGGAAGAAAAACACTCTGCACATGGCCAGGTACCCTTTCCGCCCACGGATATTCAGAAGGCAACGGCTGGGAATTCAGAGGGCAGGGCTGGCACAGGTGTGCGCAAACGCCCGTTCAGGCAGACGCCCCCTTGGAGGCCGCCCCCCCTGCCAACGAACCCCCCTCTGTCTGGGCACGTTGTGCAGGCGGCTGTGTCCCAAGGTGACCCCGGCAGCTCAGCTCACTCGGGAAAAATGATGGAGGAGAAGGAGGAGAGGCAGAGCAGGATTGGCCCCTTTCCCTCCCCACAACGCAGCTGGCAGGAAAAAGGGGGGACTCCCCCCAGCACCCCAAAACCAAGGCGCAGGATCTGAGCCCCAGAGCCCCTCCCAGAATGCAACTGGTCTTTGTCTCCACCTAGGAGCCACGTCCAGCCCTCTCCTCCTCCTCCACGAACCTACGCAATCCTCTTTCAAGGCCATCTCAGTCTCCTGTCGCAGGGAGTTCCGCAGATTAATCTTTTTAAAAAACTTTTTTTGAGAAAGATCGGCTACTGATCGGCTTCTTAGGGCAACCCAGAGCAGCCAGACTCCCCCCCCCCACGGGGCACCCACAAGAAAACAGGGGCCCCTCGCCGGGGGGGGGGCACACAAAACAGAAAAGAGGTTCCGTGGACCCTTTGATGCGCCTGGTGTCAGGCCCACAAGGATTATATCGCAGCCCCACACTTAGGGGCTCTATCGAGGGCTGCCCACCCCACACAAGAGGGAGAACGCAGGGGGTCTGCAGCCCCCCACCCACCAAGAAACTTCACAAGTCCTTTGTCAGGAAAAGCCTCTTTTTCAGGTGACAGCACCCCCCAAGTCACCAAGTGGGGATTTGAACCTTGCTCAACAAGAGGCTAGTCCTCATTTCATCGCCACAACAACCACCAGTGCCTGGCTCCCAAGGTCACATCCAATGAGCTTGGAAGTGGGGGGGTGGAGCCCTGGTCCCCCCCCCACAGATCGTGGTAGCGTGACACTCTAACCACTATGCCACGCTGTCATGAGCTGCCCTCAATCCAGTTTGCACCACCCCATCCCACCCCCACTCCCCACAAAACTCACCTTAGCTGGCTTCTGGGGGGTGGCCTCCTGGTCCTGACCCCCTTCTTTCTTTTCAGGGGGGCCGCCAAGCAGGGCCGCTCCCCCCCACAATCCAAGAGGCCTCGGCGCCGACCCCCACCCACCCACAAAGCTCCCCCACGCTCACCTTGCAGTGTAGGCTCCTAGGGTTCGGGTCCCATCCACACAGCAGCTATGGGGGAAAGCAGGTGGGGGGGTCAGGGTGGAATCCCCTTTACTGGCGCCCCCCCCCCCGTCCTCTTCCAGGGATGCGCCCGCACCCAAAGCCCCCTTCCGCCCTGGGGGGTCCCACGAAGCACCTCCCCACCAGGTAGGCCAGCACGGAGGTGCCCCCCTATTGCAGGAGGGGGAGGCCCACGGGGGGGGGGCTGCCAGGCCAGCCTGCTCTTTCCTTCCAGGGAGGGGGGGGAGGGCGACCCTCGGCCCTAAGGACCCCCCCACCCGGGGGTCCGCCTGCAGGCCGGGGATCCCCCCCCACCTGAGGGACGGAGCAGCCCCCCCCCCAAGAAGCTTTGCCCCAGGACCCTCCTCGGAGGGGGGGGATAAAGGGAAGGCATCCCTCTCCCTCCGCTTACGCATCGGGGGGGGGAGGGAGGGAGGGGCTCCGCTCCACAAATAGACAGACCCCCCCCCCGGACACGCGGGGGGGGGAGGGGACTCTGCCTCCCAGGGTGGGGCCTGGCGGCAGGAGGGGGGGAGATGGGGAGGGGGCTCCGAGGCCCAGCAGCCCCCCCCCCGGAGAGAGAGGCGCGCCAGACTCTGCCCCCTTGGAAGGAGGGGGTGGAGGGGGCGCTAGAGGGAGCCCCCCTCCCCTCCCCGGGGCCCCGATCCCCCCCCCCGCCGGGCACCTGAGTGTCGCCGCCTCCGCTGCCGCCGCCGAGCCGCCATCTTCCTTCCTCCGCCGCCGCCGCCCGGCCAGGCCACGCCCACGGGGCGGGCCCCCTCCCGCCGCAGTCTCCGCCCCCACCTGCCAGCCCCGCCCCCGGCGCCGCCCAGGTGCGGCCGAGGCCTCTCTGCGCCTGCGCGGGGAGCCCGCGGAGGACAGGGCGCCTCTGGGCATGGGCAGAGGGCGCCGGGGAGCGGCTGGCGGGCGAGGAGCCCGGACCCCCCCCCCCCCAACAAAGGAGGAGCGCCTCCAGGAGCAGGACAGCTGCGCGGGAGTCCAGATCCGCTCCTTTCCCCGGGGGCTGCGAGGTTTTTCAGTCTCTTCAAATCCAGCAGGAGCTCTTCTTTCCCTCCTCCCATACTGGGATGCTGTGAACCGCACTGGGACCTCTGGCCTTATGCAAACTTAATTGATAATAACAACAATTAATAATCATCACATCACATCACCTTGCCAACACAGGTCCGTATAGTTCAAGCCATGGTTTTCCCAGTAGGGATGTATGGAAGTGAGAGCTGGACCACAAAGAAGGCTGATCGCCGAAGAATGGATGCTTTTGAATTCTGGTGCTGGAGGAGACACTTGAGAGTCCCATGGACTGCAAGAAGATCCAACCTCTCCATTCTGAAGGAAATCAGCCCTGAGTGCTCACTGGAAGGACAGATCCTGAAGCTGAGGCTCCAAGACTTTGGCCACCTCAGGAGAAGAGAAGACTCCTTGGAAAAGACCCCGAGGTTGGGAAAGATGGAGGGCACAAGGAGAAGGGGATGACAGAGGACGAGATGGTGGGACAGTGTTCTCAAAGCTGCCAGCATGAGTTTGACCAAACTGCAGGAGGCAGTGGAAGGCAGGTGTGCCTGGCGTGCTCTGGTCTAGGGGGTCATGAAGAGTCGGACACGACTAAACGACTAAACAACAATAATAATCAGTGCTTTTTTTCTATATATAAAAAAATTAGGGGTACTCTCATTTTGACTCAAGAAAATCACAATTTTGTAGTTCAAATCGGGGAAATAAATACAGTCATACCTCATGTTACGTTTGCTTCAGGTTACGTCCCGCGGCGACCCAGAAGTACCAGAAAGGGTTACTTCCGGGTTTCGCCATTCGCGCATGCACAGACGTGCCAAATGACATCATGCGCATACACAGAACAGCGAATCGCGACTCGTGCACGCACAGACTCAGGTTGCATTCTGCTCATGTTGCGAATGGGCTTCCAGAACGGATCCCGTTCGCAACCAGAGGTACCACTGTACAGTAAATGGACAAAAGTGCAAAGATTCACAAAATGTTTAGGGGTATGCGTACCCCTGGGTAGCCCCAGAAAAAAGCACAAATAATAATAATAAATTATTGTGGGGGGCTGTGAGTTTGGCCCTGCTTCTCAAGTGTTTTCCAGCACAACATCTTGAGTCAAACTGCATTAGATTCCAAAGGTTTGCTTCATCCTGACATACCTGAGATGCCAGTCTCTGCAGATTTCCAAACGCAGCCTGCTTCAATGGCTGGTCACATCCAGGGCCGGATTTCGGTTTGATGCAGCCCTCAGCTCCAGCTGTCCTTTGTCAACAACAAATTGTTGCTGCTTTTTGTGTTGAATATATGCTATATGGTAATTTATGGACCTAATAGGTATTTCAATCCATTTGCACATAAAAAAATATGTATTTTATCAAATTAATTGATGAACTGAAATACAATAAGGAAGAAGTATATTAATAGTGAAATACAATTAAGAAGAAGTATATTAATAGTGAAATAATTATTAAGCTCTAACATAAAATGATTCGGGGCCCATTCCTTACATCATAGGTGTCTACACAACATAAAACACTGTTGCTGTATGTAGGTTTTATTTTATTTGGTTTTTATCTTATATTTTGGAAATGTACATCCAGGTTTTTTCCCTTTATTTTTTGGCGCACCTCCCCAAGACAGTGCGGCCCTAAGCTATAGCTTTTCTAGCTTATACGTAAATCCGGCGCTGGTCAGATCCAAGACTATATATTCAGGTTAATCTATAGGGTGATAAAGGCCAGCGGCAGAGAGTCTAAAAAGGATTTCCTCTTGCGCTCGGGTCTCTCTCGCTAGTACCGTTTGGGGGAGCAGGCTAACCCCTGGGGGAAAGAGGGTGTTGGCCCAGGGGGGCCTCTTGGGGCCCCCGACTCTGCCCGTAACATCTGTGCGTTCCTGATGTGGAGGAGAATGTCCCTATTTTCACTGGAGAAATGTTGGAGGGGATGTGTCTGTGGGACTCCCCTGGGATGCCCTATAATAATAATATAATAATTTATTATTTATACCCCGCCCATCTGGCTGGGTTTCCCCAGCCACTCTGGGAGGCTTCCAATCGAGTGTTAAAAACAATACAGCATTAAATATTAAAAGCTTCCCTGAACAGGGCTGCCTTCAGGTGTCTTCTGAAAGTCAGATAGTTGTTTGTTTCCTTGACATCTGATGGGAGGGTGTTCCACACGGTGGGTGCCACCACTGAGAAGGCCCTCTGCCTGGTTCCCTGTAACCTCACTTCTCACAGGGAGGGAACCCCCAGAAGGCCCTCGGATCTGAATTCCGGTGTCCAGGCTGAACTGTGGGGTGCAGACTCTCCTTCAGGTATACCGGCCCTTTGAGGCTGTTTAGGGCTTTGAAGGTCAGCACCAACACTTTGAATTGTGCTTGGAAACGTACTGGGAGCCAATGTACCATATTTTTAGCTCCATAAGGCACACCTAGTTTTTAGAGGGGGAAATCAAGAAAAAAAAATCTTATTTGGATGGATCCCGCTCGCTGTCTTGGCTTCCTCTTTAGCCAAGCGCAACCTCTCCAGCTGGGAGAGGCTGCGCGCGGCTAAAGAAGCCATAGGGGCTTCACGCCTCCCGGCCAGAGGGGCTACACGCGGCTATTGCAATACCCCCACCTCCCGCTTTTCTATGAGGAGGGAGAAGGGACTGACTGGCCCCGTCACTCCCTTCTCCCTGCTGAGGAAAAGTCCGCAAGAGCCGCGCGGAGCTTGTGTGCGGCTCTTGGGGGCTTTTCCTGCCTGCCTCCCCCCTGCATTCGCTCCATAAGACTCACACACATTTCCCCTTACTTTTTAGGAGGGAAATAGTGTGTCTTATGGAGCGAAAAATACGGTAGGTCTTTCAGGACTGGTGTTATATGGTCTTGGTGGCCGCTCCCAGTCACCAGTCTAGCTGTCGCATTCTGGATTAGTTGTAGTTTCCGGGTCACCTTCAAAGGTAGCCCCAGGTAGAGCGCATGGCAGTAGTCCAAACGAGAGATAACTAGAGCATGCACCACTCTGGCGAGACTGTCTGCGGGCAGGAAGGGTCTCAGCCTGTGCACCAGATGGAGCTGGTAGACAGCTGCCCTGGACACGGATTTAACCTGCGCCTCCATGGACAGCTGGGAGTCCAGAATGACTCCCAGGCTGTGCACCTGGTCCTTCGGGGGCACAGTTGCCCCATTCAGGACCAGGGAGTCCCCCACACCCGCTCGCCCCCTGTTCCCCAAAAACAGTACTTCTGTCTTGTCAGGATTCAACCGCAATCTGTTAGCCCCCATCCATTCATCCATCCTCCAACCGCCTCCAGACACTCACAGAGCACCTTCACTGGTTCTGATTTGAAAGAGAGGTAGAGCTGGAGGGGGGGCAAGGTCTCCAAATCTTGCTCTGGGCCCCCATCCCCCTGCCTGCTTGCCTTGCCCTGGCCTGGCAGCCGCCCTGCCCCCTCCTGCTCTCCCCAGGGTCCTCATCAGTGCCGCTCCCTCCCTGATTGGGCCCTTTAGGGTTGCACCTGCCGGCTCAGGTGTGTGGCTGAGCCCCAGGGGGGGTGGACGGGGGGGGAGCCCTGCTGCGTTGCTAGGCACCCAGGCGCCTGGATGCAGAACGCCAGCCGGAGAAGGAGAGAGAGGCTCTGCTGTGGGGCCGAGAGGGGGCTGTGGCCTCGCTTGGACCAGGAGCCTGCAGCTGCCAGCCCGTGCCAAGATGAATAGGCTGGCCAGGGTCTTCCGAGCCAAGGACAGGGAGGGGGAGGCGAAGCTCATCAAGACGGAGGAGAGCACCCCTGGAGCAGCCCCCAAACCGCGGTAAGTGGGGACCGGCCCAGGGCGGGCGGGGGTGAGTAAAGGCACGTATTGAGGGGAGGCAGGGAGGGGGAGGCCCCATGGCAGCAGATATGGCAGGGTGCAGGTTGGGCAAAGGGGTTGTGTGGGGAGAGGAGTCGGGGAAGAATAGGACAAAAAAACTGGCAGGGACCCCAAGAGTTTTCCATTAATTTTTGTTTCCAATTTTTTCGGCCTTTCCAGTTTGAGGCTGTTAAAATTCTTGCGGCCACTCTAGCATGTAAAAATAATTCCCTTACATTCTTTGGTATGTCAGAGCCTAATATTCCAAGAAGGAAAACCTCTGGATTTATTTATTTTTTATAAACGAGATCTTTAAAACATTTTTTTAAAGTTCCATATAGATTTCATCCCAGAACCCCTTAATTTTTTTTTGCATGTGCACCACATGTGATTTTCCACATCTCCAACACTTGTTTGATACATTTTCATTCCTTTTTGGTGATTTTAATGGAGTCAAGTACCAACGATACTGCATTTTCAAAAAAAATTCTCTGGTGTGTAACAAGCAGTGAATTTCATATTGATTTCCCAGAGGTTTTCACAATCTTTCATTAAGATATTATATCCAAAGTCCTGTGCCCATTTTATCGTAACAGATTTCACCTCCTCCTGCTTGACTTCCCAATCATGGAGGAATCAGTACATTTTAGAAAGAGTTTTCGCTTTTGAGTTAATCAGGTCATGCTCTAGTCTATAATAATAATAATTTATTATTTGTACCCTCCCCATCTGGCTGGGTTTCCCCAGCCACTCTGGGCGGCTTCCAGCAAAGATGAAAAATACTTTAAAATGTCAAGCATTAAAAACTTCCCTAAACAGGGCTGCCTTCAGATGTTTTCTAAATGTCAGGTAGTTGTTTTCCTCTTTGACATCTGGTGGGAGGGCGTTCCACAGGGCGGGTGCCACCACCGAGAAGGCCCTCTGCCTGGTTCCCTGTAGCTTTGCTTCTTGCAGTGAGGGAACTGCCAGAAGGCCCTCGGAGCTGGACCTCAGTGTCCGGGCAGAATGATGGGGGTGGAGACGCTCCTTCAGGTCTACTGGCCACCCATCTTCAGTCTAGATGGCCACCCCTCTTAACCTCTGGTGAAGGTTCACCACCTTCTGAAGGATCATTGGTTCAGGTCCTGCTATCTGGACCTGCAGAAAACAAACTTGTTCACTCTTCCAAGTGGCAGCCCTGGAGAGATGTGAAGATGGCTCCCACATCTCCTCTGAGTCTCCTCTTTTTCCAGGCTAAACAAACCCAACTCCCTCGACCATTCCTCACAAAGAAGGCTTGGTTTCCAGACCCTGGATCATCTTGGTCTCCCTCCTCTGCCCCTGTTCCAGCTTGTCCACATCCGTCTTCAATGGGGATGCCCTGAACTGCCACTGGGCAGAGGCCCCAACTGCTGTGTGTGTGTGATCTGCAGCCCCTCTCTTCCTGTGCCCCCCCCCCCCAGTCTTGGAGACACGCCTTAAACCAGGCTTTGTCCTCCTGGTGCCTTCCAGGTTCTCCCTGTTAACAGAGAAATCTGAGGGCTCCCTTGGACGAAAAACAAGGACCCCAGCCAGGAATAGCAGAGCAAAACAGCAGCCAGTCGGCTTGGTCTTGATTGAAGACTGTTGCGACAGGACTCCCACCTGCCACCAGGTGGAACAAGATGGAAGCCCCATACAAAAGAGAACCCAAACTTTTATTAGCTGCTAATCCCCATGTTACACCCCCCCAAACTACATCACTCATACATCATGGTAAGGGGAGGTCTGGTGGCAGTAATCTGAGCATCCTGGACCCTGCCCCATGGTTCCCCTTGCCCTCCACCAAATACCCATGGAGTGTCACAAAAGAGATCTTTACATTTCCCTCATTTCCCAGCCAAGTTAGTCACACCCTTTTGTCTTCATCTGGGTTTGTTATTTCTGGAATGGCTACCTGTCTGGCACTCAGGTATCAGGATGCCAGGGATTATCCCTCAGGCAGAGGGGCTGCTGAGTAGCTGAGCTCACAGGTCTAGATGAATTTCTGAAGTTTCCCCACTGAGCCAGTACATAGATACATTGATCAGTGAATTCTTACATTTGGTATCGTGCAGCAGAGGCCCTTGGAACAGATAGGAAGAAACTGTGACGAAGTGTTTTGTGGGGACAAGTCACAAAAGTGATGGTGCTGATTTTGGTAGTGGGCTGCATGTGCATGATATCTGCTGGAGGGGCAACCCCCCCCCAACCTATACATAAATTCCTGAAACATCCCATCACGCACCCCCCCCAGACACAGCTGTGTTGCAGGTCCAAACTAGGGAACTCCCTGCCACAGGGATAGCCTCTGATTTGGAAGGACTGGACAAATCCCGCGAAGGTGGAGAGGGCTCCTTCCAAGGGCTCCCGGCCCCAACGGCCGTTCTCTGCCCTCCACCGCCAGAGGCAGGCAGCCGTGCTTCTGAATCCCAGTTGCTGGAATATGCAGGAGCAGAGAGGGCTCTGGAACTCGGATCCTTCTTGCAGGGGGTTTCCCTCTGGCTGGCCCCCGTGAGAAGAGGATGCTGGACTTGATGGGCCCCCCATGGCCCGATCCGGCAGGCTCTTCTTAGGCGGTTCTTAGGGGATGGCGAGGAGGGAGAGACTTCCTTCAATCCTGCAGCTTTTCAAACATTAAAGTACAAGGTTCTTTGGAACCTTCAGACCTCCTTCCCTCCCTCCGTAGGTTCCATGTTTAAGTTTAAGTTTGCCTCATCTTTTACCATTATCCACCTGTTGTGTATCCCTAATTGCCAGAGATAATTCCACATTGCAAGTGCCATTACATCCCTGCCAGTGATTTTAACTGTTTACAGTGGTCTTTTAAATAAGTTACAAATTTGCTCCGGTCTTTAGAAAATACCGTATTTCTCTCTCCATAAGACGCCCCTGACCATAAGACGCACCTAGTTTTTAGAGGAGGAAAACAAAATATTCTGAACGAAACAGTGGATGTATGATTTTTGTGGTGCATGCGGTGGCCACAGACATGTGACCTGGTGGTGAATTTAGGGTGACCCAATGTAAAAATCCTGAGGATCCATGTGGACCCGTGCTTTGTAACCATGTTTTTGCACCATTGCGGCCCCAGGCAACCGTGGGTGCGTGCTTTTTTGGTGCAGGCTGTAGCCATGGACATGCTATGTGATCTGATGGTGAATTTGGGGTGACCCAATGTAAAAATCCTGAGGATCCATGGGCTTTTACCTCCCCCCTCCCAGGCAGCCTCCGCTAGCGTCCCTTATCTCTCTTCCGATCCCACCGATCAGCTGTTTCCTTTCAACACTCCCTTCCCTCTTGTTTGCCTTAAGTGTCTTTTCCTTAGCTGGAGCAGTTTTTTGCTCCTCCTTTTCTTCTAATTCCTCTCCTTATTGCTTTAATCTTCCTGTCTCCTCTCCTTGCAAGTTTGCAGTCTTTTCCTCCCCCCTCCCAGGCAGCCTCCTTTATTGCCAGCGTCCCTTATCTCTCTCCCCAATCGGCAAACGATCAGCGGCTTTGTTTCAACACCCCTTTCCCTCTTTCAAAAAAAAAAAGCACGATCTGCTTTTCGCCCCTGGGCAATTCGGCTCCAGGGACCACGCATTTGCTCCATAAGACGCACAGACATTTCCCCTCACTTTTTAGGAAGAAAAAAGTGCGTCTTATGAAGCGAAAATACAGTACTTGATCTTCCTGGTTTCGGCTCTTCCCCGTCACTTTCCCCATCTCCGCATACTCCATCAGTTTCACCTGCCATTCTCCTTTTGTTGGTACTTCTCCTTCCTTCCATCTCTGGGCTAGTAGAGCCCTTCTTGCTTCCGTCGTTGCGTACATAAACAATCTTTTATCTTCTCCTGGTAGCCATTCACCTATTATACCTAAGAGAAAGGCTTCTGGTTTTTTAACAAATGTATTTTTAAACATTTTCTTTAGTTCATTACATATCATTTCCCAGAAGGCCTTTACCAATGTCCTCCCCACTCCTCTGCTCTGCTCTCAGCCAGGAGAAGAAACGGATCCTGGACCCATCGGGGGACTATTATTACTGGTGGCTGGTCACGATGGTGTTCCCCATCATGTACAACTGGATCATCCTCATCTGCAGGTGGGCGGAGGGGGGCTGGGCTGGATCCGCCTGTGGGGAGGGGGCCGGGGGCTCAGGGAAACCATGGAGGAGGCCCAGCACTGGGGCCAAGGCTCTCCGGCCGGGAGCATCATCAGAATCACGAGGGAAGGAAAGCGACAGAAACCCCTTTTGGATCCCTCCCTCCCTCCCTCCCTTCCTTCCTTCCTTCCTTCCTTCCTTCCTTCCTTCCTTCCTTCCTTCCCTCCTTCCTTCCTTCCTTCCTTCCTCCTTCCTTCCTTCCTTCCTTCCCTCCTTCCTTCCTTCCTTCCTTCCTTCCCTCCCTCCTTCCTTCCTTCCTTCCCTCCCTCCCTCCTTCCTTCCTTCCCTCCTTCCCTCCTTCCCTCCTTCCTTCCCTCCTTCCTTCCCTCCTTCCTTCCCTCCTTCCTTCCCTCCTTCCTTCCTTCCTTCCTTCCTTCCTTCCCTCCTTCCTTCCTTCCTTCCTTCCTTCCTTCCTTCCCTCCTTCCTTCCCACCTTCCTTCCTTCCTTCTTTCCTTCCTTCCTTCCCTCCTTCCTTCCTTCCTTCCTTCCCTCCTTCCCTCCTTCCTTCCCTTCTTCCTTCCCTCCTTCCCTCCTTCCTTCCTTCCCTCCTTCCTTCCTTCCTTCCTTCCTTCCTTCCTTCCTTCCTTCCCTCCTTCCCTCCTTCCTTCCCTCCTTCCTTCCTTCCCTCCTTCCTTCCTTCCTTCCTTCCTTCCCTCCTTCCTTCCCTCCTTCCTTCCCTCCTTCCTTCCTTCCCTCCCTCCCTCCCTCCTTCCTTCCTTCCTTCCTTCTTTCCCTCCTCCCTCCCTCCCTCCCTTCTTTCCTTTGCTTCTGCATCTGCCAGTCATCTCCTTCCACGCAGAGGAGAGCGAGCCCAGGGGATGACCAAAGAAAGAAAAATAGTAAACAGCAAGAGGCCTGGGAAGCAGACTCTGACAATCCAGCCAGGGTTGGGGGCAAAGATTCAGCAAAAAGACATTTGGGTGAAGTCATGGAAACAGAGAAATGTAGGGCTGGAAGGGACCCCCGAGGGTCATCGGATAATAAAAATAATAATTTTATATCCCGTCCATCTGGCTGGGTTTCCCCAGCCACTCTGGGTGGCTACCTGAAAAATATTAACAATAATAAAGTGTCAGACATTAAAATCTTCCCTGAACTTCCCTGTTCCAACCACTACCCCCCCTTCTGTACTCCAAGGCCCCCAATTCAGGAATCCCAGCTAAAGAATTATTGACAGGTGACCATCAAACCTCCATTGAAGGAGAGCTCAGCATCTTCGAAGGTCTTCTGTGCTGCTGTCAAAGGGCTCTTGCTGCCTGGAAGTTCCTCCTAAAGTTTGTTTGCAATTTCCTTCCTTGCTTTTTGAATCCAGGAGTTCAGGACCTGGCAAAACAAGAAAGCAGTTCTGGGGGGGGGGGGTGTCCTTTTAGGAAGGGAGGGAGTTTCAGAGCAAACTGCCCCCCCATTTACATTTTAGGGATATTCCTGGGGGGAAGGGGAGAGCTGAGTGGGGGGCTGCGGGGGGTGGGGGTGGAGCAAGGAACAAGGAGAGAGCTTGGAGGGAGCTGCCTGGCCTTTGGGGCAGCTGCTGCTGCAGTGGGTGGGTTGTGGGTTCGGATGCTGCCACGCATCTCTCTCTCCTTCCCTCCTGCGCAGGTCCTGCTTCCCTGAGCTTCAGCGCAAATACCTCTTCCTCTGGCTGGCCCTGGACTACCTCTGCGACCTGCTGTACCTGCTGGACATCGGGGTCCACTTCTACACGGGTTAGTGGCCTTTCCGCCTCGGGGCCTGTCTCCTCGCCCCTCCTTGTGGCCCCCTCTCACCCCACCTGGCGAATGCTTCTTCCCCTTCATCCAATGAAGCTAAACTTTGAGAGATTCAACAGAGAGAAGAAAGTCTTTGGTCCCGTGACGCGTAGTTAGACTATGGAACTCCCTCTCACAGTACGCAGGGTTGTCCAGCAGCCTAGATGGCTTTAGAAAAGATTGGACCAATTCCGGGAGAAGGAGAAAGATATCTTTGTTCTTCCTCCACAGTCAGGGGTAGCAATGCTTCTGGATCCCAGTCGCTGGAAACATCCGGAAGGGAAGAAAGCAAACGTCCAACGGGGGCTTCTGATTGGAGCTTCCAGCAGCCAATCAGAATCCGTGCTTTGGTTTCTGAATGTTTTGGAAGTCTAACGGACTTCTGGATTGGAATCTGTCTGACTTCCAAGGTACGACTGTACATATTTAAAAGTTGACTTCCCAATAATAATTGAAAATTTGTAACAGAGAAATATATAATGTGGGAGCAAAAACACTAGGAAACTTCTGTCCATAAGATCTGTTCAGGGCCAGATTTAGCTTTGATGTTGCCCTCAGCTCCTGAAGGTAACGAGGCCCTTTATATGTCCATCTGTCCTTTGTCAACAACAAATTGTCGCTGTTTTTGTGTTGAATATATGCTAGGTGGTGATTTATGGACCTAACTGGTATCTAAAGCCATTTGCACATGTTGCCCTGCAACCCGTCCATGCAGAATGTAGGCACCCTATATATAGAAAGGAGCAAACCAGGGATATTTGAGGGAGCAGGCTAGCAGGCAGGGGCCATTGCTTACATCAGAGGAGCCTACACAACACAAAACACGGTTGCTGTATGTAGCTTATATTTTATTTGTTTTTTATCTTATATTTTGGAAATGTACATCCAGTTTTTCCCCCTTTAATTTTTTTGGGGACCCCCCCAAAAAGTGGGGCCCTAAGCTATAGCTTGTTTAGCATAAATCCGGCACTGGATCTGCAGAAATAGTTGGCCTATTCCTTCGAAGAGCAGGTTCCAGCTGACCAGGCCCTGGTGCTGACGGAGAGAGAGGCGATCCTGGCTGCTTTCCTATCAAGAGTGTCTCTCTGACCCCTACATCTCCCACCTCTGAAGGGTGAGGGGACTGGATGGGACCCTCTGGCCCGATCCGGCAGGCCCTTCTTAGGTTGTTCCGTTTGTTGGAGAGGAGTGGAGATAATAATAATAATAAATTTTTATTTATACCCCGCCCTTCCCGGTTCAGGAAACCGGGCTCAGGGTGGCTAACAACAAATTTAAAACACTTAATTGATGCTACAACAAAAAACAGCATAAAATTCAGTATAAAACATGAATAACGATAAATTTAGAACTCAAAAATCAATTTAGGGGGGAAATCCATCCAATAAACATTAGGTGATCACCAGGGCTAGCTGGCTAAATTAGTCCTATTTGGGCCAGCGAGGAGGCCAGGGGAGAATTAGCTGTGGGATCCCAGAGCGGGTAATCTTCATAAAAAGGGGAGGAAGGGGAGTAAAAGATCAGGCTAAGTTCAAATGGAAAGCCAGGCGGAATAGCTCTGTCTTACAGGCCCTGATGGAAGGAGGTTAAATCCTGCAGGGCCCTGGTCTCATGGGACAGAGCATTCCACCAGGTCGGAGCCACCACTGAAAAGGCCCTGGCCCTGGTGGAGGATAGTCTGACTTCCTTAGGGCCCGGGACTTCTGAACTATGGTAATTCATGAACCTTAAGGTCCTCTGCCTGGGGCCGAGGGTCTCCTCTGACCCATCTCCTTCCCCCCTCCCCACCCCAGGCTTCCTGGAGCAAGGCATCCTGATCCAGGACCGCTCCAAGATCTCGCGCCACTACACCTGCTCCTCCGCCTTCCTGCTGGACCTCCTCTCGGTGATGCCCACTGACCTCCTATACCTGCGCCTGGGCCTGGCCACCCCCGCCGTCCGGGCCAACCGCTTCCTGCGCAGCCCCCGCCTCTTCGAGGCCTTTGACCGCATTGAGACGCGCACAGCGCACCCCAACTCCTTCCGCATCTCCAAGCTGATGCTCTACGTCTTCATCACCATCCACTGGAACGCCTGCGTCTACTTTGCCCTCTCAGGCTACGTGGGCTACGGGGCGGACAAGTGGGTCTACCCCAATGTCAGCATCCCCGGCTTTGAGCGCCTGCTGCGCCAGTACCTCTACAGCTTCTACTTCTCCACCCTCATCCTCACCACGGTGGGCGACACGCCCATGCCCCACCGCGAGGAGGAGTTCCTCTTCATGGCGGCCGACTTCCTGCTGGCCGTCATGGGCTTCGCCACCATCATGGGGAGCATGACCTCGGTCATCTCCAACATGAACCAGGCGGACGACGCCTTCGTCCCCAACTCGGACCTGGTCAAGGGCTACCTGCGCACCCACTGCCCCAACCGCCGCCTCCAGAACCGCGTGGTGGAGTGGTACCAGCACCTGCAGATGGAGAAGAAGATGACCAACGAGCTGCAGATCCTGCAGCACCTCCCCGAGCGCCTGCGGGCCGAGGTGGCCGTCAGCGTCCACCTGCCCACCCTCCGCAAGGTGCAGATCTTCCAGAGCTGCGAGCAGAGCCTGCTGGAGGAGCTGGTCCTCAAGCTCAAGCCCCAGGTCTACAGCCCCGGCGAGTACGTCTGCAAGAAGGGCGACGTGGGCCGGGAGATGTACTTCATCCGGGAGGGGAAGCTGGCCGTGGTGGCTGACGACGGGGTCACCCAGTACGCCGTGCTGGGAGAGGGGCTCTACTTTGGGGAGATCAGCATCATCAACATCAAAGGTGAGCTTGGAGGGGGGGAGGGAGAAGTGGAGGTGGGGGTGTCGTGTGTGGAGGAAAAACTGAAACACATTGCAGAGTTCCCCAAAAATAGACCAGAGGCAATTTCATCCAACAGAGCTTTAACGCTTCTGAAGGCAAATGAGCATAATGGTCACAAATCCAAAATCCACATCAGAAGTGTGCATACATACGAAAGCTCATACCAGTAACAAACTTAGTTCGTCTCTAAGGTGCTACTGGAAGGAGTTTTTTTATTTTGTTCCGACTATGGCAGACCAACACGGCTACCTAAAGGGTAAAGGTAAAGGGACCCCTGACCATTAGGTCCAGTCGTGGCCAACTCTGGGGTTGCGGCGCTCATCTCGCTTTATTGGCCGACGGAGCCGGCGTACAGCTTCCGGGTCATGTGGCCAGCAGGACTAAGCCGCTTCTGGAGAACTAGAGCAGCGCACGGAAACGCCATTTACCTTCCCGCCGGAGCGGTACCTACTTTTCTACTTGCTCTTTGAGGTGCTTTCGAACTGCTAGGTTGGCAGGAGCAGGGACAGAGCAATGGGAGCTCACCCCGTCGCGGGGATTCGAACCGCCGACCTTCTGATCAGCAATCCCAAGAGGCTCAGTGGTTTAACCCACAGCGCCACCCGTAAACAAATCCGAAACATTCAGGATTGGCCCTGTCCATCAGGAATCCAGTTGCAGCAGACTTAAACTAAACTTAACAATAACTTATAATCAGTGCTTTTTTTCTATGAAAAAAATGTTTAGGGGTACTCACCTTTCCCTACTCATATTGAAATACTGCCCCTCAATGAGGCCAAACTTAGATTCACAAAATGTTTAGGAACAAAATAAAAAAAAATCCTTCCAGTAGCACCTTAGAGACTAACTAAGTTTGTTATTGGTATGAGGATTTTTAAAATTTTGTTTCAACTACGGCAAACCAACATGGCTACCTGCCTGCAACTAAAATGTTTAGGGGTATGCGTACCCCTGCGTCACCCCAGGAAAAGAAGCACTGCTTATAATAAGACTAAACCTTAACGCTAAGCATACAGAGCAGAACACCACAGCCAGAACAAAGGGACAGACAGAGAAAGTGAGAGAGCCAGGCTCCTCCTGGCCTGACTATTACAGTCAGCAGGATCTTGACTAAAAGGATAACAGGAGCACTTTAACCCAGCTGCACTCAGGCTCCCGTTGTTTGGTCCCAGCTCCTGCCAACCTAGCAGTTCGAAAGCACGTCAAAGTGCAAGTAGAAAAGTAGGTACCGCTCCGGCGGGAGGGTAAACGGCGTTTCCGTGCGCTGCTCTAGTTCTCCAGAACTAGAGTTTCCTGCACAGCTGCCTCCCACTGGGACGGCAGAACAGGGCCATTCTGGCTAGTGGCCTTTGATAGCCCTCTTCCTCTTCCTCTTCCTCCTCCTCCTCCTCCTCCTCCTCTGTGCATTGGCCTAATCCTCTTTTCAAGCCAGGAGCCAGCCAGCAGTAAATCACACTGTGCAAGTTGGAGTTAACTCCTTGTCAGCAAAAACAGGACCGACACAGGAGTGTCAGGCCCAGTGAGCACAGTGATTATTTTATTTATACCCCACTCATCTGCCTTGGTCACTGAAAAGCCAATAAACGCCATAGACCAGGCACCCCCAAACTCAGCCCTCCAGATGTTTTGGGACTACAACTCCCACCATCCCTAGCTAACAGGGCCAGTGGTCAGGGATGATGGGAGTTGTAGTCCCAAAACATCTGGAGGGCCGAGTTTGGGGATGCTGCCACAGACAGAGGGGATTCCCACAACCACTCTTTTATTCAGCTGAGTGAAACAGAGGGGACAAGCCACACTCACCAGCGTGATGGTGAAGCTGCGCCAAATAGCCTTTGTTCATGCTTTTTATAGGCCTCCCCCCTCCCTTCCCTCCCCCTTCGAGGTTCCTTGCACTGATGGAAACAGGACACCCTGCCTGGAGACCTTGACTGGGAGAGTTGCCTGGCAGAGGGAGGTTTTCCTGAAATCGCCTAGCAACGTTATCTGGTCTTCACATGAGCGTGGCTCACCCTCCTAAATTCTAAAGGAGGCAGTTTTTTACAGAAGCAAAATCAGTTAGGCTAACCAAAAAAAAACAGGACAAGAACAGGCCTCTGTGGCTTTTCCTGAGACTCCCACAATAGTAATAATAATAATTTTATTATTTATTCCCTGGCCCATATGGCTGGGTTTCCCCAGCCACTCTGAGTGGTTCCCAACAGAATGATAAAAGATCAAACATTAAAAACTTCCCTAAATAGGGCTGCCTTCAGATGTCTTCTAAAAGTCAGATAGTTGTTTATTTCCTTGACACCTGGTGGGACGGCATTCCACAGGGCGGGCACCACCACCGAGAAGGCCCTCTGCCTGGTTCCCTGTAACCTCACTTCTCGCAGCGGCCCTCAGCGCTGGACCTCAGTGTCCGGGCAGAACGATGGGGGTGGAGACGCTCCTTCAGGTATACTGGACCGAGGCTGTTTAGGGCTTTCAAGGTCAGCACCAACACTTTGAATTGTGCTGGGAAACGTACTGGAAGCCAATGCAGGTCTTTCAGGACCAGTGTTATATGGTCTCAGTAAGACTTTATTTTACAGAAAGGTTCAGCCTCACTGGCATCCTCTTCATATTGACCCACAGAGGAAGGTTTCCTTTTGGGAAGAATGAAATCCTTTTTTACAGAAAGGTTCAACCTCGCCAGCATCCTCTTAATACACTTTGAATTGTGCTCGGAAACGTCCTGGGAGCCAGTGTTGGTCTTTCAAGACCAGTGTTATATGGTCTCAGCGGCCGCTCCCAGTCACCAGTCTAGCAACACATAAGCAACTTGTCTCCGGTGGGTCTTGCCCCCGTGACGGAAGGCCCCACCCCCCCCGCCGCTGCCTCAGCCCCCTCCTCTCCGAGGTTTCTCCCGAGGAGTTCCATCCGGCATCTGTGTGTCCCCAACCTCTCCTCCGCCATTTCCATGTCTCTTCTGGAGACTGAGGGGGGAGGGGAGCTTGTCTCAGCAGGAGGGGGAGACCCCCCTGGCTTCTTCACCAGCCGGACTCCTCTCTGCCTCTTCGCCTCTTTCCTCCCACCCCCAGGGGCCTGATCCTGCATGCTCCGCTTATGTTCTCAAGGCCCCCGCTGACCCCATTGCCCCCCTTCTCCCCCCCCAGGGAACAAGTCCGGGAACCGCCGCACGGCCAACATCAAGAGCATAGGCTTCTCGGACCTCTTCTGCCTGTCGAAGGAGGACCTGACGGAGGTGCTGGCTGAGTTCCCCAGCGCCAAGGCCATGCTGGAGGCCAAGGGCCGGGAGATCCTGCTCAAGATGGACAAGCTGGACGTCAACGCCGAGGCGGCCGAGATCGCCCAGCTGCAGGAGGAGGAGCGCCGGACGGCCGCCCTGGAAGAGGGCCTAGACGCCCTGCAGACCAAGCTGGCCAGAATCCTGGCAGGACTCGAATCCAGCGCCTTTAAGGTGGCTCTGCGCCTGGAGCGCCTGGAGTGGCAGATGCGGGAGTGGGGGGCCGAGGAGGAGGCGGAGAGGGAGGGGGCCGAGCCTTAGCCACCCCCCCACCCCACCTGAGGCAGTGAGGAGGCTGCCCACCCCACAGTTACAGCTGCCAGGCTGAGTCCTCCGGCCTACGATGCACATGGCTCCTGGTGCAGCCTGGGGGCTGGCGTGGGGGGTGGGATTCCTGCATTGCAGTCTAGATGAGCCTCAGGGGTCCCTTCCAGCTCTACGGTTCAGGGATTGGCTTCGGGCTTCAGAGCAGAGGCTGGACAGCCATCCATCAGGGATTCTGGAGCTGCGATTCCTGCGTTGCAGGAATGACCTCTGGGAGTCCCTTCTGACCCACGATTCTGTGTGCCTCCACTCACGAATGCACTCAGCATAAGAGCTATCTCTGCCCACGCAATTACACAAAACAAATGAAATACCGAGAAAATCCCTGAAAGGAGTAGTAATCGACTAGAAATGTTATCTTACAGAAATAAACTAAATAATAAAAATCAAAAAGTTTAAGGAAAACCTAGAATTATACAAAGCCTTAATGGGATGCCATAATTCTAGGTTTCCCTTAAACTTTTAAATTTTTATTATTTAGTTTATTTCTATAAGATAACGTTTCTAGTCGATTTTCAGGGATTTTCACGGTTTTCCATTTGTTTTGTGTAATTTCTCGGTTCCGTGACTGCCTTTTTTGTGGCCTTTTGCCAGGAAGGAGAAGTCTAGCCGCAACTTATCCCTGGCATTCTGGCTTTTGAGGTGCAGTGAGGGCGTTGCTAGGCAACCTCCTCCCACTCAGCCAATGCTTGGCTAGATCTGGCCCTGTGGTCCAGATAAATGTCCCCTTTATGTGGGGCATCTTCCTGGCTTCTAACTCTCCCCCCCCCCCAGCTTGCCTGCAGTGCCCCCCCCCCCTTGTGGACTGTTGCAAATGCAGGTTTTTCTGCCACTCCAGGATCAGGGCCTATAAGCTTTGGGGTGGGGGTGGCACAGGGAGGGCTGGGGTCCGGGTGCAGGCTGGCATCCCTCAGGAGAGCAGAGACCTGGGCAGCTGCATCAGGGCCTGGGAGGGGCAGGGAAGCCCCCCCCCCAAAGTTGGGTCTGACTCTGACATGCCTGAAAGGGAGGCGGAGCTGGATGGACCATCCATAATACTGATCTGGTGTGGGTGTGTGTGGAGATGATGCAAAGCTTTGAGCAATAGACTGGCTCTTTTTGTGGTCCCCCCTTCCCCAGGTGGGGGCAAGCACTTTTCAGGCGAAGGCAGCCCAGAGCTTCCTTGAGCAGGACAGAGCCATGGGGTTGTCGAGTTGGAAGGGACCCAGAGAGTCATCTAGTCCAACCATAGCTGTCAACTTACAGATTTGAAAGTAAGGGACCAGCAGCCTCGAAAATAAGGGATCAGCAGCCAGAATAAGGGATTTTGCTATTGTAAAGTGTTACATACATTGGTAGGATTGACAGATGCTGTCAATCTGGCATGAGGTGGTTGCAGCGGCGGTGTGGCCACTGAAGTGCCGCCCTTCTGCGTCCCTCCCCATCCCCTCCTCTTCCTCCTCCCTCAGGCCTCCTCCTCAGCTGCCACCACCGCTGCCGCCTCCGGGCTTGTGGGTGGCGTGGGTGAGAGTCTCTCTCCCTCCCCCCCTCTCTCGGTCGGAGAAGGGCCAATGGAACTCCTCGCACCAGGACGATGGCGCCAGAAATTTAAGGGACATCATCAATAAGGGACAGAAGCGGGACACGGCGCTGGGATAAGGGAGTTTCCCGCCAAATAAGGGACAGTTGACAGCTATGAGTCCAACCCCCGGCAGGAATTGAATTTCACAGTCTTCCCTTCCTGCCTCTTTGTTAATGGTTGCTGGAGGTCCCTCGGTGGCCTGACAGGTCTGCTATGGGCCGGGGGGGGGGCAGGGGGATGTGTCCCTGGGGGGCCTTGCAAGCCTGGCTCTTCTCTTGCCCCGGCCCAACTGTTGAATATCTGTGTGAATCGAGAGCCTTGCTGAGATTTGGGCTGGGCTGTGTGGGTGTGTGGAGGTTCTCCGGATTGTCCTGGGCTTCAGAACGTTAGGAGACCCAGAGCTGCTCTTGCTGCAGCCTTGACCCAGGCTCAGTTCCCTTTGGGAAAAGGTGGCTGAAGTCTTTAGGAGCACTTTGTGTTCACCAGGGCCAGGGCCTTCTCAGTGGTGGCTCCGACCTGGTGGAATGCTCTGTCCCAGGAGACCAGGGCCCTGCAGGATTTAACCTCCTTCTGTCAGGCCTGTAAGACAGAGCTATTCCACCTGGCTTTCAATTTGAATTTAGCCTGATCTTTTATTCCCCTTCCTCCCCTTTTCATGAAGATTCCCTGCTCTGGGATCCCACAGCTAATTCTCCCCTGGTCTCCTCCCTGGCCCAAATAGGACTAACTTAGCCAGCTAGCCCTGGTGATCATCCAATGTTTATTGGATGGATTTCCCCCCAAAATCGATTTTTTATTTTACTGTTTACGCTTTATATTGTATTTTATGCTTTTTTTTTTTTTGTAGCATCAATTAAGTGTTTTAAACTTGTTGTTAGCCGCCCTGAGCCCGGTTTCCTGAACCAGGAAGGGCAGGGTAAAAATAAAAATTTATTATTATTTATTATTTACTGTTGGAGCACAGATGGAGGGGCACAGCAAAAGCCCCCCCCCCCGGCACCCCGGAACACGCTGCTCCTGTATCAGATCCCATGGGGACACCTAGAGCCATCTATCCGCCAGGGATTCTTTTGCTGTGATTCCTGTCTCGCAGGGGGTTGGACTAGATGGCCCCTGGGCTCCCTCCCAACTCTGCAATCCTGTGATTCTGTCTGACTCTCTGACTCTCTCTCCCCCCCAAACTGAATTGAATTTTATTATTACGGTCACAGACTTACAATATCAGGAAAATCATAAAACACAACAGGAATACACTGAATTGCAATTGGGTATAACAGAGACAATTCAGATATAGCGGCAGTTAAAAATATATATTAAATCTTGATCACTAAAATATAACCTAAAATTGGGGTCTAGCAATCATCATCCCAATATACAAGAAAGGGGGCAGATCGGACCCTGCTAATTACAGACCAATTAGTCTCCTAATCATTATCATTAAGCTATGGTATATGCTGCCTAGGGACGCGGGGGGCACTGTGGGTTAAACCACAGAGCCTAGGACTTGCTGATCAGAAGGTCGGCGGTTCGAATCCCCGCGACGGGGTGAGCTCCCATTGCTCGGTCCCTGCTCCTGCCAACCTAGCAGTTCAAAAGCATGTCAAAGTGCAAGTAGATAAATAGGTACCGCTTTATAGCGCGAAGGTAAACAGCGTTTCCGTGCGCTGCTCTGGTTCGCCAGAAGCGGCTTAGTCCTGCTGGCCACATGACCCAGAAGCTGTATGCCGGCTCCCTCGGCCAGTAAAGCGAGATGAGCGCCACAACCCCAGAGTCGGCCACGACTGGACCTAATGGTCAGGGGTCCCTTTACCTTTATATGCTGCCCACTTATGTAATAAACTTGAGGATTGGATGGAGTGAGAACATGTCCTTACAGAAGCACAAGCTGGTTTCAGGGCAAACGTCAACTTTAGACCAAGGCCTAGTACTCCAACATCTTGTGGAAAAATATATCTCAAGAAACGGAGGATCCCTCTACGCAGCTTTCATAGATTTTAAATCTGCCTTTGATTTAGTATCACGAGACAGGTTTTGAGAAAAACTAAGCGCCTCAAACATAGACAGACGTCTACTGTGTCTTATCCTCCCCAAACTGTCTCGTGTGGAGACTTGTTCCAAAGTGGCAGAAGGCCAGCAAGAGTCCCATCCTGATGCCTCTAACCACTGAGCAGGCTGGCCATTGAGAGCCAAAGTGGGCCTGCCAAACTAGGCCAGAGATGAGGACCCCCCCAAAAAAGAATTTATCTATCATAATCTTAGCAGCATTTATAAGGTTGATCACTATTTCTCAGCCTTTTTTCAAGATAACATCCCAATAGAACCAAGCAGAAATATTGTAGGTTCTGACAGTATGTGATATTCTAATGTATCCGAGATACCAACCTGAACACATTTCCAAAATATTTCTATTCGAGAGCAGTTCCAAAAGACATGTATGGGATCTCCAGGCTTTGTCTGATCTCAGCATATATATCAAGTTTCATTTGCAAAGTGTTAAGTACAGCTCATACTTAATGTCTAAAACCATTTTTTCCAAAACACTTAACAGCTTATTATAAAATGAAACTAAGAGTGCTAATCATGTTCCAACATCATGTTTTTGTTTGCAGTGCTTCACCGATATCAATTTTATTTTTCACTTTTCCAAGGGATCCTATAGCACATTTCCCCATCAGAATCCAATTAATGGATGGAGGTTCTTTTGTGCTGTAGATGGAACAAAGCAGAACTCGGCTGCCTGGAATTTTGCAAAGATTTTCCTTCGTCTGCTGTGTTAATTTTTCCATCCAAGTGATTGTCCGAATTTGTTGCTCCCATTCATTCATTAGCTGCCACCCAACTTCTTCCTCCATCTGGCTATGGTCAAGATCACTGCTATTCATTTTTTTTTAAAATGCAGTAAGTCTTTTAATGATGTGTCCTTTGGGGGAAACGGAGAGTAGAGTCATTCTCAGGTCTTAATATTTCTCCTGCTATTGAGCCCATTTCCTAATAAGCAGAGGCTACAGGATCAGGCCTGGGGCCCATCTAATCCAGGATCCTGCTCTCACAGGGGACAACCAGATGTCCCCATGGACCCCAATGCAAGCAGGATCTGAGCACAAGATCGCTCCCACCCATAGCTGTCAACGTTTCTGAAATATACTCAAGAGTTGAGTGTGGATTTCATGCTCTTTATTCAGCTCATAGTGGTGAGGAATGGAAGTTCCCCCAAGATGTCTGCTTTATATACATTATTTACACAATGGGCCCCACGTGATTGGCTAATTCCGGGATTCTCCTGTAGGCCAATCAGGTTCCGGATTCACTGGAGCTGGATTGGGTGGCTCCTGTGGACCAATCAGACTGCTGCATTCTGGATCCTATTGTTCTAGGACCAGTCAGACTGCTGCATTTGGGATCCTATTCAACTCAGTACATAACAGTTTCCCTTTTTTTAAGGGATATTCCCTTATTCTGAATAGGATTCCCCGCAAGAAAAGGGAAAAGTTGACAGCTATGCTCCCACCTCCTGTCGTTTCCATCAGCTGGGATTCCGAATCATGGCTGCCCTCGATAGCCCCCTCCTCCATTGGGAGGGGGTCCCAGTAACTCTGGGCTGCGTGAACCTTTTATACGTCCTGAATCTCCCCACATTCAGCTTCATGGGCCTTCTAGTGTTTGGAGATAGGGAGAAAAACTTTCCTGTGTGCTAGTCCTGGAATGGTCAACTGAACTTTTCTTAGTTGTTTAATGCTTTTTTCTTACCCTTTTAATGATTTCCTTTAAGTTGTTGCCCCACAAATAACCCAGAGATGCATTTTAAATAAAAGGACACATTCTACTACTCAAGTAAAAGCACTCTGATTCCCGGACCGTCCGTGGGCCGGATTCAGAAGGCGATTGGGCCAGATCCAGCCCCTGGGTCTTAGTTTGCCTACCTGTGATGTAAGCCATGCATGAAGGATAAATCACAGCAAATGTGGGCCTGGGGCTGCTTGCTGTTCTTCCCCCCAAACACCACTTTGGACTGTTAAAACCAGGAAGGGGGGCAGTTAAACAACTCCCCCAAAATCCCAAGCCCCCACCACAGCCTCTAACTAAGGCCAGGACAATGACCATTGACACAGGCACCAGACATACACAACAACAAAGAATCTCAGAAAAGCAGTCTATAAAATTGTAGCAGTTAGGGGATTGTAGCAACAGTAAGATAATTGTAGCTTACTGTTTCCTCTGACTATCCAATACAGAATCAAATAATCGCCAAAATTCAATGGTTTGACCCATTTCCTTGGATCCAAGGGCTGATGACTCCTCTGGAAGAGGGGAATCCAGGCTCCCCCTGCATCCATAATCCCTGAGGCATACAGTCCCATACACAGCACCCCTCCCTTGAGGGAAGCAATGGACTCCACTGATGGGTTTGCTGAGGCCGGGTGTTCCCAGAGCCCATCCTTGGGAAGGCTGGAGGGAAAGGAGATGCACAGATAGCTTTCTTGTTCTTTGGGTGGCGGGTGCTTAAGGTTGTTGTTGTTTAGTTGTTTAGTCGTGTCCGACTCTTCGTGCCCCCCTGGACCAGAGCACGCCAGGCACTTCTGTCTTCCACTGCCTCCCGCAGTTTGGTCAGACTCATGCTGGTAGCTTCGAGAATACCTTCCAACCATCTCGTCCTCTGCCGTCCCCTTCTCCTTGCGCCCTCCATCTTTCCCAACATCAGGCTCTTTTCCAGGGAGTCTTCTCTTCTCATGAGGTGGCCAAAGTCTTGGAGCCTCAGCTTCAGGATCTGTCCTTCCAGTGAGCACTCAGGGCTGGTTTCCTTCAGAATGGAGAGGTTTGATCTTCTTGCAGTCCATGGGACTCTCAAGAGTCTCCTCCAGCACCAGAATTCAAAAGCATCAGTTCTTCGGCGATCAGCCTTCTTTATGGTCCAGCTCTCACTTCCAAGCATCACTACTGGGAAAACCAGAGCTTGAACTATACGGAGCTTTGTCGGCAAGGTGATGTCTCTGCTTTTTGAGATGCTGTCTAGGTTTGTCATTGCTTTTCTCCCAAGAAGCAGGCGGTGCTTAAGGTGCCTGGGACTAAATCTGATAAGCGGAGCAAGTTGATGAACTTGGGAAACCTCAAGATTCCCCCTCCCTCTTTATGACCTGTTGATGATGTATCAGTGATGTATCAGTGATGCTTCTGGAAAGGTATTATGGGAGGGGGGAGGTCTTAAAAGAGTGTGTCACCTGTGTTCAGGGTTATTAATCTGTGTGGGGACCTGTTGCGCAACAATCAAGATCGTGGTCTACTGACTGCTGTTTTGCTCCAAATTCCTTGGCTGGAACTTCCTTCTTGTACTGGCCGAGCTTGCACCCCGATGAGCTGGGCTGTTAAGAAGTCTCTCACCCTGGATTTTTTCCTTATCAGGACTGAGAGACTTTTCTCCCTCCAGCTCTAAATCTGGGGCCAAACCGGGACCGCGGATCGGAGCCCTCTCCAAACGCTTTGTGATCAAGGCGCTGAAAGAATTCTTCCTCCTCCTTTCCTGAAGCACTTAGGCATAAGCTGATTACTCATTTATCTTGTCATGAAAATTGGCATTTTAAGATGACAACGCAGGAGCAGGAGAAATGAAGCCACTGAAAGGGGGACGAGGTGTGAATATGGAGGGGAGGTGGGCCGCCTATGAGGAGATTTTAATGGAAACAGAGAAACTGAAGCCCTAGAACTAATTGAGGAAAAATTTACAGGATGGCTGCAATACCATCAAGTGAACGATGTGTTTAAGGGTGACAAAAGGGGAGGATTTGACGATTAAAAAATTGAAATTTCAAACTGAAATATTAGAAAGCAGGTCCAAATTACTATCGAAAATGTACAATTTCTTATTAGAATGGAATACAAAAGATGAACTGATAAAAGTGGCAATGATAAAATGGGCAATATATTTTGGGCATAATATTGAGTATGATGCATGGGTGAAACAGTGGAACAAGAATTTAAAATTTGCAGCATGCACTACTCTAAAAGAGAACATAATGAAAATGATATACCGCTGGTACCTAACACCTGCCAAATTAGCAAAAATGTATAGGATGAGTAGTAAAGTTTGTTGGAAATGCAAAGAAAAGCATGGAGATTTTTTTCACATGTGGTGGACATGGGGGAAAATGAAAAAGTTTTGGGAACTAATCTATAACGAACTAAAAAAGATGCTTAAATATACTTGCTCGGCTTGATGGGGGAGGATATTAAGAAAGTTGACCAAAGATTATTCATGTATGCCACGACTGCTGCTAGAATTCTGATAGCCCAAAAATGGAAAGTACAGGCATTCCCAACCGTGAAGGAGTGGCAGACGAAGCTGGTCGAATAGGCGGAATTCGCAAAACTGAACTGCAGGATCCGCAACCGGGAGGAAACACGTTCCCAAAGAGAATGGAGTGAATTCATGGACTATATAGGTGAGAGCCGTAGAAATCTGAGGACGTTAGCAGGGCTGAAATAAATCGTATGACATGGACTAGATATTATCAAGGAACTGTGGATGAGAGATTGGAGTAAGAAAAGCTGCTGAAGGGAGGGAGGGAAGTCAGTGAGCAGAAAGAACGATAGTTGCAAAAAGATATGAAATATTGGTGTATTTTGTTTGTGTATATGAAATGAAAACCTAATAAAAAGTATAATAAAATAAAAATAAACGAAAAAGAAAGGGGGATGAGGTGGGTGGGGGTGAGCAGAACCAGGGACGCACCCCCCAGCTTGGCTCCTGCTGTTGTCTGTGGGGGCAGAGGAGGGGGGCACGACTCGCCCCCTGTTTGTGCCAACTGCAGATGCCCAGAATGCCTCTGTCAGAGGAGATCTGGCCTGGCACATCAGAAACTGCTTTTCTCCCTCCTGGGCTGAATGCCCTTCGCCCCTGGGGCCCTGAGAGAGCTGGCTCAGCAGGCGCCTCGCCCATGAGCTGTGGGGCTGACCCTCTGGGGGCCTCCGAGGGTCGCTGGTGCCCATGTCAGAAACACTTAAGGAACCTCTGAGCGCCAGGAGTGCCTCTGCCAGCCTCTTGCCTGTCTGCGTCAGGATGTCAAGGACCGGCATGTGGCGGCTGCGAAAGAGGCAAATGCTACGCTAGGGGTCCTTAGCAAAGGAATTGAGCAGAAAACTGCCAGGGCCATGATGCCATCATCAAACGCTAAGGATGGCAGCTGACAGATTGAGGCTGAATCCTGACAAGACAGATGTCCTGTTTTGGGAGGACAGGCAGGTGTGGAGGAGGACTCCCTGGTCCTGAATGGGGTAACCGTGCCCCTGAAGGACTCACAGCTGTCCATGGAGGCGCAGGTCAATTCTGTGTCCAGGGCAGCTGTCTACCAGCTCCATCTGGTATGCAGGATGAGACCCTCCCTGCCTACAGACTGTCTCACCAGAGAGGGGCATGCTCTGGTTATCTCCCGCTCGGACTACTGCAATGCGCTCTACGTGGGGCTACCTTTGAAGGTGACTCAGAAACTGCAACTAATCCAGAATGCGGCAGCTAGACTGGTGACTGGGAGCGGCCTCCAGGACCCTATTACACTGGTCCTGAAAGACCAACATCAACTCCCAGTACGTTTCTGAGCACAATTCAAAGTGTTGGTGCTCACCTTTAAAGCCCTAAACAGCTTCAGTCCAGTATACTCTTGAAGGAGCGTCTCCATCCCCATTGTTCTACCTGAACACTGAGGTCCAGCTCCAAGGGCCTTCTGGCGGATCCCTCACTGTGCAAAGTGAAGTTTCAGAGAACCAGGCAGAGGGCCTTCTCAGTGGTGGCGCCCGTCCTGTAGAACACCCTTCCATCAGATGTCAAGGAAATAAACAACTGTCTGACTTTTAGAAGACATCTGAAGGCAGCCCTGTTTAGGGAAGTGTTTAATGTTTTATTCTGTTTTTAGTGTTCTGTTGGGAGCCACCCAGAGTGGATGGTAAACCCAGCCAGATGGGTGGGGTATAAATGATTAATAATAATAATAACTATGTTACTCCGTTGAAGTCTCCCATGATGATCATACTGTCATTACTGTATTCTAATAGCTTATCTTCAAGGTTTTTTTGAAGAAGTTTGTTTTATTTCCATTTGATGCGTATACCCAGGGCCGTCTTTACCAGGCGGTGCAAGTGGCTCATTGCGCCAGGACGCCAAGCTCCGGAGGGTGCCTAGTTGGGAGTCCGGGCCGAGTTGGAGTCGTCTGGGACTCTGGGAAGAGCCGAGAGCCGAATGGAGCACAGCTCTTCTGCTGTGGGCGGCTCATTCAGTTCAGGAGCGAGCGAGGCACAGGTGGTGAGGCAGCCCACGGGCTCTGCCCCCTGCGTGCCGTTGGGTGTAGAGACAGGCCCGCCCAGCACGCGCTACTCACGAGGCGCCCTGGAGGCCCCACAGAGCTTTCTGCCCCATCTGCCCCTGCCCCTGGGTGCAGGAAATGCACGCAGTCCCAGGCGCCTGATCGCTTGTTCCTTCCTGCCCTCGAGGCTCCGCCCCCTGACTCTCGCAGCGTTCTTGTGTAGTGATCAGGTGGGATTGCTGTGAGGAATTATAAAAAATATGTGTCAGCAATGAAAGCATTGCGTTGACTGGGTTTGAGACATTTTGATATGATTTCTGATCAATCCACGCCTCTGCTTCCCTGTCCTATTACTCTCGCTTGACAAGACACGTACACAGCCCAGTTGCCAGTTGCTTCCCTGGGCATCCTCAGTACATAAAGATAGTAGGTTACTTTGATGTAGTTTAATCTTTAGAGAGATCTTAGGGGCCAGGAAGAGAGTTCACAAGGAGATGGTAAATCCTGCCATCCTGCCTCTCCTGTTTACTCCTGTTTAGGACTGTCAGATGGCCGTTGCAGTTGCTCGAGAGTAACCAGGCAGGACTCCAACCTGTCTTTTCCAGGCTTTATTTTGGTGCAAACTATTTACAGTGAAGAGCCCCAAAGCTCATGTCTGGCTCAATCGCTAGCAGAATCCGGGAGTGGTCTTTTTTTGGACCTCCCCCAACACAAGAATTTCATTACCCCCAGCCTTCGCCTTCCCTCTTTGCGCCTTAGACTACTGCGCAGGATGGGCGATGGCGAGGGGGTGTTTCCCTCCTGTCCGGCTTGCCTGGGAGTGGTGTTAAGGCTTCCTCCAGCATCCTCTGATCCTTGCACCTCTTCCCCACGGGAGGTGGGGCATTCCTCCTCCCCAGAAGAGGAACTGCTTTGCAAGATTTTCGGAGGCTGCCTGTAACACAACTGCCCTTCTATTTCTCGCCTCTGAGCCGATGGCAGTTCCCTGACAATGACCTTCCTAAAAGCATTCCTCTTCGCTTCCTCTTTTATTTACTCTGAATTGCATATGCATGCTCAAGTAGGAAATTAGCTCTTTGTAGTTTTAACTTTAACTTTGTCCCCACGTGGGGTTGGTTTTTTTTTTAAATGCTCAGAGGAAATCTGATTGGTTCTTACGTACACTATGTAAAAAGTTCTTTTGTGAATAAAACGACCTGGGCTGAGGGGTCGAGAGGGGATTATTATTATACGCACTCCTCCCAGAGTCTTGCTGGTTCAAGCCTCTGTGTGTTATTAATCAGAGTCTAATCCTTCATTTGCTTTGGGAATGCCACATTGAAGGTTTGCTGGCGTCCTGAGTGAGTAGCTGGAGGGAAGCAAGAGCCGCGACTCAACAGAGGGATTTCCTCCCTGCCCCTTTGAGCCACTTGGAGCCAGCTTGGGGGGGGGGAGTGTACGATGGGCGCTCCTAGCTGGCTCCCAGTGGCTCAAAGGGGCAGGGAAACCTGGTATATACCAGCCCCACGCATCAGCCTTCAGGTGTTCATAGAATCATAGAATCATAGAATTGGAAGAGACCACAAGGGCCATCGAGTCCAACCCCCTGCCAAGCAGGAAACATCATCAGAGCACTCCTGACATATGGTTGTCAAGCCTCTGCTTAAAGACCTCCAAAGAAGGAGACTCCACCACACTCCTTGGCAGCAAATTCCACTGTCGAACAGCTCTTACTGTCAGGAAGTTCTTCCTAATGTTTAGGTGGAATCTTCTTTCTTGTAGTTTGGATCCATTGCTCCGTGTCCGCTTCTCTGGAGCAGCAGAAAACAACCTTTCTCCCTCCTCTATGTGACATCCTTTTATATCTTTGAACATGGCTATCATATCACCCCTTAACCTCCTCTTCTCCAGGCTAAACATGCCCAGCTCCCTTAGCCGTTCCTCATAAGGCATCGTTTCCAGGCCTTTGACCATTTTGGTTGCCCTCCTCTGGACACCTTCCAGTTTGTCAGTGTCCTTCTTGAACTGTGGTGCCCAGAACTGGACACAGTACTCCAGGTGAGGTCTGACCAGAGCAGAATACAGTGGCACTATTGCTTCCCTTGATCAAGATGCTATACTACTATTGATGCAGCCCAGAATTGCATTGGCTTTTTTAGCTGCTGCGTCACACTGTTGGCTCATGTCAAGTTTGTGGTCAACCAAGACTCCTAGATCCTTTTCACATGTACTGCTCTCAAGCCAGGTGTCCCCCATCTTGTATTTGTGCCTCTCATTTTTTTTGCCCAAGTGCAATACTTTACATTTCTCCCTGTTAAAATTCATCTTGTTTGTTTTGGCCCAGTTCTCTAATCTGTCAAAGTCATTTTGAAGTGTGATTCTGTCCTCTGGGGTGTCAGCCACCCCTCCCAGTTTGGTGTCATCTGCAAATTTGATCAGGATGCCCTTGAGTCCATCATCCAAGTCGTTGATAAAGATGTTGAATAAGACCGGGCCCAAGACAGAACCCTGTGGCACCCCACTAGTCACTCTTCTCCAGGATGAAGAGGAACCATTGATGAGCACCCTTTGGGTTCAGTCAGTCAGCCAGTTACAAATCCACTGAGTGGTAGCATAGTCAAGACCGCATTTTACCAGCTTCTTTACAAGAATATCATGGGGCACCTTGTCAAATGCCTTGCTGAAATCAAGGTAGGCTACATCCACTGCGTTCCCTTCATCTACCAGGCTTGTAATTCTGTCAAAAAACGAGATCAGGTTAGTCTGACGTGCTAACTATGCTGACTATTGGTGATCACAGCATTCCTTTCTAGGTGCTCACAGACTGTTTGCTTAATGATCTGCTCCAGAATCTTCCCTGGTATTGATGTCAGACTGACTGGGCGGTAATTATTTGGGTCCTCTCTTTTCCCTTTTTGAAAATAGGGACAACATTTGCCCTCCTCCAGTCTGCCGGGACTTCGCCTGTTCTCCAGGAATTCTCAAAGATGACTGCCACTGGTTCTGAGATCACATCTGCCAGTTCTTTTAATACTCTTGGATGCAGTTCATCTGGCCCTGGAGACTTGAATACATCTAAACTAGCCAAGTATTCTTGTACTATCTCCTTAGTTATTCTGGGCTGTGTTTCCGTTGCTGAATCATTTGCTCCAAATTCTTCAGGTCGGGCATTGTTTTCTTTATCGGAGAAGACTGAGGCAAAGAAGGCATTGAGGAGTTCAGCCCTTTCTGTGTCCCCTGTTTGCATTTCACCATCTTCTCCTCTGAGTGACCCCACTGTTTCTTTGTTCTTCCTTTTGCTACGGACATACCCATAAAAGCCTTTTTTGTTGCTTTTAACCTCTCTAGCAAGCCTGAGTTCATTCTGTGCTTTAGCTTTTCTGACTTTGTGCCTACACGTGCTGGCTATTTGTTTGAATTCCTCTTTGGTGGTTTCCCCCCTTTTCCATTTTTTGTACACATCCTTTTTAATCTTAACTCAGTTAAAAGTTCTTTAGATAGCCACCCTGGCTTCTTTAGGCACCTTCCATGTTTCCGTCTCATTGGTATTGCCTGACGTTGTGCTTTTACTATCTCCCTCTTAACAAACTCCCAGCCATCATGAACCCCTTTCCTTTTAGTATTACTGTCCATGGGATCTCACCCAGCACTTCCCTAAGTTTTATGAAGTCGGCTTTCTTAAAGTCAAGAAATTGAGTCCTAGTATGCTTGGCTGCTCCTTTCCGCTGTATAGTAAACTTCAGAAGAGCATGATCACTCGCGCCTAATGATCCTTCCACTTCTACCCCACTAACCAGGTCATCAACATTGGTTAGGACCAGATCTAAAATGGCTGTTCCTCTTGTTGCTTCTCCCACTTTCTGGACAATGAAGTTGTCTGCAAGGCCAGTGAGGAATCTGTTTGACCTTATGCTCTTGGCTGAGTTTGACATCCAACAAATATCCGGGTAATTGAAGTCCCCATTACTACTATCTCCCTTCCTTTTGCATGCTTGGCCATCTGTTCCAGGAAGGCATCATCTATGTCCTCCGTTTGGCTTGGGGATCTATAGTAAACTCCCACAATGAGGTCACTGTTATTCTTCTCTCCCTTAATTTTGACCCAAATGCTCTCACTTTGGCTTTGAGGTTCTAAATCTTGGATCTCTTCACAGGTATACACATCCCTGACATATAACGCCACTCCTCCTCCTTTCTTGTCTGGTCTGTTTCTCTGAAATAGATTGTATCCCCCATTATTACATTCCAATCGTGGGACTTATCCCACCAGGTTTCAGTGATGCCTATTATGTCATATTTAGTTTGCTGTACCAAGAGCTCAAGCTCATCTTGTTTATTTCCCATGCTTTGCGCATTAGTGTACAGACATTGAAGTCCATTAATCATTCCCCGTGTCTCTTATTTAAGGATTTTTTCCTCCCACCACTAGGTCTGTGTGCTGTTTGCTCCATTTGGTCTATGACATTTGGATGATCATCTTCATCAATTGATAGACTCCTACCTTCAGGAGCACTGTCTCCTCCCCCACATTAGTCAGTTTAAAGCCCTCCTGATTAGGTTTCTGAGATTTTTGGCAAAAACTTTTCTCCCAACCGCTGTGAGGTGCAGCCCATCGCGTGCCAGAAGTCCATCTTCAAGAAACTGCAGTCCGTGCTCTAAGAATCCAAACCGTTCCTGTTTACACCATTGGCGCAGCCAGCTGTTCACTTCCACTATTTTCCCTCTCTCCCTGGGCCACGCTGCTCAACTGGGAGGACAGATGAGATGACAATTTGTGCATTTAATTGCTTCAATTTCCTGCCCAGAGCCTCGTAGTCTCTTTTGATCTTCTGGAGGCTATTGCTTGCAGTGTCATTGGTTCCTACATGAACCAAGAGGAAGGGATATTTGTCAGTGGGTTTTATGATTCCTTGCAGTCGTTCAGTTACATCTTGGATCTTAGCTCCGGGGAGACAGCACACTTCCCGAGACATCTTGTCAGGCCCACAGATCACTGCTTCTGTTCCCTCAGTAGGGAATCCCCTATCACCACTACACGCCTCCTCTTAGGTTTGGTCGGGTTCTTCCGTGAGCTGTCCGCTCCAAGGTCGCCTGCACATTCCCTGAGGACTGACTTTGCTGCTCGCCTTCATATACCTGATCGACTGTAATGAGGGAGAGATCCTCAAATGGAGTCTGCTCTTCGTCTTCCATGCTAGGGGAGAGGACCTCAAAGCGATTGTGTATTTCTAAACAATCAGAGCGAACCCTGGGCCTCCTACTTCTTTGAGTCACGTTTCTCCATATATCTGGCTCCTGTGTTGGTGAACTAGCCTCCTTCTCAGGGGAGTCCCCTGTCTCCTCCTTGGTGGAGACGGTGTGCTCTGTTGCTTCCAAGAAGAGCTCCAGCTCTCTAATTCTTTGGAGCGTAGCTACACGTTCCTCCAGTTGCTGGACTTTGTCTTTTAAGAGGGCAATCAACATGCAATTGCTGCAGGTAAAGCTGCCTGCAACCTTGGCAAGATGGCAAACATTGCGCAGGAACCGCAGGCGACTGCAGCTGTTCCCTCCTCCATCTTGAGAACGTGTCGTTGGGGGTGGCTACAGTGGTCCTCCATCATAAAAAGCGTGAAGACAGGACAAATAACTCCCCGCACAAAAAAACCTAGGTCTCCCCCAACAAACGTTTGAGACTAGCTCCCCTAAATCTAAAAGATGGATCAAACTGTGCCGCTGCCCTGCAAGCTCTGATAAGCTCCTCCCACAGCTAATCACCTGCCTCAACAGAAACCCTGCCCCCTCTGACCTTTGCACAGGGAGAGCAGCCAATCAGCCACAAAGAAACACACACACACACACACACACACAAGAAAACCCTTTTTGCTCCTTCTTCAACTGCTGCCCTGCAAGCTCAAGTGTTGTTGAGCTACAAATCCCATCATCCCTGACCACTGGTCCTAGTAGCTAGGGACAAAGGGAGTTGTAGTGCAACAACATCTGGGGATTCAACTTTGAGAAAGGCACACATCTGTATATGCACACACACACATATTTACAGTTCTCTTTTCTGCCCCTGTTTAAAAACATTCTTCTTTAGCCAAACCTACCCAGATGCTGGGAGGTGGGTGGTGCTGTGGGTTAAACCACAGAGCCTAGGACTTGCTGATCAGAAGGTCGGCGGTTCGAATCCCCACGATGGGGTGAGCTCCTGTTGCTCAGTCCCAGCTCCTGCCAACCTAGCAGTTCTAAAGCACATCAAAGTGCAAGTAGATAAATAGGTACCACTCTGGCGGGAGGGTAAACGGCGTTTCCGTGCACTGCTCTGGTTCACCAGAAGCGGCTTGGTCATGCTGGCCACATGACCTGGAAGCTGTATGTCGGCTGCCTCGGCCAATAAAGTGACATGAGCGCCGCAACCCCAGAGTCGGCCACGACTGGACCTAATGGTCAGGGGTCCCTTTACCTTTACCCAGATGCTTAGAAAGTTGAGGTCATTTTAATCAGTTTTAGTATTTTTACTTGTGTACGTTTTAAAGTAGGGTTGTAATTTTTTCTTGCTTTTACTGGCTTGTGTTTTGTAAACCACTTTGGGGATTTTTACAATCAAGCCGTGTGTAAATTTTATAAAATAAACACACACAGAGACACGTAGTGTAGTATTTCATCATATCATAGAATGGTAGAGTTGGGAGGAATCCTGAAGGTCATCTCGTCCAGCCTCCTGCAAGGGGGGTATGTGTGTGGGGAGAGAGAGAGAACAACAACAACATAGTATTTCATTATAGATGCCTATTGTTCTAACTATATAATTGTTAACTGGATTTGAGTAAACCTTACTCAGCCGCATAAGTCGGAATGCCAAGCGGAAGCTAACAAGTATGATTCTTAATGATGTTTGAATGAATGAGCTCATTTTCAATCTAAAATGGAATACCTTATAGTCAATCCATTCACTAATAGTACGAATGGGGGGTGGGGGAGGGAGAAAGAGACCAAAACAACTTCCCAACCAAGTGGATGTCAAGCCTGTTTCAACCTTTTAGCTCCCCTAATATTTCGTTCCTTTCTTTTTATTTGATAGAATATGCCTCACCCAAAGAGCGCTTTTTACAAAAAGAAAGGAAGGAAGAATACCAAGTCATTTCATAGAACTTGGCACTCTTATATAGGGTCAAGTCACCCTAACTGGAGTGGTCCTTCTCGGTTGTATGCTTCTGAAGATCAGCTGCTGGAAATTGCAGGAGGGCAGCTTGGCCACTGGGAGACCAGGAGCCTGGACTCGGTGGATCACTGGCCTGGCTATTTTGTACATGGTGCAACTCAGGAATGGGTGAAGTCCCACTGACTCTTGGGGGAGTAAGGCAGGACTGGGCCTTCTTAGAATGTGGGATTGAAAGATGATGTGTTACATTATTACCAAGTAATTGGTTCTTAAAAATCAATCTCCAAATAATCAGCTTAATCTAACTAATCCGTTGAGAGCCTGCTTGGCAGAAAAGTATGGTGAAAATGGAAAAAAAAACCTGTTAGTAGTTTGTTGTTTAACTCTTGAAGCACATCTGCTTTCATGGGAATAAACTCTGAATAAACAACCTCTGAACTTGAAAATTTTGCTCTCCTTTCCTCTTGATTACTAGTGTTCGTGACCAACAACAACAACAAAAAAGGCGCATACCTAAAGCAATTTCTGCTATTTCACGTTGTTGTTGTTGTTGTTGTTGTTATACTCATCATCATTAATTACACACCCTTTACCAACATGTCCCAGACTGGGTTACAATTCAAAACAGTTAAACAATCAGAGGACTAGAGTGGGCCCTGAGATCACAGATCTCAAGGGTGGAGAGGTTCATCTTCCTCTTTTGCCCAAAGCTGAATGGCGAAGAAGCCAGACACATAACTGTGAGGAGGGAATTCCACAATTTAGGGGATTCCACAGAGAATACAATCTTCTGGGCCACCCCCACCCCCCAAATTCCAAGGGCTGCGAAACTCCCCAGAGCTTCCCCTCTGCTGATCTTCCCACCTGTGAGGTTCTGCCCCTGTGAGGTCTTTCAGCCATGTGAGGCCGAAGTTATTTAGGGCTTAAAACACTAAAGTGAGTTCTAGAAAGTGAGTACAATAAAATGCAGCTCTTAGAACAGGGCCTATGTGAAGGCCAGAAAAAATGGAGGAAAAGCAGGTTTCCCCCCAAAGCAGTTTTTTAGAAGTCCATGAGAAAAATGACAACAAGGAAGAGGAAGAGAAAATGGAAAATGATAGCAGTAGTTCAGAAAATGAGATAGAATAAACTGCATGTACATGCTGTGCCTTCTGTTTCCTTTTTTTAAAAAGCACTACTCAAAGGGTAGACCTTCTATGGAGCTTAAATATTGAGCTGTACCTTTGCTTTATTTGCTGTTGGTGCTAAGGGGCAAATCTGATTATTTTTTATCTTGATGGTTTCTTGCCTTTTGCTCTCCTGGGCAGCCCCATCGCCACTGCGCAGCGCTCCTTCGGCTCACCGGGTCTCGCCTGGTGAATGGGGCTTGGGCTACAGGGTGGTTTGGCAGGGCACATCCCATCCATGAGTATTTTAACCATAGGACCACAGAACTGGATGGTTGGAAGGGACCCTCGAGGGTCCTCTAGACCAACCCCCTCCAGTGCAGGAATCACAGCACAAGCATCGCTCCATCTTCCCTGTGAACAGCCCTTCAGATACAACAGAATAGCAGAACTCTTCACAGAGATGGAAGTGAACCACCAGGGCCATCTAGTCCAACCCCCTGCAATGCAGGAATCTTTTGCCCAAGACTGAAACCACAACCTGGAGGTTAAGAGTCTCATGCTTTACTGACTGAGGTATATCTAAGTTCAGCATTTTTTCCTCATTTTTGTGCCAGGTTAGGCTTGTTAGGATATAGTTCCATTCCACCTTACAAGGGTACAGGCATGACGTTTGTGTGTCACATGCCTGTTTACTCCCAGCACTGCTGGCAACTTCCGTCCTGTGTAGCTTTGGTGTTACGGCTTTTTCGCTGGACATGAAGGCAAGCAGTCATGGTTTCCTTTGTTCCTGGACTATGCTGAATAAATGCCGTACATTTTTGCTTGCACATATTCCTCTGTCCGCCTCTTTCGTTGTGGATGATTTATACACTCGGCTGACAGATGATCTTTACACGGGTCTTGGAACATAACTGAGGCTCGTGTCGCTAACTGACTGATGTTGTTCCACGGGAGACCGGTGATCGTTCGGAGCAAGCTGGACGCCAAGTTAAGGGTGGGAACCCCTTCCTGTCTGTTGCCAGATTTAGGCTTTATCTATAATTTCTGGCTCTGCTGTGAGCCTCTTGGATGTTTTTTAATTTTTGCAGTCATTTAGGGGTGTTTTTTTTTTTAAAAAAAGGATCTGAATTTAAAAAGAAATCAACATTGCTAAAAACAAGGTGTTACATTAAGATAATTTGTCTTAAAAAACAAGAAAAAACATATATATAAAAGTGCATTGTTAATTAATGAGCAACTAAAGAATTTTATGTTTCCTGTTTTCCTTTCCCAAGCAGAGATAATGTGTAAGTCTAAAAAAAGGTCAACAATTCTGGAATTCTGGGGAACCTTTCCTTAAAAAGTCAACAACTTTGGGGTTCCCTCCCCCTTAAAAAAGGTCATGAACTCTGGGGAACGGGGGGAGGGGCGCCGGAGGGATCTTTGCACCATGGCGCCAGATACGCTTAAGACGGCCCTGCATATACCCCCACCAAAATGATTTCTTCTCTGCCTTTTGTCAATTGTATTCCTAATATTCTTCCTTCGTCATCTTTAGGTAGGATTTTTGCATCTATCTTTTGGTTTATACATATATATATAACTATTCCTCTCTTTTTGGAAACATCTGAAGCTATGTATTCTGTTCCTAATTTCTTATCTATCAAAACTCTCACGTTTCTTTGCTATATGTGTTTCCTGGAGACCAATGACATCCCAATTTTTCTTTCTTAAGATACGCTCAGTTTTCTTCCTTTTTACCTTATTGTTCAAACCATTGATGTTCCACGATATAATGTTCAAATTTATGAATTTTTATTAGACACAAAGTCAAATATCAACATCAAATATAAAACTGCACTTAAGTACAATAATATAGTTGTGGGAAACTCTACTTCTTTTCTTATCCTCCTGGACTTTCCTGTCCTTGTTCTCTTTCTCCCCCCCCCCCAAAAAAAAATTGTATTGGTTTTCACATTTATCACATAAAAAAGAAACAAGAAAAAAGAAAAACATTACAATACACAAAAACAAAGAAAAACACATAAAGAAGAATTTCTACTTCCAAATCCTAATTTCATTTCATTGATAACTGACTTCCTTGAATCCCCTCTACCTGAATTTCATTATATCACCTGTTTAGCAGTTCTCCAAATTCATATTTCTAATAATATTTACTTCTTTCATTTACTAACAACTTCTCCTTTATTAATATTCTAATCCTTAATGTTTATTAACAACATATACTTATTCTACTCCGGTCTAATTATCCCTTCCAAGAAATTTCTCTTTATCTTATATTACAATATTTAGCTAAATAGTCTTTACATTTCTTCCAGTCCTCTTGTGTCTCCTTTCTGGTCACGGATTCTTCCAGTCAGGTCAGCCAGCTCCAAAAAGTCCAACATCTTCATCTGCCATTCTTCTATCGTTGGTATCTCTTGCGATTTCCAATTTTTGGCTAATAAAAGTCTTGCCACTGTAGTGGCATACAAAAACAGTCTAACATCTTTTTTGGGCAATTCCAGTCCTATTATTCCAAGTAGAAAGGCTTCTGGTTTTTTAATAAATGTATTTTTCAACATTTTTTTCAACTCATTATATATCTTTTCCCAGAAGTCTTTCACCTTAGGACACGTCCACCACATATGATAGAAAGTACCTTCTTTTTCTTTGCATTTCCAACACAAGTTATCATTTGTATGATACACCTTTGCTAATTTCACTGGGGTTAAGTACCATCTATACAGCATTTTCATAATATTTCTTTTAATACAGTACATGCAGTAAACTTTCCAACTTTTCCTTTCCAAGAGAGCTTTATATCTTATCCATACATTATATAAAGATTTTCTAATTACATGATTTTTAAAACCTTTATGAGCCAATATCTTGTCATCCCACAAGTATGCATGCCAACCAAATACATTGTCAAATCCTTCCAAATCTAACACATCAGCATTATCTATTTGAATCCATTCCTTAATCCAGCAGAAAGCTGCTGCCTCAAAATAAAAGAAAATCCCCCTCTCTCTTTTGCATCTGTTAATATTTTATATTTAATTCTGGGGTTTCCCCCCCGCCAGATAAATTTAGACAATGCTTTCTGCCATTCTTTAAAACGTCTAACATTCTTTGGGTTACATCTCAAATTCTTCTCTTTATCTTTTAATTGAGACAAAATGTTATCTATTTTTTCATTCTGTATCTTTTTCTTAATCGAATTTTGTTGTATGAGGAATCCTCTCATCACCGCTTTCCTTGCATCTCAAACGACTCTTGTTTCCACCTCAGAATTCATATTTGTCTCAAAGTAATCTTTAAGAGTCTTTTAGGCTTTCCCAATCGTCTGTTCATTCCTCAACAAATCATCATTCATTCTCCATCTGAAGGATCCCTGCAGAAATATTTTCATTTCCAATAACACAGCATTATAATCAGAGTCTGGGCATATTTCAACTTTGTTACTCTGGGAACAATGTCTCTGGATATCCATAAATAGTCACTTCTTGAGAATGATTGATTTGCATCGGCATAGAATGTGAAGGCTTTTTCTGTTGGATTTCTCACTCTCCATATGTCTGACAGATCAAATTTGTCCACCATTTCAAAAAAGACCTTCTGTAGTCTGCCAGAATTCATAACTTTCTGTCTCTGTGTTCTATCCATAAGCATTGATGCGACACCATTCAAATCTCCCATCAAAATCAATTTGTAATCCATATAATCCAGAAGTCTTGTTTCCAGATTCTTAAAAAATTCCGCTTTGCCATCATTTGGTGCATAAATTCCCAAGAGCAAATATTTCTCGCCTTGTGCCTTGTCTTCTACTGCAATATATCTTCCCTCCTCATCTTTAAACATTCTAGGATTCCATTTTACTTTAATAGAAGACTACTCCTCTTTTCTTCACTTTGTCCGATGAAATGAATTCCTGTCCAAGTCTTTTATTCTGAAGTACTTTTCTATGTAATCTGGTGAGTTCAAGTCGTGAGTTCAAGCCGTTAACATTCCAAGAGTAAATTCTCAGTGTCATCTTGTGATATTAGGGAGCTCCCGCACCTGCCCCTGATGCCTGTGGACTTTCCAATCAAAGTTCCTCAACATTTTCCTCCCCAAAACCCTCATTTTTTATTCAACAGTCTTAATTCTTTGTTTCCTTCCTTGAAATTTGAAGGATAGGCCCTCTGGGAACTCCCACCTGAAGAAGATATTCTTCCTTCTCAGAGCTCCAGCCAGGTCCGCGTAATTGTTCCTTAAATTCAAAAAGTGTTTTGGAATCTCCTTGAATAAAACAATTGGCTTGTCTTTTATCTTCCGACCTTTTTTGTAATGTAGGCTCAAAATCCTGTCTCTCTGTTCCTTTGTCTTGAAAACCAGTATACAGTCATATACCACTTTTGAATCTTTCTTAGGCCCAAACCTATAGGCCATCTCAATCCAGGAACTTAACTCGTCTTTTTCCAGATCCCAGCAGGCTGCAAACTCCTCAGTTAGCCAATCCTTAAGATTATCTTGTTCCAATTGAGGTGTGCCTCTCACTCTCAGTTGGTTCTCACGTTCCTTCATCTGTAAAAAGGCAATTGCATTAAGCGCCTCCTGTTGGGTCCTCTCCACATCAAGTACTCTCACTGTTTCCAATTCCATCAGTCTTTTTATCGTGATCAGCAACTTCTTCCCTGACCTCTTGAAAACCTGATTTAAAATCTGTAAATTCTTGTTTTAGCTCTTGTACATTCTGCTGGGTTCCTTTAACATCTGTTCTTATTTCTGTTAACTTATGCATCACCGACTCTTCAAAAGTTGGTCTTTGGAGCCTCTTTTGTCTTTAACTTGGCTTTTCTCAGGTTTATCTACCCCATTAGCCGTAACTATTCCAAAGTGTCAAGGTCAAGTCACCCAGTCACAGTCCACAAAATTTTTAGTATGCAGGCAGCAGCAGGCAGCTCCTCCCTTTCAAAGTCTTATTCTTTTTTTAAAAAACCACCACAATAAGCTCAAACACAATGGAGCGGCATCTTGCCATTAAAGTAAGGAGTGTTGGGTTTGGCTGTCCTTTCTTGGTATTAGTTGACATTTTTATTTCTTCTCTATATAAACACTGATGTCAGGATACAGGAAGCTTCTGATTCTAAGCAGTTGCCAGGGTTGGAAGATGGCCCAGAGC